AAAATTAAAAAACGCTTTTTTCGTGGGAATATAGCCAACATTTTTGAATTTTTTTAAAATTCGGTCATAAATCCATATCATAATCAGCCGGATTTTGACAATGATTTTATGGCATTGTACCTAATGGACTTATGGCATACACTCAAAATTCTATTTCTTCATATAGAAACAATAGTTTGATTCTCTGTCAAGAAGTACATGCTGCTTACACCACCTTAAAAAAACACTCTGAACTTTTTCAAACTCCCGAAATGAAACACAAGAACTTCTATTACTGGAACAATTTTCTTCTATTGAGTGTGAATACGCTTTCGTTGTTATTCGTCGTATTCTCAGTCCTAAACTAGAAGATGCATACTCACTGAATGGTCTTATATAGGCAACCTGGACATATTTCATCGCATTACAATCATCATTCACGAAATGAATAATATAACATACGACACTTATAAATCAATCTATAAAATGAAAATGAAACGTGCAACCTTTGGCATAAACTCCATATGACTGAATTTATCCGCAAGTGTCGAATAAATAATTGTTTGAGAGAAATATACACGTGTTGAAATAAAACGACTAACATTCATGCAATCAATAAATCTCTTCACCCAAAAAATTGGTCTGATTTGCATGCAAACGTCATTGTCATTCACTACCTAGTGCAGTAAGCGGGCATCAAAGTATTCACATCGTGACTCAAGTTCAAGCATACTCAATATATTAAGCCGGGTAGTATATACCTGAGATTTTAGTCTACGCTTTTAGAATCAAATTCTATTATACTTTCGTTGAACTTTTTTCAATTTTTTTCCTTTATGGTTAGTTTGGTATGGATGGTCTACGGTGCTATACTGCATAATTTGATGACACGTTTTGAACAGCTGGTTGCAATCAAGCATGCTTCTCACTAGGGGGATTTAACTACGTGAAAACTTGTAAAAAAATGATATAAACGCGCACGAAATTGTTACATTCACCAGAGAACTTGCATGATTCCACTCAGTTGACAAGTTCCGTATTAAAACAACATGCGCGAACTTGTGCGAACGCGCGCGAGTTCGTGTGCAAACATGAAGCTGGACGACGCGCACACATCAGTCGTTCCATTTATTATATCTGAATTAACTTTTTCTTCCAACACTTTCTCCAGCTCTTTAAAAATATTTCCTTTGTCCATTTTATAATTATATAAATCTTTGAACTTTTGGAAAGGATGTGAAAAATCTTTATACCGTGCGGCGGCTGTTGAAAGTCAAACTCATTTGAGGCGACGCGAGCGCCCCCAATTTCAAAGGGCACATCAATGTAATTTAACATTTCAAATCGGAACTACACAGCGCGCCAATTCGAAATATAGGAAAATATAGTGTCAACAGCCGCACCATGCTTTATACACGTAAACAACCGATTTTCAGTTTGAAACGCGTTTTAGTTGTCAAATAGCAACTTGAAAAACGCGCAAAACCATAAAAAAAACTTGTGTAAACTTGTGACCGTGCGCGTCAGTACGTACAACGAACGCGTCGAACTTCCGCGAATCAAGCAAACTGGCAGAAAACATGCTGCACTCGTAAGAGTTAAATTCCCCTAGGCTACTCATGGGAAGAAAATTGTGAACATTTCATTGCCTACGTATGAGAAGACAATTGGTTGGTTTTTGAATGCTTCAAGCTTCCCTAGTGGGTTTGTGCATTGGTCTGTTATTATTTTAATTAAAAACCGCTCAGATTGTTGTTAATGTTCAACACATACTTTTTTGAACTGCATTCTTTCCGCAATTTGCATTTTTTTCTATTATTTTGCAATTATAATTCGATTTGGTTCAACTGGATTCAACGTTGTCTGCATTATAACATATTTTTAATCAATTCTACGATAATATTTCAATCAAAAACCGTTCAGGTGGATTTAATATGTTAACATTCTTATAAAAAAGATATTTCGATAGTGGAAACAAATGGAACAGGGCAAACTTTTTGAAATGAAAATGACTTAATTCAAACCACATACGGTATTTTGGTTTTTTTTAAAGTGTAACATAAAAAAATATTCTTCTTATGCATGGATCGGATAAATGAATAGCTTGGAATGGTTTCTATGTCATTTAAGTTGTTTATACAAGCCAAAAGCGTCAATTCAATTTGTATAACTTTCCAGCACAATACATCGCTGCACATCATAATTTCAATCTCATGGCCCGAATCCCACTTTTACGTTGCTGAACTATAGCATTTCTTCTGAAATATCGGCGAATTCAGTTATAATTGTGGAGCCACATCGATGAGAGAAGCCACATCGATGCGAAGTTTGTTCGAAGTCCTTTGCACAAAAAGGTGCTTTGTATCGTCATAAGAAATTGCATGGTCCGAAGCCTCAGTTCCGTTGTTCAAAATGTTATCAAAGATTTGAACAAAAATCACACAAGATCGATCATGAAAGGCTATGTAGTCCACAGCAATTCGAATGCAACACTTGTGGATATAGAACGATCAACAAACCACATTTGATAAGACATATGCTGACCCACACCGGGGAAAAGCCGTTCGAGTAACAAACGCTAATCTTCAAAGTCATTCAATGGCGCACTCAGATGAACTGCCGAATGCTTGTGCGAAATATGGTCGACGATTTGCCACACCAGACGATAAGCAATCACACGAAACGCACTGCCAAGGTAGTCTTTTTGCATGTAATCAGTATCAATACAAAACTGTTCACACGAGTCATTTGAAGCGGCACATGCAATCAAAACACGGAGCCAAAAGATCGATCGAATGTGAAATTTACAACAAGAAGTTCGTCGAACGTATTGTTTTAAATCAGCATTTGTCATCAGTCCATTGCGAGAACTCATTTTCAATCCAACTCTTAGCAGGCATTTTAGATTTTGAGGAGTGAAACCAATGCTTTTATGCTTTTTCTAACGGAGAAGTAAAATCCGCACTTTGAGTGACCAAAAATATTGTTTCAACACCAAATGTATATTTTCATGTTATGAATGAACAGTTTTTTTATCACTTGAGATGCAGATAAAAGTGTAAATACTATTGCCAACCCAGCGAAACGACTGATAAAACTAAACTAATTTTCTCAAGTATTGACCACTTGTTACCATTGACCATTTAATGTCCCATGTCGTGCGTAAAAGTATTGCAATCACTCCAAAACCTAGGTACCCCAAAAAACCATTTTTCTATCAATTTTCGACACCAAAAAGCACGATACGGTGGTTATTTTGCTATGTTAATGTGGGTGTATCGTACCCTGTACGCTGTGCGCTGTACGCAAAAATTTGTAAGCACGATTGCTCAAACACCAGAATAGGAAATGAAATTCTGCAAGTACCAAACGTTTGTGCTTCGTTACACTTGAAAACCATTGAATTTTCAGCCACCCCAGATGTACCCTAGAATAACTAGCCTATGAAAAACCTTTAAAAAAATCGAACTTTTGTTCGGGAGGTACCCAAAATAGGCTCCCAGGTGGATTTTATCACTCCCACTCGATTTATTTCATCAAATTGATAGGGGCACAGGAACGTAGCACCCGCTAACCTACCTTTTTCGTATCAAATCGGTATAATAATTCAAAATTTCTTGCATTTTTAGCACTACATGAAATGTAGAGCTACTAATCTGCTTTTTATTTTTTCCCTAATACTATTTAAGTGATGAAACAAATTATGGTGAATTTGAATTTTATGCTCATATTTTTTATTTAATGTAAAACAGTGGCAGTAACGCCAAATACGTGCATAATATCTCAAAGCGCCAATCAAGCGCTCAAACATGAATTACATGAACATGACATTATTATATTTTTGTAATTAGGCGTAATTGCTTTATTTAAAATTAGAACTTTGGATAGAAAAAGGAATTAATTTTAGACGCGTTATGATTTTGATCAAGAAAAATGTGGTTATTTTAAATGGTATTTTTTTCAACTCGTCACATTTTGTTCCAATTTTTCCAAATCAATATTTTTTCGCATTTTCATTCAATTAAGAGATAAAAACATTTGAATCAAATTCAAAATGAATTTTGGTTTATTTTCTGAAAAACTGCTCAAAATCTTCACACAAAAACAATTCATGAAACGAAAAATTACACAGCACATGTTCAATCGAAGAAAAAAATAAAATGTTCTTTGAACTGAACATTAATCGATGTGCGATGCGATGTGATGTCAACCTTATAAAAAGCGCACACAGTCACACATTCCATTGACAGCTTCGTCAGTTCGTATGGGGAAATTCTTATAAATTTCCTAGGCAAAATCTGAATAAAAGCTGAACGCTATGAAAACGATGCGGAAAAGTTCGTCTTACGGAGGTAAGACTATTTATCTGTTGATCAAAATGCAGGAAATTGGAAATCAAAACCAAGTAAACAAAAATGCTTTTAGGATATAATTATTGTGATGGTAATAAGCGGCGCGTTAATAAACCGATAACTGATCAATTATACTTTGCATTTTACAGACGAATCATTCACAAGCAGTTGAGCAGCGTAAAATGATAACTACTCAACACTCAGATTCACTAAGGTGTGCATGAGTAAGAATTTATCGCTGCTGCTTAGCTCATCCAATTCATTTGTCCATCAACTCTATAATGATTGACATAGAACGCTAATGATCAGGTTTTAGACATCGTATCGATGAAAACTCAGAGAATTTAACTATAATTCAGTTTTTACGTTTTATGAAATAAAATTTCTATTTATTTGAAAGAATTTCCAAGCAAGTAGCATTTTACTTCATTGCCATCTTAGCACTTTGGAACTTTTAAGAAAATAATTTCATCCTATCAAATACTGAAGTAATTAACATAGCTTTGATGAAGGCAAAAACAAATAAGAATTTTGTTAGGAATGGTTAGGATAGAATCATAGATTTATTATCATTCAAATTTCAACGCATTTTGACGCATTTCATTTCAGTATAAATACCTATTCGAAATGGAATACAATTTCAGTTGAAAATTAGCTTTTGACGCAAAATAATTCTAATTATTCCTAATGATAGATTTCACGAAGAAAGTGGTTTTAATCACTGGTGCGGCCACTGGAATTGGTGCCAACGCTGCTCGATACATTGCAAAATTGGGTGGACAAGTGGCTTTGGTAGATATAAATGCAACGGCATTAAATGAAGTTGTTGAACAAATAAAAGGTGACCACTCCCCAAACGCTTTGGCAATCGTAGCCGATGTTACTGAAGATTCGGAACGGATCATCGCCGAAACTATCGACCGCTTTGGCCGTTTGGATGTTTTGGTAAATAATGCTGCCATCGCATGTGAGAAAAATATCATGGAAGCCGACATCAATGACTTTGACCGAATGATGAATACAAATCTAAGAAGTATTACATCCATAATTTCAATACTCAATTTCAATCATATCAATTTATTGTTTCAAAATTAATCGAAATTATTTAGGTATCGTGATCTTGAGTAAACTGGCCGTTCCTCACCTCGAAAAATCCAAAGGAAACATAGTGAATGTGTCAAGCATTTCTGGGATTGTTCCAGTGAAATATGCATATTATGGAATGACGAAGGCCGCACTCGATCAGTTTTCCAAATCAGCCGCAAACGAGTTCGGGCCCAGAAATATTCGTGTAAATTCCATCAATCCGTCAATTGTTTTAACGCCAATGTTTGAAAAGGCATTCACAGCCGAAGAAGCTTTGCGATTGAAAAATAAGTGCAAAGAAATGTATCCAATTGGTAGAATGGGCAAAACCGAAGAAATATCAGCTGCAATCGCATTTTTAGCATCCGACGCCGCATCATTTATAACTGGTGTTCAGTTTGCCGTGGGTAAGTAGAAATCATTGTCTCAATAGTAAAACATTTATATGAGAGGATAAATTGAAAATTCTCTTTGAAACAGATGGTGGTGCCATATCTGCTGGAGCTCATTACTTGAATTGAAGTGATGTTGATGATGCGATGGTGAAAAAAAGCGAAAAAAATATAACATCGATCGGAGTCGACTTTTAATTCAATTAAAATATCAAGAAAATCTTCAATTTCTTGTATCGACGAGACATCATTATGATGATGTATACATGCCAATATTCCAATGCCGTAATATGATTATACCTATATAAATTAAATTCAATGTTGATTTGAAAAATCCAAATTAAAATTGGAAATAAACGTATTTTGGAAAATGAATAGGTCCTATACAATTTTAGTTCAAATATTTGATTTTTTTACTTTATTCAAAGCATAGAAACAATAAGACATGCTGCCAAATATCGTTTTTTCAAGCATATCTATGCCCGTCATTCTTTAAGTCTTCACCGATTCGCATATTTTGGTCAGTACAATCTTTGTAATTCAGCGTCTCTAGTTCACTATCATAGTCCGACACAGATAGTGCCAGATAAAAATATCTGCTGTCATATTGACAATGTGCGCAGAGCTGACATAGGCACCTAGTTGGTGCCGACACTTACTTCTTTGGGTGTCCACTTAGTACTAATACGAAAGAAAAAAAACATTTTCTTTACATTTTGGATGTAAATGAGAATTTTACTTACCGTAGAAGATTTTCTCAAAAAAAAGAAGATCCAATTGGCATTTCAAATCATACATTGTAATATTCGGTGAATGCCACTGAAAAAATATTCATACTTATTTAGTGCGTGAGACGCATGGTCACTCATTTAGTGAGTGAGATGCATGCGGATGAGATGAAGCAAAGCGAAAGGGAAGCGCGCAACTAGAACATAGAGTCAATGGGTACTACGTGTTTGTGTTTGTGTCCGTATTCTAACGACGGAGTGACGAAATGTATGCGCGCTATATCGTTCGTTCGTATGGAGTTGCCCCGCTTCTCTTTCGCTTTGTTTCGTCTCATCCGCGTGCGTCTCACTCACTAAATGAGTGACCATGCGTCTCACGCACTAAATAAGTATGAATATTTTTTCAGTGGCATTCACCGAATATTACAATGTATGTTTCAAATTCAAACAGAACGAAACGAAACAGAATTCTTGACGATCTTACATGACGTTTGGTCACAAAACGGGATTTTAACGTGTGATTGTAGGTAAATGTAGGAAATTTAGGTAGTGTTTAATTTTTTTAAATGAGTTAATGTGGATTCCCGTGTATTTCAACACTCTTCCCAATACGCCATACAGTGGTCAAAAAAAGTAATCAACCATCCATACAAAAAATCGACTTTCCAGTGAAACGATTATTTGAATAATTGTTCGAGCACTGATTTGAACCAAAATGTGCATAACATATTCAGAACATATCAAGGTTACAGTCTATAATTTGATCGGTCGAGATAATATAGCTGATCGTCTTTGTTTTATCGTCGTTATTGACATAGGTATTGATAAAAATGCAGAAAATTGGAAATAAAAATCAATTAAACAAAAATGCTTGTAGGCCATAATCATTATAATGACACGTGAGCTAATTGATAAATTAAACTCGGTATTTTGCATTAGCATAGATAACTTTCAAATGATAAGATAAAATAAATGAATTGCAATCCAATACGATGAAGAAAACTTAGAATCAAACTCAGCATTTTATTCTACTACCACACAAATATGCGTTTTGTTGGTGTTTATTGCCAGAAGGTTATGAATATATTTAACGTTGTAAAGAGTCTCTTCAAACACCATTTGAAAGAGATAACGATCTCTATTCCGCATATAAATGGATGTGCTGGTTGAACAATATTAGTTTCAGTTTTAGCCATCGCATTTGGAGTATCGCCATTAAATGTTGAGTAGAGACTTTAAATCATGAGTTTTAGTAAGAAAGTTGTATTAATTACGGGAGCAAGCAGTGGAATTGGTGCTGGAGCTGCTATTCACCTCGCAGAATTGGGTGCGAAGGTATCAATTGTTGGGCGAAATGAAAAACGTCTCAATGAAGTGGCAGAAGAAATCAAAAGTGCCGGCTCTCCAGCTCCTCTGCTCATTGTGGCCGATGTGACAAAAGACGCAAAGCGAATTGTTAACGAGACGATCAAGAAGTTTGGCCAATTAGATGTGCTTGTCAATAACGCTGGATTTGCAAAACCGGATAGTGTTTCAACGGCGAATTTATCACAATTTGATAGTATATTTGATACGAATATCAGAAGCGTCATCACTTTGACCAAACTTTGTGTTCCCCACCTCGAAAAAACAAAAGGAAACGTGGTAAATATATCATCTGTTGCTGGTTTAAAAGCAACTCCAAATTTTTTGAGCTATTGCATGAGCAAAGCAGCGCTGGATCAATTTACGAAATGTTCGGCACTTGATTTGGCACCGAAGGGAATACGAGGTAAGTAAACTTAAATGGAGGCACGGCTTAAATGTAATTGTAATAGGTTTTAATCGGCGATTATCTTTTTTCTTCTAAAAATATTACTCTCAACGATGTAATTTTCGCGGTTATTTCTTCAAAAAAAAGTCAACAGTGTGAACCCAGCCGCAATTCGAACTGGATTCATTGAGGTTTGTATGGGAGCACAAAAAGAAGATGCCACTAAAATGTACGACGGAATCGGATCTATATATCCTGTCGGTAGGGTTGGAGAAGTGGCAGACACCAGTGCAGCGATCGCATTTTTGGCTGATGATAAAACGGCATCATTCTTGACTGGTATCTTACTCCCGGTAAATTATTTTTGCTACAGCCGGAAATGTTTTTATAATTTTAATTGTTTTTCGTATTTTATATTATTAACTCCTTTTGATCGGTTTTCGTTTATAGGTGGATGGAGGATCCTTGGTTGCTGGCACCAATAGTGCATCAAAGCTACGTTAATATATGAACAATATAATATATACGAGTTGCTAATGTTCGGCGAAGTGTTGCATATTTGATTTTCTATTGTCACTCTTGTGTTATGCTCAAGGTCATTTTGCATATTCCATCATTGCATGGTCCTAGATAATTAAGTTTATTTTTCTAAGAACTATGTAATTCTTGTAAAATTGAAGTTTTGTTGATCTTGTAGATGAACTTGTAGTACTTTCAAATGATAAGATAAAATAAATGAAATGCAATGGCATGTGATGTAAAGTGGTTTTCAATTCTTTTATTCGAGAAACATTAAATGACATTTTTTTCACCATTAAAATTCAAATTCCCCCAAATCCAATCATCAATTGATAACCTGATACACAGTGATTGTGGACTCGAAAATACTCTTTGGATTTTTCTATAAAACATCTTCTTCACTGTTGATTACTGTCAGTTGTTTGCTAATTTTATTTTATCAAATTGCTACCAATGAAATTGAAGTTTTAAATAAAATCTATTGAATGTGATTGATTTTTAGTTTTCGGTTGGCTTATAGCCAACTCCAGTCAGCAGTCACCATAGCCTCTCCATCGACAGGTAAATTTATACCAGTGAAAAATGATGCAATTTCATTATCAGCCAAAAACTCAATCGCTGCACTAGTGTGTGTCACCTCGCCGACCTACGGGATACGTGCTTTTGACCTGTTCAAATTTCGTGCTTTTGACCTGTTCAAATAGTTTCTCAACTATTTCTTTCATCGGTCATACCAACTTTTTGGAATGTTGGTGTTCGAATCACTGCTGGGTTCAAAGCATTAACTGACAAAAAAAAATCGCCGATTAAAACATATATTATTTCTTAAGCCTTGCCCATACATACCTCGTATTCCCTTTGAAGCCAAATCAAGCTCGCAACATCTTATGAATTGATCAAGAGCTGCTTTGCTTGTACTATATGCAGTTGGGGTGGGAATTGGCTAGACACAATTGGTTTTTTCTAAATTCGGTAAGCATAGTTGCGTCAAAGTGATAACACTGCGTACATTCGTGTCGAATACACGATTAAAATCAGCGATGTTCATATCGCAAATGGTGTTTTGCCGCATTATTCAACAATACATCCGATCGACCAAATTGCTTGATCGTTTCGTCGACAATTCGTTCGCCGTCCTTAGTTGCATCGGCAACAATTTGCAATGGACTTGAAGAACCAGAATTTTTAATTTGTTCCGCCAATTCGGCGAGACTCTTTCCGTTTCTAGCATCAATTGCAACTTTCGCACCCAATTTTGCGAGGTGAATAGCAGCACCAGCACCAATTTTAAAACGTGGAGTCTACAACTTTCAGTGCTGACTCACGTGTCTTACTTTGCCATGAAGCCAGCGATAACCACATATGTTTCCAATTAATTAGCAAATAATTAGAAGAGGCGATACAAGTACCTTTGGAGCCGACTAAAATGTCTATGAATTTCTACTTGAAAAGTGTGGAAATGTGTTTCTATAACGGTTTTCCATTAGGTCCATTTTATTTCAAATATAATTTCAAGTGCTCTTCAATAAGTATTGCAATCAGCAATCGTAGATGACTTTTTTATTAGCTATAACTAAATTTTAAAAAAACTGTTCACTTTTATTTTATTTGCGATACTCGAAATTGAACCCAGTGAGCAATTCTGACTATAAATATATGCATTAACCATAGGCATATAATGTGTATACAAGTATGCTCAATACAGGCCTCACTAACATTGTATTATTATACAGAATTGTGCCTATTTCAGGCATATGGTCCACTTTAGTAATTTTATAATGTGATTGGTCCATTGACTATACATATCTCAGGTCTATTACAGACATACAAATAATGGGCCTGGTCAGGCCTGCGCTGCCATATAAACTATATAGAAAGTGCGTTACAAAATCACCATCCTAACAGGCCTAAATCAAGACATTTTTGCTCATTGGGAATGAAATTCGTTTGCATTTTGTGACAATTGTAGCCTTCAGAGCGTGTTTTGAGCTGACGTCAGCTCAAAACACGCTCTGGTAGCCTTACTCAGATAGATTTCTATTGCAAAACTTCGCCAAATACGTGTTTTATACAATTATATTTTCCCCTCGAAGCTGACATAGGCACCTACGGGGTGCCGGCACTTACTTGGGTACGCACCTAGTACTAAAATACTTTTTTTCACAATATTTTTGGATGTTTTGAAATAGTACTAGGTGCGCACCCAAGGTAGTAAGTGCCGGCACCTCGTAGGTGCCTATGTCAGCTCTGTTTCCCCTACAATTATTTCCATACAGCACGAGACTTTGTTGCATTTTCATTGTTTGTGATTCTTTTAATACACCGGCAAACATATCCATCAAATATTTGACGTAACCAAGCATGTACGGCTATTCAGAAATAGTCAAAACACACATTACAGTAATGACATCTATTGGTGTGGAGAGATTTTCTAACCGAATTGAAGGCTCAGAAGAATTTCCCACGAAATAACATTTAAATGTGGAGAAAAGAAAGAGAACTAAATTAACTTCATTTAAAAAACTAGAGATGGCGCATATTAGTTCTTTACGCAAAAATAAGTCTACAATCCCATACAAGTACTATACGGTTGGACGTAACGGTGATCGTGCAAAACAATTTTATCTGAAAATACCATATAGCTTCACCTTTGTATTTGATTAAGAGCCGACAATATTGTTACCGATAAAAATTCCATTATCGTTGAATCGTTCAAATGTATAGTTTTATACTTATCGAACAGTAAATATTAACGCCAAATGTATAGTTGTTTTCATTCGACGAATAGAATGCCTGCGTATATTTTTGTAAATTGATGGTCTACTTGGTATAAATGCAAATGCGAGGAGCACCAAGAGTCTTAGTTTAATATTTAACTTAAAACAATCAACAACGATTTGTTATAAAGAAGTGTTTACGGTCAAAATGAGTTTCACTGGGAAAGTTGTGATTGTAACAGGTGCAAGTAGTGGAATTGGGGCTGATGCGGCTCTACATTTGGCAAAATTGGGTGCAAAAGTGTCAATTGTTGGTCGAAACGAAAAACGAGTGAATGAAGTGGCTGATCAAATAAAGAAATCTGACGCACCAACACCACTTCCGATCGTGGCCGATGTGTCAAAAGACGCACAACGCATCATCAATGAAACTGTCAAGCATTTTGGTCGGCTTGATGTTCTTGTGAACAATGCTGGTATCTTTAGAGCAGACAATGTGGTACAGTTTGATGTTAAGCACTTTGATAGTATTTTAGATACAAACCTGAGGAGTGTTATTATTCTAACGAATTTGGCGGTGCCCCACTTGGAAAAGACCAAAGGAAATATCATAAATATTTCAAGCGTATGCGGCTTACGACCATTTGACCTCTACACTTCGTACTGTATTAGCAAAGCTGGATTGGATCAGTTTACAAAATGCTCCGCGATTGCATTGGCACCGAAAGGAATACGAGGTAAGTGGAGGCAAGGATTGAATAAATATGTAATATTAGTTTAATTGGTGATTTTATTTTGTTAGTGAATTCGATAAATCCAGCCACAATCCGTACCCCAATTTTTGAACAGATTGGAATCAATGAATCGAATGAAAATCAATTCTACGAAGATCGTAAACATGAATTTTTAGTGGACAGAGTTGGCGAGGTTTCGGATACGAGTTCAGCCATCGCTTACTTGGCTTCGGAAACATTCTTGACTGGTGTGCTTCTGCCAATTGATGGTGGCTTAATGTGTTCGGGAATTCGAATTAATTTACAACAGATTTAAATTCTGATTTTAATTCATATTTACCTGCAAAATAATTGCTTCTCTTTATATTTTATAGCAAGCTTACCCGGATGCATCAATTTTGCTTTATGTTGAACAAGTCTTATTAGTTTGATTTCGCTTTTCTGCATCAGAAGCATCCTAATTTTATGCGGTGAATATATAAATCAGCAAATGTTCTCTATGAATGATTGAAATAAAATTTTAAAACATAAAAGTAGAGCCTTATTTATAGGCTATAAGTTAAAGACAAACGTTGCACTTAATTTCGATGTTGCAATATGAATTCAAATTGATGAAAATAAACGAGAAATATAACTCATATCACTTTTCAACTGAATCACAAATGTAGCAGTTCTATTTTTGTGGAATCGGATTTTTATGTCGGGCATATTTTTTTTCCATTATTACTGACCAGTGACCACGACTGACCATTGGACACTTATCTGTTCCAATTTATGATTTCCATCGACAAACTGCAGTATCGGTCTTTCAACATAGTAAGATAGCGTTTATTGAACTTATTGGCCCGTAAGAAATTGATTTACCGAAACGAGTTAAAACATGAAATTCCAAAATTACTCTGGTTTTCAGTACATCAGCTTGCGCCAATTTTCGAAATTGTTCAAGCCTCTGATCATCGTTCAGCTGCTATTTATACATATGAACTGCTGAGAATAAAAGGCTGACGATTGCAAGTTTTTCGCAAAAGAGACATTTCAAAAGGTTGCACGCAAACGGAACATTTTATTTTGTCGCATTTCGAATTTTCAAGCCGTGATTACAACAACAATATACTTCTCTCTTGCGTGCAACCTTTTGAAATGACTCTTTTGCGTGCAACTGATTTTTATCCAGCTTTTGCGAAAAACCTGCAATCGTCAGCCTTTTATTCTCAGCAGTTCATATATACTATAGTTAATGCTCCCATCGAAAATTTGTCGAAACTCCTGATTTTCAGGCCAAATTGCGTCCAAAAGGCTGTCATTTACAACCAAATGGCTGTTAAAAAGACTGTCATTTTTTTCGTTTTCCAAGGGTCAAAAATAACATTTTATTCAAGTTTAAATGAACATGATGAGAAGTAGGTAGAAATAGCATCACAAATAAAGCATTTTGAATCAAATGCTATGCTCCTGTTGGTTTCCGTCCCGCTGTTGCAATAGAATATTTCTCTCCGGATCGAATCTGAAAAAATGAATAAACGAAATTTAATTCCAAAACATTGAAAAACTTTCAAAAATATTTTTAACCTTTTCCAACAATCTGGGCTGTGTTTTGATGAATTCAAAAAATTCTTCGCAGCTCAATTGTATGTTGTGTTTCACTAACAACCAAGACCTGAGTGTTGCGATGGATAGCGCACTTTGTTCGTCCAGTAGTTTTTCGTGAGAGAAAATAATCGTTCACATACACAATTGGCACCTTTAAATGAAAAATATTTTACATTTTACAAAAATGAGAATGAAAATTGAAATAAAAGTAGAATTTAAGATTGTGTTATTGCAAATAATATTCACCTGGCAACACCACCACATATTCGATCAGTTTGATGAAAACGACGAAAGACAACGAATTTTGTTTGAAATGTGTCATGATTTCCATCCAACGATGCAAACTTTTTGATTTATAAACAAATTCATCGAGTGTACCGCTACTGTGACTGTGATTTACATGCTATGAGTGAGACGAACAGTTCAGATACCGCGTAAGTAATATGTATTGTTGCTGATCTTTGCAATCAAAATGTTTGTTTGCATAATCGATATCTCAACTGTTCGTATTCGCATCGCCACAGTAACAGTGTATCAGTTGTTTGATATTTTTTCGTTCTTTTTGTTCGTACTTGATTTTTGTTTTTACGTATATATTTTTTTTTCGTATTGAATTTTGCATTGAGTTGAAATGGCTGAAAAGCCTTTCAAAAATTCAAAAATCCTGGCATGGCTGTCAGATTTTTGTCGAAAAATCCTGTCAGACAGGCCAAAATCCTGTCGGATGGGAGCATTAACTATAGTATATAGGATTGGAGCGAAAATGTAATACAGAAAAGTTGAGCGGAAAAATGTCAAATGAAAAGGGATAGCTATATAGTTCACTATAGTTTACTATACAGTTTACTATATAGCTATCCATACCTTTAGTGCAAAAGCATTTATTGCTCTCCCTAACGCAAACGCCATCTATTCGGTGCGAACATGAAAACAAACAAAGTGACTCCAGCTGCCAACCGATATATGAATCGGTGGAAATGAAGGCAGTGTATAAAAAATATGCCGAACAAAACGAACCACAGCGTTTCCTCTATATAGAGATGTTGTTGTATTATAACTCTGTATGGATCCATTTGTTTGTTTTCATGTTCAAACCGAACAGATAGCGCTCGCGTTAGGTAGGACAATAAATGCTTTTGCACTAACCGTATGTAGCTATCCCTTTTCCACTCATTCATCATCGACATTTTTCCGCTCTTTTGTATTACATTTTCGCTCCAAACCATTCATATATAGTTGGAACAACACAAATTAACTAAAAACACAAAAGTCACACAAGTGAAATACATGGCCGATGACACACTGTCAATCTCTGAATCGGAAGTTATGTAAGAACCCAAAACCGCTTTCTTAAAAGCAACTTTGCTAGATGGGGGAACATTGTACAATTCCGATACTTTAGCGAACACAAAAATTGTGCGTACGTAAAAACCAGTTATCGTCGCCCATTCGACCAAAGTGAATAATCACTTTCAATAATCATTTAGATGCTTTAGTATCAAATTTAACCACATTGAGATCGAACCACACATTTATCTCATGCGTGCGTGCTCTTTTTGAATGAGAAATCGCGTAAATTAAAAGGGAATTTCATTCGGTATAAAAATTCATTTGAGAAGACATCTCGTCTGCCCATTGTAAAGAAAATTGAAGGAAACTAAAACAACCCGATGGAATTCACTGGTAAAATCATAATCGTTACGGGTGCGTCGAGTGGAATTGGAGCGGAAACAGCGCGTCATCTTTCGAGTTTGGGTGGCAATGTGGTGTTAGTTGGACGAAATGAGAGTCGGTTGAACAAAGTGGCTGATGAAATTAAAAGTGCTGGTTCACCAGCTCCGCTGCCAATCGTGGCCGATGTGACAAAAGACACTAAACGAATCGTCGATGAGACGATCAAACACTTCGGTCGACTTGATGTGCTAGTCAATAACGCGGGAATAAATATAGAAGTGCCAATCATGGATGCGACCAACGAGCAATTCGATCAAATCTTCAATACAAATGTGCGTGGTGTGATTGATTTATGCCAACTAGGTGCCACATTTGGAGCGAACGAAAGGCAATATTGTGAATGTGTCTAGCATATGTGGAATGGTACCAGTTTATTCATCGACTTTTTATTCCATGAGCAAAGCCGCTTTGGATCAATTTACACAGTGTGCGTCGAATGAATTCGGTCGCCGTGGTATACGGTCGGTTCTTTTCTGGCTTTTTCTTTTTTAGTGACACACAGGAACTAATAATGCTTGATTCCTTTCTTGCCAATTTACAGTGTAAACAGTGTTAACCCGGCTTTGGTGGAAACTCCAATTTTTGAGACTGTCGGAATGTCTCGCGATGAAAGGGCCAAGCTCATCGAAGACTACAGCAAGCGATACCCGGTCGGTCGAATCGGTCGAGTCTCCGATGTGTCCAGGTGTATTGCATTTTTGGCCAGCGATCGGGCTGAATTTATCACGGGGACATTATTTAGATGTGACGGTGGTGCTGTTTCTGCAGCCGCTTATTAAATCGTTATATTTCTTCAATAACAATGCTAAACATATACTCCTCTTGTGTAGAGAACCGCTATTCTCTCATTATTTCTTTCTATTTGCACAAACAAAATGAAATAAATATACAGTTTTTGTTAAACGTCGTTATTCTTTTTTCATTCAATGCTTTTCGCCGAATCATTATTAGTAACCATCTAAAAAAAATACAAATGAAATGCGTCAATCTCTCTATCTCTCTTGAAATAATTTCTCTCAAAATGGTTGCATTGAACTATATGAGGTAAGCGAAATAGCACAGAGTGGGAATTTCTTAAATTGAGTGGCATACGTTTCCATTTCAACAGAATAGTAGCGAACATTGTTGAAAGAATGAACTATGCTTATAAATACGACTCATATTCTACGAAACTTCATTTTTTCGGAATAACCGCAATTCATAGCCGAATAAAGAGCAATCACAATGGAGTCGCTCGAAGCAAAAATTGTGTGTTTTTATATGTCAAGTGTTTTTATTTTGTGCTATTATTCTTTTATCTCTTTGGCTATAGCACAATAATCTTTAAGATGTTTGGTGTATGCACTCCCGTTCGCACAACAATTAACCTTTGGTAGAAGTAAATGACGGCATTTTCTTTCTTCAAATTGTTTTCATTTTTGAATTCAGTTAGAATGCGGTAATCTAATAAGCAGATAAGGTATTTTGGCTGGTTCATTTGCCAAAAATTCGTACGTCAGTCGTGAAAATGAATTTCGGAGGAAAGGTAATACTTGTCACCGGTGCAGCATCTGGAATCGGTGCAACCACTGCAAAATATTTTGCGCAGTTGGGCGGATGTTTGGTAATAGTTGATCATAATGCCGAACACTTGAACGATGTGGCTGAAGAGATAATTGCGGAAGGTTCTCATGTTCCATTGGCAATCGTGGCCGATATAACCGAAAACCCGGAGCATATAATCACTAAGACTATTGAAAAATTCGGCAAGTTAGATGTTCTCGTCAATAATGCCGGAATTGCTTCACATAACGGATTGACTGATCTGGATATGAACGATTTTGATCGTATTCATAAAACAAATGTGAGAAGTGTTGTGTTTTTGACACAGTCAGCGATTCCATACTTGGAAGTGACCAAAGGAAATATCGTCAATGTTTCAAGCATTTGTGGTTTGAGGGCCTGTCCACAGTTGTTGGCATATTCAATGTCAAAAGCAGCAATAAATCAATTTACAAAGTGCACAGCAGTGGAATTGGGTCCAAAGGGTAAATGAATCTTATGAGAAATGTTAATTGGACAGTGTTAAAAAATCATTCTAATAATTAGAATTTTATTTTTTTTTAAATGATAATTTGAAAATAATCATATGATTTTTGAAGGTATCCGAGTCAATTCAGTTAATCCAGCTGTTACCAACACACCCATGATTGACGCAATACCGGAGGAGACGAGAGAAAAAACGTTGAAATATTTGAAACGAGCCTATCCACTTCAAAGAATCGGCGAGACAAGTGATGTTGCCAATGCCATTGCCTATTTAGCCAGCGAAAATGCTGCATTCATCACCGGTCATCTGTTTTGCGTCGATGGAGGTTCGCTTGCAGCCAATATCGTTTGAATGTATCAGTTAGACATTGACCTCAAATGCGAATTGTAGCCGAATTTTAACAATGGCTTCATTTTATCAACGATTCTTATCATACATGCACACCATGGAGTTCAAGTCCAAATACACTTTTGTATTGTTATCAATTATTGCCCAATAAACACCTTATCGCACTGGTAGTATGCAATCAATGATCATTTTTATTTGTCTGGTTAAACACTTCAAACTGGTTTGAGTGTTTGATGCAAAATTCCAGGGATCGAAACCAAACCAAACCGAATATTTGGTTTGAGTGTGTGAATGAACCAAACCATTTAGAACGTTCTGAAAAATGGTTTGTATGGCACACAGAAACGTTTATGCTTACATGTATTAGTATACGATACTAACAGAGTGACAACACGCTTGAATGTTGCTCATACAAACCATTCTCAGAACGTTCCGCTTGATACGGTTTGCTCCGATGAACAGAGAGCAAAGTAGTGAAACCGTCCCGAAATCGGTTTGTATGAGAAACGTCAAACCGTTTTCGATCCCTGTAAAATTCTTCAATAGATGTCATGGTATTATGTCTGTGAGTATGTGTTGCATTTAAAGAGTGACATTTCATTCATATCACCACAATAAGCAATTGAGCTCGGTCAACAACTTGGTTTATAACAAAAAAAAAAGTTGTCATTGAAAACAAAACATCTTTATTATTGAAGTCACAATTTTTTTTCTCTTCAAATCACGAATTCAATTTCAAAAAGATAGATGAGTTTTAAAGATAAAGTCGTAATTGTAACTGGTGCAAGTAGTGGAATTGGAAGAGGTGCAGCAATCCATTTGGCAAAATTAGCCGCTGACGTTGTACTGGTCGGAAGAAACCAGGAGAGATTGAACGAAGTAAAACAGCAAATTATTGCGAATGGATCTTCGGAGCCCTTGGTGCTGGCTGCCGACGTGACAAAAGACTCGGAGAAAATTATCAACGAAAGTGTCAAGCATTTTGGAAAAATAAATGTTTTAATAAATAATGCGGGAATGATGACGGAGGAAAGTATTGAAAATGTCACAATGGAGGCGTTTGATAAAACGATCGATGTAAATCTACGAAGTGTCGTACAATTGACTCAAAAAGCCATTCCATATCTTGAGCAAACAAAAGGTAACATTTTGAATGTGAGCAGCACGGCCGGTCTGAAAGCCGTTCCCAATTTACTATCCTATTGTGTTTCAAAAGCTGCATTGGATCAGCTGACCAAATGCTCAGCATTGAACTTGGCTCCAAAAGGAATACGAGGTAAGTGGAGGCAAGGCTTAAATGAAAACGTAATATGATTTAATCGGCGATTTTTTTTTCTGTCAGTCAATGCTATTAACCCAGCTGCGATTCGGACTCCACTCTACAAAGCACTCGGCATAGATAGCAAGGCAGAACAAGAGCTATTCGATTCATACAAATCCCATTACCCAATGGGAAGAATTGGTGAAGTGAGTGACACGTCATCGGCTATCGCATACCTAACGGGTGACTCTGCTTCTTTTTTAACGGGTGTGTTGCTGCCAGTTGATGGAGGTGCGCTGACAGCTGGTTACGATTAAATTTTTCAAAAATTAAAAGATAATGGATTTAAAATTGAATTGTACTAGAGTTTAATTACTGCGTTTCACTTGGTGATAAAGAAAACGGCTCTCGGGCACATTATCCATAATAATAGATTGTCTAAAATATTTGCAAATAGATGTTATTCGTTGATCACATTCAATTGATGTGTCATAAAGTTGTCAAGCTGAACACTATTGATTACAAAATATTATCTATCCGACAAAGCCGGCTTATATATATTGCATGTAAGTAGCGAGCATCTTGTCACAAACGCCCATTCCCTCACGTAAATCACCTTTCAATGGATCGGAGAGAGATGAGATTCTCATCATAAGAACAGGTCTTAAAGAACTAAATTTACTGCGAGATTACCCGAAATATCGATAACTTTGAGCTTTGAGTCCTGAGCTGAAACAAAAACTAATGTAGAAATAAAACATCAACAGCATAAATTTTCATTTAAATCAGATATTTTTTTTTATTCATATGATTTTCTGTGTGTGTTTTTACGTGATAGATTTCATGTATACAATGTTTATACATACATTCATGTTAAATTGTTTATCATCTTAACTAGTGTTTTATGTCATTGTTTTTTTTTTAAAGGACGAATAAATATTCAACTAAACCGTAGCTATTATGTTTACTTGGGAAACCGATCGCCAGAACCGTGTTGGCGGTTGTTGACCGGGTTTAAATGTTGAACCTGTACTGTTTTTAGATTGCCCAGTTTCTCTACCAGAATTGGATAATCATAAGCTGGAATTTGGGTCAAAAAAAGATTTGCTTCGATCTGTATGAATCCCACAGACTCCGTGTCAAGAATTTCGACTTAAAACTTGTCAAACTTCCGTTACTGAGCTCATCTAAATAAAATCGATCACCATGTTCGAATTACACATGTGTGTTAGAAATGTCGTTATGTGAGAGGGGCAGAGAGCATTATCTAAATTTACTTGGTTTAAGCATTTATAATTGATGTGTGTGTGTGTGTGTGTGTGTGTTGTAGGCAATTGGTGTAGTGGGTCAAACGGGTCCATTTTTTTCATAATTGGATTCTCGAAATTCTAATTAGCACCACCAAAAAACACCAGACAAGTGTTATTCGAATGAAATTTTGTTATGCCAAGGATAAAGAGACGCATTCAACCCCACAACTCCAACTCCACCTAAAATTGCCCAATTCATAACACATTTCTTTGTTCTCCTGCAAAAATGTTTAATTTTTGTCCATTCCAAACGAATGAAAAATCAAGAAATAAATTACGGCTTATCTAGTGTTTTGATATATTATTTTCCTTTATTTGTTTTGCTAATAATTAAAAAAAACTGAGGAACAAATATTACTCTATATTTTACTTAAATGAAAAAAAGAAAACGATTGATTCTGTTTTGATTCCAAAAGGTTTAAAAAAGAACAAGCAAAAAAAAATCCGTTCATTTTTTTCTTCACTTCTTAATCATTTTTTTTTTTCACAGAAACGACATACAAAAAAATTGGTTTCAATTTTATTCCCTTTGCTCTGATAATTATTTTCTGTTTTATACACATGACGAACAAAAAAGAGTTAAATTTATTATATACACGGATTGTTATTTTATCGTTTTTTTATTGGATGAATGAGATATATTTCACAAAAAAAATATTGTTATTTGTTACAAAGCGCGAGCCAACAATTGGTCTCGCCGGTTTTTATTTTGGTTCAAATACCAATTCTTTTTTTTTCTCTAACAAAAAGAAAATTATTCGGCCGATATTTTGTGGGTGTGTAATTTTCATCTTTCAATCAATTTCAATCAATATAATTAATTTTGTTGTTGTTGTTATGTGTGTGTTTTGTTTTACTAAATAACTTGTTCCCAAAATAAATGGAATTGTACCTAGAGGAAATGCCTAGGGAATTGTACGCACTTGGTTTTCGCTCAATTTGTTGTTGTTGTTGTTGTTGTTGTTTTGTTCAGAGTATTATATGATTATATATATATATCTATAAATCTTGTGATTAATTTTTTTTATGCAAAAGAAAAATTAACAATGTTCTTGGGTTTTGTGTGGATTTTTATTGTATGAGCATCATACTTATACAGAGTAAATACTCGTACGCACACACATAGAGTCATTGACGTAGAAAAAATGATGAAAATATGCGATATGAATGAAAATATAAACGTAAAGGCATTTGAAACTATCGATGGGGTGGGGGCGGAGACGGAGGAAAAGAAAGAGAATTTTACGGCCTGAGAAGAAAAACCTTTCCTACAAAACCTGTGCGCAGAACACAAACACAGAAATTTTTTAGTCAAAAGGCGAACAGCAAATTTGCGACCACAAAAACCTAATATATTTACAGCGAGCGCAAAAGCATAACAGGCCTACTTATACGGAGTTTGCATGCTAGTAGGCTTTTTATACTTTTGCGCTCGCTGTAAATATATTAGGTTTTTGTGCTCGCAAATTTGCTGTTCGCCTTTTGACTAAAAAATTTCTGTGTTTGTGTTCTGCGCACAGGTTTTGTAGGAAAGGTTCTTCTTCTCAGGCCGTCATTTGTGTGTGAAAAATGTGTGACGAGTGAGGAAAAAATAAAACAGAAAACAAAGCACAACCATTAAATGCGTTTTATCCTTCTTTTTGCAAATTTTTCTCTTTTTTTGTTTTGTTTGCGAGCATCCAGCAAATGTCTGAATCGCCGAATATTGGATTTATAATTTTTTTTTGTAAGCAGAACTTTTTTTAACATTAACGAATTCTTTCTTTTTGTTTCATAATTATTTACAATTCGTGTGCACACACAATTCAAATTCCAAGTAGTACGAACGTTTTTTTTTAAGTTGCATGTTGTTTGGTTTTGGGTAAAATGCCTTTGTTTCTCTATATATAACAAATTGGACTGTGTGTGTGTGTGTTTGTGAGTTTTGTTGTATTGCTGCCCATTTTGCAATTTCTAAATTTTCGTCTAATTATCCAAAATACCTCTTCTAGCCAGCGAAAATCATCGTTTCGAGTGCATTTCATTGGAATAAACCCATTATTCTCTCTTTTATTCTCAGAATTTTTGTCGTATTTACTCATAATATTATTAATAGTTTTTTTTTGTTTAATTTTAAACATAATAATTTAATGATTCTGTTGATTTTTTAGACTATAAATTTGTAGGAGTTTTTTTTTTCTTATTTTTTCTTACTTTTCTTTCATTTTTCATCAGAACCATTTTTTTTTCTGTGTGCTTCAAAATTCACACATCACAATTGTTTTTTTTCTTCCATTTTGTTTAGCCTTAATTGTTCTATATTTTGCCTGGTTTTTTTTTGCTGTTTCTATTTTCACTTGACATGCAGTTTGAACGTGCAACAAAAATCCATTTTCATTTTGAGCAACAGCACGTTGATTTTGTGACAACGTAGATTGAATGCATTTTGCGACAACGATGATGAGAGAATAACAATGACGGCTGACAATGATGGTGTTCACTCGGTCGGTTTGTTTAACACAAATAGCACTCGGTTCAGTGTCAGCCTCTGGTGAATGTTCGTATCAATTCGGATGTGACTTTGCGCCCCGACACTGCAAACAAGAAATAGACACAACATTAGCCTTCACTTGCCATCATTGCACATGTTCATCGGTCATATTTGGGGACATGTAACACAACGACCACCCAACTAACTTTGACCGGTTCAAGAATTCTTTCAACCATCTCTGTGCACCCCAGGCAAAGGGTTTTGTATGTACCCGCGCAAGGGAGCCCAAGACTAGCGATTTTTTTTCTCAAGAAAAACTCGATAAATCCACTGAATTATTCATTTCAGGCTTTTAATAGTTGGTCAATATGTGAGTTAGTGTTTTTGATTTTATTTTCCGATTAAAATCGATCAATTTGAGTGAGTCAATGGTTGTTGGACTCAAATTTTCAATCAATTCTCGGTGCTCAAAGTGCTTGAATGTGGTGTGTGTGTATGTGGGAATTTCTTGAACCGTCAAAACTTCCAACAGATAAGGAAAAAACAACGAGACACAGAGACAGAAATGCCAAACAGAAAAACTGGCGATCAAACAGTTTTAAGTGTCATCACAGAAATACAAACCTGCCCGAGCAGCGGCCGCAGCAGACGTACGTTTGTTTCGGCTTCGATTGCTTTTGCTATCCTTGGTGCGTTTGTGCCGGTTTTTCACCGGGCTATAGTCGGTGGTGTCACGACTATCTTCGTCGCTAATCACAAGCGGTTTGGCGGAGGTGTGTGCGCCACGCGTACGAATGCATCGTGTGCTTGGCCTTCGATAATCAAACGAATCATGTGAACTGTCCTCTTCGCTGGCCGGCGATGACATGCCACAACTGCTGTTATACTTTCGACGACCCTTGCCACCAACGCCTAGCGTTAACGATTCCGACGATTCAATCGTACTGCTGCTGCTGCTGCTGTTCTTTGTGCCACTGCCACCGCGTGTATTCAAATCCCACCACGCAATTTTCGAGCTAATTTCACAGCATGGATTTGATGCATCCGAATTTTCACTGGATGTAGGTGCTACAGCAGCAGCAGCTGCTGTTGTCGTCGTCGTCGTTGTTGTTGTGTTGATAGCCGTAGCGACGGTCGATTCAGTTGACGCTATTGTTTTCCGCTTTCGACCATTCGTTTCTCGATATGCGCTGATCTTTTTCGTCGGTGTAATGACATTTCGCAGGCCGGATTTGCGCCGTCGTGTGGTTTTGGTCGCTTGTTTGGCAGTTTGTAATGGGGATGCTTTTTCCAGGGCATCATCGCTTGCGTTCGGTATTCGAACATCTTCAGCACTGTGACCGTTCAGCTTTTTATCCGATGCAATGTTAGTAGTGCTGGTGTTGGTGGAGGCTGGTTTGCGTCGACCACGTACCACCGTTGGTTTCACCTCTTCGGTGATGCTGTTGTTGTATTCGAGCTGCTTGACCAGCAACGATTGCCGTTTCCGCCACACATCCATCATCGCACGATTATAGCCCTTGATACAATCCTCGGGCTGATCCAAATGATCGCGATCTTTGTTTTTCGTTTTCAAATTTTCCGTTTGAATGATCGCATACGTAGGTTTTCCGGTGTAACGGCGGACGGGCGTTTCATCGCATGGTTCACGTTCGAATTCCTTTTCGGCCCGTTGCCGTGCTATTTGATCCGGATCGGTGCTCAATATTTCAGTCCATGAGAATTTTGCTCGTCGTTTTTTCGTATTTTGTGTGGCCTTCGATCGGAGATTTTTCGGTGATATTTGATTTGGTGTGGTTGGCGTTTCACAAAATGACATCATCATGCCCATTTTCATCATTTTTGCCACATCCATCATCTTTTGACCGAGCACATTGTGTACGGCATCAATTTCATCGGTGTCCAATTTGCGTTGCGGTGCCGCTCGTAAGTCCGCCACATTCAATACCATTTCACTTTGTTTATAGCCTAGCTTAAGGAATTCTCTCAAAAATATATCTTTACATAACTTATAGTTGGGTCGATCGTGATAGGCTAAATTCGCGACATGTGTTAAAAATTCATAAATAAACGCCGGTATTGGAACATTGTAAAATTTCTTATATAATTGCTTAATGTCAGTCATAAAATACTCCTTCATTCGATGCACTTGCTCCGGTTGGCTCATGATCTTCTCATTTTTCCACGGTAAATAACCCTCTTTCCAATAAATTAAATTGTATGCCAAACATTCGAGGTCACTGCGTCGCGAATGGGCACCCATGTGTGCGTCGCGTGATGTAAACTCAAGCGTACCATCATGTGCTCGTCGCTGATCCATCACAAATGGCCGATGTACACCGTTTGAATCGACAAATTTTAGCGCCAAACCAAAATCAATCAAATGTATTCGATCTTCCGATTGCATCTCATCGTCCTCACGCAATGTGGCCAATTGATCAATGCCATTTTTCACTTCTGATCGATGCTGAGATTTTTCCGTTGATTTTTCAGCCGATGAATATATTCGCTTTAAGTAGCTATTTTTACGGCCCCATTCATCATCATCCAAATCACTATTTCGACCCATTTCCTCGTCCTCGTTCTCACAATAGTTAACCTTTTTCGTTGAACGACGCAAATAATGTGAACGCACCATCGCATCATAGGTTTCAGTGCTGTTCGACTCTTTGCGACACGATCGCATCGGATTCGAACCACTGAACTCCACTTTTGTGTTACGACGCCGTGAGAATGTGTACTCTTTGTCCGATGTAGAATTCGTGCTATTTGTATCGCTGTCCACACCTGAACCGAGATCTAGGAGGAAAAATGAAAAAAAAGAACCAGAGCTATTAGAATTGGTTTTGGCGAGAATTTTGGAGGCAGTTTGACATTTTTTGATTGAAAGAACCAAGTTTTGGAAAACTTCGAAACATTTTGAAGGAAAAAGATTAGGAAATTCAAAATTATGAAGAAATTCTAACGATTTACACGACTTTCAAAACAAGTTTTACGCGATTTTACTCACCCGAATTAGATATGACGTCGTCGTCGTCTTCGTCATCCTCATCCACCTCATCGTCGTCAACATCCTCATCCTCATCATCGTCGTCATCGTCGCTCAATTTATCGAAATCCTCGCCAAAATCGCTGTCCGATTTGTTGCTCGATGCACTGCTGCTCGATTCCGCATACGATTTCGATTCGGCCGTTTTTTTTGCCTGTCTCGTATCACTGTCATTGCGTGCCAATGTCATTCGCAATTTGCGAACCGGTTTCCGTTTATCGGCACGTTGTTTGTTGGCGACCGTCGTCACCGTTTGCTGTTGTTGGCTCGTTGCATTGCCGCTGCGCTGCTTTTGTTCATTGTCTTTGCTTTTTTTGTACGTACACTTGCCAATCATTATGTTCTCAGCCTTAATGTCCGAATGTGCGTACCCGCAGTCATGAATATGCTCTAAAATGTCAATCAATTGGCTGGCTATGATCAGGATATTCTTGGTCTCCACTTGACGGCTTCGGATTATGGAATGTAAATCAAAATCGTAGCGTGGCAAAATGAGGAAACGATATCTCGTCTGACCAAAGAAATGACCACCCGATGCCATGTACGTTGGCATACCCAATGGCAACGGTTTCTCCTCTGTAACACACAAAAATTGCACCAAATTTAATCGAATCGCATCAAAATGAATGAAAATAAAGAGAGAAAAAAAACCACTTCAACTCACCTGTTGGTTTTCCCGATTTGATCAAACAATGAATTTCCACAAACAATGGCCCACTTTTGTGTGGCTCAATTTTTACCACAAATTTCGCATTTTCACTTGTTACTGGTTTGGATATATCGTCGGAAGCCAAGAAAATTTCACCAAAACTGCCTTTGCCTATGGGAAGAGAGAACAACGAGAATTGAGTTAGTGAGAATAGAATCGAATTGGAATTTGAGTTAGTGCATTTTGTACATTGGAATTAATGTATTGATTCACTCCAATTGGGTCGTTTGGAACTCAGAATGGGATTCAATCCAAATTTAATCCAAAATTGTTTTCAAACAATTTTGACGATTTCATACATTCAGTCCAGCTGAAGTGTCAACTCATAATCAAATAAAGTGAAGAAATTAATGTCAAACTTACCGATTGGTTTGCCGCATCGCCATTTTTTCGCGCACAGATCGGTGAGCACGGTGCCGTCCACCAGATCCGTGGTTAATGAATAGGTGACATCGTTGATGGCCGCCGCTGTGGCCGTCAACTGATTTGTAGTCTCGGTTGCAGTAGCATCGTTAACGTATGGTTGATGTGACGATTCGGTTTTACGTTTTTTATTTGTCGGTGTATCCAATTGCGAATCATGATCAACATATCGTTTGCCCATTTTCACTTAGAGTTCGTGTATGTGATTCCGGTTCTGTTGATTGAAAAAAAAAACATTCTTAATGAGATAAGCTCCGAGATTCAAACAAATTAACGGAAAAAAAAACAACAACCCGAGCTAAAATTAATAGTCAATTTCAATGACAGTTGCACCCAAAAATATTGATAAGCATTGATTAGTCGATTCCTTTTTTTTGGGTGTCTAACACACGACGAGTCTCGTTTACATTGACAGTTGTGAATTGCCAAACAATAGGCTTTTCTCGCTGTGTTATGCGAAGGGGAATGCGAAGCGATACAACGAAGTGTCAAAATTGTGCAAGTGTGTATGCGTGTGTGGTTGTGAAGAGGCCCCATTTCATCTTGACGAACACACAAACAGGGTGTATATATTTTTTGGTGAGTGCAAGTGTGTATGTTTTGTAAACGTTTTACCCATACACATACACTCATCCACTCAACTCCATGATTTGTTTAGTGTTCGGCATTTGTGTGGCTGTTGTCATACATATACGAACGGAGAAGATGATGTCTCGTATTACACCAATGTTCGCAAGGCTATTGTATGAATTGTCTTCGTTGTCATCATCGTCACCTCTCTTTCGCACACACAACTTGTTTCTCTCTGTCTCTCTGTCTCTCTCTCTCTCTCTCTCTCTCTCTCTCTCTCTCTCTCTCTCTCACACTCTTTCTCGTCTCTTCAACTATCGAAGTGCGATGCGTTGGTTTTTTTTTGTGAATGAAATGAATGGCGTGAAAGGTACGAGTGAATCAACATACAAAGCTAACAAATTTTATTTTGGTGAACGCATTTTTCGACGGTCATGTACTTCTCGGCGTTCAAACGCACACGACTAATGAACCAAATACATCGCTCTTCTCGCAAGCGCGCTCGCTGTGTCCGTACGAACCGTTCCCTTTCTCTCGCACCTACGTCAAATCGCTAGCTTCTTCTTTCTACCGAAACATTTAAATTCTCTCGTGGATTGAAACATTTATTTCCGTTTCACAAAACATTTGTGCCGATAGAAATGACGGTTACGTTTTGATTCACAGAAACATGAGAGTTTTTCTAGTCTCTTTTGCTTGAGAATTTTAACTGTCCACACTTGAAATGTGTGAGTGTTTTTTTTTAATTGACGAATGATTCACTGAAATCGCTTTGGGTGTGAAGTCTTTGAACGAAATCGCTTTTGGAAATGAAGGCTCTGATTGAAATTTGCTCTAGACGTGGAATCTCCAGTCAAAGTTTGCTTCGAAAATAAAGTATTTGGTCGAACTACGGCCTGCAAATGGAATTGATGTCCATTAGAATTGGATTTTTTTTAATGCTTTGCATTTTTCCTGCGCCAGAAAAGTCGCACACAGTCGTCGTTTGAATCGGAGCAACTTGGTATTGAACCGTTCAATTTGCGCGTTCAAACAATTCCACCGAATTGTTTGCATATTCGTTATTCATGCCACAAAAATAGAATCATTTGTTTAGCAGTTTTGTATTGAAATAGAATAAAAATCGATTGTTGCCAACTGGTATTGTTGTTGCTGTTCTAATAATTCTTCTTCTTCGTTTTCATTGTTGTTGTTGATTTCAGGGTGAAAATAAAATCTCGCCTTTTTTTCTTAATGTAAATGACGCATTCGGCCCTACTGATTCACGCATTTTTGCACACAAAATATAAACAAATGAGGCAATAAACAAATTTTGCTTCTCTTGACTTTTGCATGTATGCATTGTGTGATGCTTTGTTTCTTCTCTGCGAAAACAACTAAATCAATTGTGACGCGCATCGTTGAGAACGAAGCAGCAGCGACACACACACACAGAGAGAGAGAGAGAGAGAGAGAGAGAGAGAGCGAATAACAAGCGCAAACCACATTCACAAATGGAAAATCTTGTTGTTAGGATTTCGAGCAAATCGATGCGCGATGCCGTACAAAAATACACACGACGAACTAAACGAATGAGAGAAGAAAAAAAGAAGTGCATAGCACGAAGCACACGACAGCAGTTGAATAACAGTGAGAATGAATGCAGAGAGCGCGATGGAGACGGACGAGAGATAGTGAGTGAGTGAGTGAGAGAGCGAAGTATCGAGGGATAGAGTAGGAAAAACGGCAAACACACGCACTGGGCGCATTAATACAGTCATTGAGACATCTATTCAATGCAACTTCTATACATATACCGAATCGGGGCCAACAACGACGACGACGACGACGACAACGACGACGGGAAAAAAAGTGCACAGCATATAACATGGAGGAGTCGAAAAAAACCACAAATTTGCTCAAATGCCACACGATCGAATTGGAAACACGAAACAAACGAGATGAAATGTAACCGAAAAAAATGAACGCACAATCGCAATTGTGCAGATTAAAACTAGGCTCTCACTCGCTCAAACTGTCTGTGTCGCAAATTGTCTCGAACAATCGAGAAATGGTGTGTTTAGTGCGCACTTTTTTTTCTTCTGTCGTATGTTTTTTTTTTGCACGTAGCTGTTGTCACAAACAATTGTCTATCGCCACTTGGAATGAAGTGAGTCAAAGAAGCAACGACGACGAAAAAGAAACTAGCACTCACTGACAATGACCGCAACAACAACAACAATAACAGTAACAACAGTAAGACGATGGGCCATTTCACTGTCGCTCCAAAATAACTAGCACTCGGTTCACCTGTTTTCTTCTTCTTCTTCTTCTTCGTTGCCTTTACTCGTTTTTGTCATATGAAATCGTCTTAAAATCGATATGCAACTGAAATCACATACATGTACAGACACATACACAAAATCCAAAATAACTCAATGAAAAGTACGAACCAAAATAAAAAGCGCACTGTTTCATACCTATTCTCTTGCATGGATCAGAAATTGTTTTATCATAATTTCGATTGGGATTCTCTTCTTCAAATGGAAACAACAAACATTTTCATCACCACACTATCCGCATTGAAGACATTTTCGTGTTTCGCATTACATATTACGATATATTAAACAAATTTTCTCTTTGATTTCAACGCAACCAAGAAGAGACAGTGAGAAATAGGTAAAACAACAAAAATAAATAAATTACTGGCAAACTTAATTTTAATACTACACACTACGCCACTGAGAACCACGACAAATAATTTTTGAACAAAGAAACACTCTATTTTTTTCTTCTGCTGTGCCTGGTGTTTGAACTCGACGAATGAACGAATGAAATACAAGAAACAAAAAATAAGAATATCGAAATCGACGAAATGTTGTTTTGTACCCGTTTTTTTTTCTCTCTTCAGTTAAGCATTTTCTTTAAGTTCCAAGACGTGTATGTGTGTATGGTTTTTTTTTATCTACTGTATCGTCTGGTTGAATAATTTTCCATTCGATTTTCGTTTCGTTTCGTTTTTTTATTCGCGTTCTTGCACAAACGATATAAAACACACAAAATTTTCTAGCTGATGACAAAATGTGGTGCAATTGAAATATGTCGACTTTTATTTTAATGTTGTTTTTTAAAACGAGTCGTTCAAGTGAATTTTCACTATACACAGTCGTTTTGAATGAGACGTGATATCGCCATTTTAGAAAATATTTCTTTTTCTTCTCTTCTCTCTTCGTGTGTTTCGTTTCTCTTTTTTTTATTGTGTGTGGCTTTTGAGAGTTAGCAGCAGCAGCAGCAGTAGTAGTAGCTCTGTAGTATACAGCACGGTGTTAGTGTTGTAGACAAGCAAAGCAGTGTATTCATTGACAATGGTGCGAATGAAACAGCGCATATGACATACGAATCTAACGTACGATACGGTTATGGCTGTGTAACAGAGACAGTAATGTGACACCAAATTTTTTTTACCGTAAACTCATACTAACACCAGCAATACACGCACACATCCACTGTTGTCGAACATGTCAAATGGACGCGTGAATGTGTATTAGTTTGTATCGCTATACACAGATTTCCCTTCATATGCTACAAACCGTCCGACTCAATCAACATTTTCGCACCGCAAACGAAGATACATGATTGATTTGTATGCGTTTGTCGCTAGTTGCCTTTACTCGAGCCGTTTTTTCTTCTTCTCTAGCTTGTCTCTACCGATAAGCACTATACACACCATCGGTTGTAATACAGAAACACTGTAGTCCACACATAAAATGCTACTCTCGAATCCGAAACTATCACGTACACACAACGGTGCGTATGCTGACTGCCTTGGAGATATATTTACTCGACCGCTTACCTGATGCAAAACACTCTAACGGACTTTGAAGAAACAACAACCAAACACAACGATTGAGTAGAAATTTAGACACCCGTTTGACAGAATTTCAATTCACATTTCAAATGTTTACGACTCACTTTGTCAATGAAAGAAAATTTTCAAATTTTTCACTCGTTTCAAGGAGATTTAAACGATCGTTTTTTTTTTCGTTCATCGAACGACAATTTTAAACGACAATTTTTCATTAGAACGAAATTCGCTTCATTGAGGGTTTTTCATTGAGAATTCGATTTTTTGAATTTGATCGTCGATGTTATGGCGATTTTTCATGAGAAAAAACCATTTTCTTGAATATATACCGAGTTCGTGGGGAAATTAAATTCAACAGAAGAGAAATGTTTTCAAAGGGGAATTTATGAACAGAAAATCGCTCGAAAAATGTGGATTCAAGTGAAAAAAAATGTGGATTTAAGTCGAAAAATCGATGAGAAGAAATCAATCAAAAATGCATGAGAATTCGCAATTTCCCCATACCAAACGCGTTTTTACATAAAAATCGGGAAATTGTCCATTCATATCGTAGAAATCATTAAAAAATATCATAGAACAAAAAAAAGAGTTAAAAAATCGATGAATCCAAATGTTCTCCTAAAATATGATGTATTCAAATGTGTTTGGTCCAAGTTGTGGTAACAATTCAAATGTCAGTTTGCAAAAATGTGGAGAATCGTAGTTATACTTGTATTTCTGTTGTTGTCGAAAGGTAAAAACCGCAAAAAGTCTACAAGAAATTGTGACATGCATACATTGAAAGGCATTTAACCGCTTCGCGTATCGACACACTGACTCACGTACGCATATACACACACATGGACATACGCACCGGAACCTTCTCATACGCTCATACTATTGATCTGCATATACAAAGTGAGTGAGTCTTTGGTGTTGTCTTGCCACTGGAATGTTTGTATGTGCACGGACGACGCGCACACAACGCAGCCAGCAAAGCGACTATGTCTCCTCGTATGCACCACAACGAATCCACACTCGAAGACTACACGAAGCGACGACGGTCGAAATGAACATGAAATATGAGCGTCACAACCATTTCTTCGGTTGTATACAGAGACAGAGGTAAAATCAGCCAGAAAACAACTTGGATTTTTATATACATGCACAACTCTCTTTCTCGCCTTCAATATTATTTTTATTTTTGCGATCGAACTTGAGACCAGAAATCATATGATTCATTTTCAGAAAGACAATAAAAGCATGGAAAACAAAATGGTCATCGAACAATCACTTAGTCCGAATCAATTAAACTTATTGTGCAAGTTTATTGATTTACATTTAAAAACAAAACGGAACCAATGATTAAAACATGCTTAATCAGTTCAAATGGGAATGTGAGTACTTACAATCATGTATGCCTTTGTTGCCAAAAGAACATGTTCAAAATACGATCGAGTTTTGCGCAAGCATTTGCAATAAATATGATAATAAATCCAAACAATAGACGGAATTGCAGCAACAACAACAACACTATATCAGTAGTTGAGGCTCGAATGGAAAATTCGTCACTCAATCGTTCTTGAGCACACAAAACAATTTTCACAATTATTCACAAATCACAATTGATCAGCACTTTATTTTATTTCCAATCAAATATATATCATTTCTGCATGCAACCAAATGATTTTTGAGTCTGAATTTGGGTTTTTTTTCTTCTGCCTCAATGAAATGTTTTATTTACTGGTTTACAATACCAAAACACCAGCTTTGGATACGAAATTTTTTTTTTGTTATGTTTTTCTTTCTCCTTCTCCTTCTGTGTGTTTGTCGGGCGCTATGTATTGGTGCAAGCATTCAGCAATTTTATGGGTCTATGATGGTGTGCATGCTATTTTGCTTCAGTTTTCATTGCCGTTGCACTCGCCTTTTCCACCGAATTTCAACAACTGAACTGTCAAACTCAGAAGATGCTCGAAGCGAATGCACGCGTATGTGTATGCCCTGTACAGTTCATACGCGTATTACTGGCCGTCCGGTGTGCCTGTGTATTTGTATTACTCTCGGTATTCCGACACTTTGACAGTTTTCACACACGCTGAATATTGATGAGTGAACCGTAACTTTTTACCGCAAAACCAAACATGGAAAATGGATACCAACAACCCATTTCAGCAAAAATGTACTGCATTACCGAAATTGCATGGATCTGTACAACATTTTCTTACTTTTTAGGGCCGAATTAAAATGAGAATATTTCTTGAATATTTTTGATGTTCTTGATTTTTGAATTGCATTCTTTTTCTTTCAATTTTTAAAGAATTTAATTTTATTTCATACTTAAGCAGATTTTTTCACTTTTATTTCATGATTTTCGAGCAATTGCGCAATTTTGAATTATTTTTTCTTTCATCTTCCTCTGTTGAATCAAAAGTATGTTTGATTTTTTGAAGATATGTGGTTGAGTGCTTTTAATTTTTTCATTTGATACACAAAATAGCTCTTCTTTTGGAATTCTGAGTCAGAATTCCTGACCAAATTTTACATTCATATAGGGTCGTGGGCTACTACGATTTTTTTTTTATTAATTAACTTTGCCTATAAATAGTGTCTCATATTCTGTGTCTCATTTTTATCATACTGTCATTCAATAAATTATCAATACCACCCAACCATTTTACATGGGGACCCCGAAGAGATGATTTCTTTTTTTGAGAGAGAGATTGAGGATTTTTTTAATATTCCAAAAAAAAATTATCAAATTATATCAATTTTCTATCGAAAAATCAAATATTTATCGCCATTCTTCGATGGAATCAACTGATCTGCCAATGAAATCAGCTGATCTGCGCTAAATTTTGTGCCAAGTCAGAGTATATTAACCAAAAAATAGCAAAAAAAAAACACAGAAAAATATAACAGAAAAAATAGCCAAGCAACGTAATTGAATAAAGAAACAATAAAGAGATTCTTACCATGAATTTCCCATTTTTGTGCTGTTTTGACTAGAATGGAACGAGAATTTGCTTTCTTTTTCTTCGAAATAATTGTTCACATGTTGATGTTATTATAGTGATTGAAGCATTTTTTATTCTTTTTATCGGAAGAAAAATCGTTCGAATTAATTTTGAAAAAAAAGTCGCAAAATCTCCATCCATATGGTTTTCTTTGGAAATTTGCTTATTAAAAATTGTATTTAACCATTTGCTTTTGTGCCAAAATCAATCAGAATGTTGAAAATAATTTAAATTCCTGTAAAATCAATGAAACTTCCTGCAAATTTCAAAGCCAATTTAATTTTCCTGTAAATGTTCAAAAAAAAATTGTTCATTGTAATTCCTGTGAATAGAAATTGGTTCCTAAATCGTGAAAAAAAATCCTGTAAAAATTCAAAGGAAATTTAGAAAGAAGAAATATATTTAAAGAAAATAGAACCAGTTAACTAGAGAGAAGAATAAAAACACCGTCCATTTTTTGGGTTTTGTAGCATTTTATTCAATCGATTTAGTTTGATTTTAGTCGATCTGGTTGTACATCAGAAAATGCGCGCGAGTTTTGCATATAATTTTTTTTGTTTGGTTTTTTTTTTAATGGTATCTAGACAATATAATTTTTTTTTGATTTATTCGATCATTTTAATACATTACGAAAGGTATAATTAGCCAAAAATAGAATTTTTTATAGTTTAATCCGAATAATGTGATCAAAAACAGAAGAAGCGATTAATTCATTCTCAAATTGAAAACTACGTTAAAAACGAAAGACATGACAAATGACGGAAATGATCGTGTGTTTGGGTGTGAAATTGAAAAAAATAATGAGTCGTATTGAGAGGAAGTTGACAAGTTATGATTTGGTATCTCAAGTCAATAAAAAATTTGATAATTGATTCGTTCATAAATTGATTTTCCACACCGATGGCCTTGCATCCAAATTTTCCAAATATAATTTCAATGATTTTGATTCTTGATCATCAAATCATTTAGAACGAAATAGAAGAAAATTGTTTCAAATTCGGTGTTAACCGAAAATGCAAAGTTGATTTTCAACGAAATCCGAATTGTGTAAAATTACCCGTGTGCAAATAAAATGACTAACAGTCACTCAGTTGTATGTAGTTGCATGTAGTGATACGCAACTAAAACTGGCCAAGTTGATTGAAATCATGCGTTTTGTATGTGGAAAATCACGTTTAGTTATTCTTTCAGCCAGTCGACTGATTTGGGACATTTTGACTAAGAGTGATTTGTGATTAAAAATAACTGCAGTTGCTTATTTTGTTCGAGACAATCACTTCTAGTCAGTCAAATAGTCACTGTATGTCCCAAATTAATCGACTGACTTAGACAGTCAAAAATTTTCCACACGGTAATTGATTTTTCAATTGTTTTTGAAAGAAAAATCTAAGCGCTGCCGTTAAAAATATTCAATTTTCGCCATTGTTAAAGAAAAAAGTAGTTTTAAACGGAAAAAATGCGTTGATGAAATGGAAAGAGCAATAATTTTGTACGAATTCGTATGAAAAGGCTCTGTGATTTATTGTCCGAAACCGAGGGAGGAGGAGCTAAAAAATGAAAATGCGGTTCGAAAGACTTGCCGAAGAGCATAAAGAATCCATGCATTTTGGATTGAGAAAGTGATGTTGATAGTTTTCATAATAATTTTTGTTTCGTCAACATTTTTGTTGTTGTTTTCAGTTAGTGTTTTTTTTTTGTACAGCAATTCATTGTATAAATATTTTGTTCTAAATCTAAAAACTGTGTGTGTGTGTGTGTAAATTTCTATATAAAATATATTAATTTGCAGTTGAATCCATGTCATCTGCGTTAGAATTTCATTTTACATATATATCGGTCGTGTCTTTCGGTCTAAATCGGTCTGTCGTTCTTTGATGCCGTTGCCACCAAAACGAATAGATGAAGGGAAAATTAGAAATGATCTACAACAAAAATCGTTGTTAGAGAACATAGCATTGTTTTTTTTTATATAGTAAATCATTCACCATTGTTCCATATATATTATAATTATTTTTTTCGTTTTCATTTGATTTTTTTTTCATTTAACTTATACAAATAATAACAATAAGAGTTGATTAATGTTGTGTTTTTAAATAGCACGCAATTTACACCACATTCAATTGAACAGATTAGGTTGAAGAAATAAAAAACGAACTATGGGTTACTTTTGGAAAAATTTATGTTTTTTTTCTCCTTTTTTTGTATCAAAATAGTTAAAAATGACACGAGCTTATGTCGTGCACTCAGAAAAATCAGTGAAACCTTCATTCCGATTCGAAACAATCCATCCGATTCATCGGAATCTCTATATGTAGTAAAATGCCGATAAATCCGTCCGAGTTCCGATAACAGTTGTTCCACTAATTTTTCGAGAACGCTGAAACACACCCGAGTTCATATCGCGGCGAATAAAAAAAATGTTCGAGTTAATCGATTGTTGGCAACAATTGGTTGCGATGTAAATAGTTGAGTGTGATTCTCGGCTGAGTTTTTTGTTTCTTCATCAAAATCATCTCCGGAACATCCATACATTACAACTAGTTAAAAAAAAAACCTTATTTCGAGCGGTGAAATGGTGTGTTGGATGTCTAATTAACACCATACGTACTTTGCATTCGCGCTGCGGAGGATGAGGAGAGAAGGAATGCGACGGCCAAACGCCACATATTCTATCTTGTTCGCTGGAAATGTATGATTTTTTTTTTGTTTTTGCTTCGATCCGTTGCGTGTGTGTGTTTCATTCGTTTTAGCAACATATAATTTCTTTGTTTTCTATTTGATGATCATCAATCCGGGCTTTCTTGATACAATTTCTATTCTTTCTTCGTACAATTTTGAGCTATGTACAGCAACAATTTGGTACAATTCAGAGCTGTTGTATAGGCATACAATGCAGCCAAATTTTGGAGCCATTGTTGTTGTTTTTGATACTCTTATGGAAAAGAAGTATTTTTCGTTCATATGGTCTATTGTTTGCTTACAAAATAAATGTTATTTAAATTCTATTTTTCCATAAGATGGATTGATTCATATAGCTATCTTAATCAAAATTTAGTGTATTTCTTTCGAATTTCTTCTATGGTCAGTAGTTAAAAGTTTTTATTTTTCTTTGAAAAATTTTTGCTGTCAAAAACGAAGCGTGTATTTTGTAAGAAATCAATAAAGTTGGCATCAAAATCAGTGTGGTTGAGTTGGCAATTCAATTCATTGTTTGTTCCAATAATATCGATAAATTATTCAGTGAACATGCATACGTACACATACACACACACACGTGTGGTCGGATCGATTGGTTCATTTTCATTTTGTTTGTTTGTGATCTCACGCTATTTGGTGTCTTATTTTGGATAAGAGAATTGTTCTTGTTTTATGTATGGCGTTGTTAAATCTCCAATAATTGGACTTGTACATGACACTTGTGGCATTACATTGTTCTGTGTTGGCAAATTGTATGCTGCCATTGCTGCTGCAGCATCTATTCAACATGGTTGATTCATGATAGGAAGATTTAAGAATCAGATGATTTTGTTTTGGTTTGAGAATTTTCTTTTTCTTAAAATCAAATTACAAACAACATCAAAATCAAATCCCATACGCAAACGAATGTACAAGTTCATGACATATGGACCGCATACAGACCGTATTCAATTTCAGATGGACAAGGCGAAAATTAGGCAATTTTTTTTTTGATTTTTTTTTCCAACGTTAATTAGCAATTTCATGCGAAGAGAAAAAAAAACAAATCTTCGTTTCGTTTTCTGTACGTTCCAAATCACTTCCTTTTACATTCTTTACATTAAATTTGTGACAATCAGTGCATATTCAATTAGAATATCATTCGTTTAATTTTTTTTTTGTGTTCGGGCAAATGTTTCGTTTTTTTTTGGTTTTGCACATAATAGTTATTTGCTAAGTTCCAACGAACCTGATGCTAGTTGACTGTCATCAAGGTTAAGAAAATCGGTGAAATCAATTGGCGTTTGTTGGTCGGGTTGATTGTAGCTGATCAATGCGTTGCCGGTGGTGTTGACGATCGGGTTGGATGGTGCATCATTTTGGCCACGTTGACGTTCCACTAAACCGGGTATATTGGTCGTATCCGTTGGATTCATTGGGATTCCATATTGTTGAAACACATCATTATCACCGAACAACTGTACAATCGATGCCGATGAATGCAAATTCAAAGGAAAAAACAGAAAAAAAAGAAAATTTCGATTTTAATTTAAATGCAAATGGGAAGCAGGTGTTAGTATCAATCAAAGTAACTATTGATTGCAATTGGAAATTCACTAGCACTTCTTTTTATCGTTTTTTTTCTCCATTTTTTTTTTCGATTAAGGACGTTTTGATATCTGATTTTTTGTCGCTGATTTTATTATCGTTTTGGAAAACCCGATAATTTTTTTCTCCCTCTCTCTCTCGATATTTTTTTAGATCGTTATTTTTTTTTAGAATAAAGAAATCAATTTAGGACGATCTGCTTCCATTCTGATCTATTTTCGATTGGACACTTCCTTCATACTCTTTCGATTTCGGTCTTAGTTGCTTTCTTTCGCAAATTTTTAACATTACATTTAATAACCAATTCTTTTTACGACTAATATTGAAAGTGAAATACACATTTAAATGGAATTTACATAAGATTCAAACGAAAAAGTTGGACGTCCAATTCTCTGGTCGGCTTGACCATTTCCAAATGGCTAATTAAAAAAAAAATGATTTAAATAAAAATACATTAATCGATTATTATACGAGACAATACACACTTCGTTCAAATTTTTTTACGTCAAAAATTCAATGTCGTCATCATCAAAATTCAATTTCGAGTCAATTAAACGAAGAAAAAAAAATTCGCTTTCGTTGCGCGGTGCAAAAAAATCGATTCGACTTTTTACTTTTCCGCAAACTTTGTTTGTTAAGGAAAAGTATTGGTTTTACTAGCCAACATTTCATGACTCCTTCTCTTTCCGACCACTATAACGTCACGCCAAACTTCAAAAAGCACATATCTGTACACTAGGCAATGTAGATGGGAACAAATCCTATCGATCAAGACCTCTCTGCCCCCAAAAACATGTGGTTTACTATGAAAAATGTGCAAAATTGCGATGTGCGTATGGCGTCGTTCGCGTTCGCGTTCACCGGATATCTCAAAAAAGTTACAAGATAATTGCGATCTGTAAAGCCAGAAGATTTGGCATGTCGAGACGAAGCTTCGAATTGATTTTGAGTCCATTCTGACTTACCAATTTTGTACCATAAGCCTCCGACTGAGGACCTGAAAAACCTTGAAAAATGACACTTTTGTACGGGAAGTTCCCGAAAAAAGCATTTTTCAGGTTTTTTTTTTTGCAAAAATAATGAGAGTCTGTGAACAACCGAATACCTGATTCTCCATAAATTTGGTCCAAAATCGACATTTTTTGAAATTTTCGCGAAAATTACACTTTTGTATGAAAAATCGCTCAGAAAGCCATTTTTCAGGGTTTTAGTCAAGGCAAACTGATGTTTTTTTGCAAAAATAATGAGAGCCTCCCAACAACTAAACACCTACTTGCCCATAATCAACATTTCTTGAAATTTTTGAAATTCGGTTCGAAAATGACACTCCCGTATGGAAAATGGTCGAACAAGTTATTTTTCAAGGTCAAAAGTGCTATGAAAATAGTTTTCATTGAAATTTTGGTTAAACATTAAGCGGAAGGTAAACTGAATTGCTGCGGAGCGGAAAAGTTTGCATTACGTATGTAATTCGTTTTATTTTTCGGTTTTGAATTTCGTCGTTTTTTTTTGTTCTTTTTTTGAATTTTGTTTGCGTGTTTCTAGGATGATTTGGATAAATATATTCAAATAGTCCAATTTTTAATTGATTCAAGACAAGCGAAATGCATGTCCTAGGTTTTTGATCTAAAAATCAGAAGAATGTGTTTTTGTTTGTTTTTTTTTGTTCATGGTTGCATGTAATTTGTTTTGAATTTTTGTCTAACCTTGTTAATATAGCTCGATATTGAATCGGCATTCATTCCTGATGGGTTTTGTGGATTCTGAATCGCCACAATTATTTTTTTTTCATTTTCGTTCATCGTTGTATCACCATCGATAGCACGCACAGGAATATGTAAATTGGATAGTATCGTTCAATTCGAATTGAATCGATGGTTTGTTTGTGCGTGTGTGTATACGTATATGATCATGAAAATAGGTGTGTGTTCGAGTTGTTCATGATATGGTATGTTTTTTTTTTTGGTTTTGGTTTATGAATTTGTATACATATTTGGTTTTTTTTTTGTTATTTTGACGCGGATTTTGTGAACGTCAAAAACGAACGTCATCAAGTTTTTGAACGTCATTTAAAGTTGTCATCGATCCGTTCATTTGTATCATAAGGAAGAGAATAAGAAATTAAATTTAGACAAAACAAAAATAATGTGGTTGTATGTGGTTGGATGGAATTTTGGTCTTAGTTTTATTAACAACAGAAATAAACAAATTCTACTGAGAAATGGGAGTACAGTGAGTGAGAAGACAACCGGTCATTTAGCAATCGAGAATACGGACTACCAGATAACAATCAATTGAACGAGCTGTTTCTTATCTTTTTTTGCGTGTGTTTTCATGTATCTCGACGATAAAAACAATTCAGCTAACTCGCTACTGTACTTTGGAATTAAAAAAATTCAACGAAAATTTACAATTTTGGATAAATTTTTAGAGAAACGAAAACGAAATTCCAAAAAATAGAACCGAAAAAAAGTTAAATACAACACAAAATTAAAAGAAAAACAAAAAAGGGTCGAAAAATGAATAAAATAAATGCGAAACAAAAAAATTTGAAGAAAATCGGTTCTTAAACCGAAAAATAGCAAAAACAGAAAAAAATATATCGGAAAAAAAACCGATTAAAAAAAGATTAGATACTTACATTGAGCAATGTGTTTGCATCCACTTGAAAGTTGTCTTCGTCGCGAAGGAATTCCTTGAGCACTTCTAAATCACCCTGTACACTATCCAAATGCGTATTCAATTGGTCTCTGTAATAAGATGGGTCATTTCTGTTGAATTGATTCATTCCATTTAAAAAAAATCGAATGAAACAACGACGAGAAAAAAAAATGGAGAAAAAAGAGAGAAAAATAGAAGAAAAAAAAATATATTAATTATTATATTACATGTATGCATTGGAAATCCTGTTGACTGATTTAAATATGGCTTTACATATATGAATAGACAGTGTCTGTTAGACACTGGCATAAATACACACACACACACACACACGCACACATTCACACGACATGTAAATGGCCGAAAAGTCAAAGAATAAACATAAACAAGACGGTATATCGGTCGACAGTCGATAGCAGCAACGACAAAAGACCGGATTTATCAATGGTGAGCATCACAATTTTACATTGAACCGCATTGAACGATGGTGTTTAGTTAATAAGTTTGAAGAAAAGTTCGAGTTTTTGGTCCAAAATTGATGATAAATTGAATTATTCGGTCAAATTTTGATTGGAGAATCCAATCCATTTTCTTACCAAGTTTCGAAGAAAAATCAAACTTTAATAAAAAAAAACTCATTTCTTTGTGAAGTTTTGATAGAAAAATTGATTTTCTTCAGAGTTTTTCAGTGAATTTCGGATGAATAGATTTATTTTGTGCCGAATTTTATTGATAATTCCGTCGTATTGAATTTTGAATTGAATTAAAATTCAAATCAAGTCAAAGTTAACTTCAATACGATTTTTCATTAAGTTAACTTCGTTTTTTGATCACATTTTGGAAGTAAACCCGATGTTAAGTAATGTATGAAAAATGTTCTGTTGTGGTTCACAGTGAATGGAATTTGGTTGCACGTGTTGCACAGTTGCATAGTGTTGCCGTTTGTAATGAATGCAAATGGCCATAATAAATAATTCATTTGACACGATGTACAACATGCGGTGTGTTGTCCGATCATAAATATCCTGGTTTAATTGCGTGTGCATGCGATTGTGTGTCCATTGTGTGTATCGCTCTTTTAATCGCAAACACGAAATATCAATTCATTGAAACAAAAGTCGAGATATGTAATTGTGATTGAACAATTGAATGAAATCGACAAGGAATTATTGAGGCTGGAAATGTTAATTCAAATGTGAAAAGTACACAGAGAGCTCTTCTGTGCGATTAAAACACACACACATTTAGTGCGAGAGTGTGTGATTTTATTCTTAATGACCTTGAATAATGACAACAACAATACACACACACATGCGAAAATACAAAGAACAACGATAAACGGAATTTCGCTGGAAAACTATATTATGAAACAATAAAGAGACACACACAAAGAGAGAGAGAGAGAGAGAGAGAAACATTGAGACACAGACGAAAACATTCGATGCGACAAGATGTTCAGAATAATTGAATTAAAAACACCGAACCGAAGAGAGAATTGAAAAAAACGAGAACGGTAGCATAAAACATGGAATAAAAAATAAAAAATAAACATATTCATAGAGAGCGAAGATGAGATAAGGCCGGGTCCGTGTACGTGCATTTATTTCCCCACACACATCACAATCGTCACGATACCGGTTTCTGTGGGCTGGAATATATTCACTGTGAAACACACAGACACAGACACAGACACAAAGCTCAACGCACATACACTTATTAACCGCAACTCAGTGTTTCAGCTAACTGACTGACCAATGTGACGGTTGTTGTCAACAAAAAGCACAGCACACACAATCGCAGTGCAAGATGTTTGCCTCTCTCCCTCTCTCTCGCTCTCGCTCTCCCACTGTCAATCTTGTTTCTCCCTAGTGCTCTATGGGAATCTTCAGTCAATCACAAGCAACTTCTCAACATTCGAACGACGTTTTTTCTTCTTCTTCTATTCATTTTAAAATTTCTGCGTGAATTGAAATCGATCTGTCTGTCTCTCGGTTGGTGTTATCATCGTTGTCGTGATCATTTTATTTGAAATCTTTCCTCAAACAGAATACGGAGAATTTGATTCGTTTGCAATTAAGAGTTTCGTGCAAAGACTCTCATTCAATTCATCGATAGCTGCGGCTATCTGTTAAAACCAACACCCTTTTGTATGTGAGTGATTGGATTCCATTTCTTTTCGATAAAATGAAAAAAACTCAAGTGTGTGTTCGATTATTTAGTGGCTAAAAATATTTGTTGTCGTTGTGCATCATGAAATCATAGACAGCATTAGATCTTAGTTTTGACGTCAAACAACACGAATGGAAGGGAAAAAGATTATTTGCTGATTTGTTGTTTTGCCATTTTTGGCGTGCAAACCGGCAACAAGATATTGCAAGGGGGAAAGTACTGGATTTGTATAATTCAAGTAATGCGATCTAGTACAAAAATAATCCCGAATAATCCTTCGGAATTCTCCATAATTCTCAATAATGCTCAATTATATATATATTATATTGAGAATTATGGAGAATTCCGAAGGATTATTCGGGATTATTTTTGTACTAGATCGCATTACTTGAATTATACAAATGAACCCGTGAGCATAAAAACGACTTATTAAACAATCGCCGAACAAAACGATACAAGAAAAAACTACCGAACAAAACGTACCACAGCGGTAATGTGTAGCACAGCGGGGTTTCGTTTTGAACGGTACCGTCCTGCTGTGTTACGTTTTTAACGTGTGTTTTGTTTGGTAGTTTTTTCTTGTATCGTTTTGTTCGGCGATTGTTTAATAAGTCGTTTTTATGCTCACGGGTTCAAATCTAGTACTTTCCCCCTTGAACTATTTCTATTCCATAGACATGCTTTGAATCATTCTTTTACTCGCTATTTTTAATTGCAATTGGTTTTTTTTTAAATTTATTTTCGTTTTTAGCACTACATGAAATGTAGAACTACTAATCTGCTTATTTTTTTTTCTAAATACTTTTCGAGTGATGAAATAAATTATGGTGAATTTGAATTTTATGCTCATATTTTTTATTCAATTTAAAACAGGTGCACTAACGACAAATAAGTGCACAATATTTCAAAGTGCCAATCAAATTTTTATTATCAAATGCTGTTTAAAAATTACATTAATTTTTCGTATAATATTTTCTGAGTCTTGACCAGAATTAAAGTCATTTTATATTCTAAGCTCATATTATTTATTTAATTTAAACCAAAGGCAGTATATTTCAAAAAAGAAATAAAACCAAGGTCTTGTCATTCATTTTGCAAATAAATATATTACTTCAAAGTTACTTTGATGAAATACATTTCATGTAGTGCGCCAAAAAATAGTTTGTTGTGAAACAACAAAATAGATTAAGTAACTAAAAACTCAAGAACGCAGAGCGGAGCGAAGCGAAGCTCTGCGGTCTTGTTTTTTTCTCTCTCTAACCGAATAATCAACGTTGTTCGACGTATGTGTATTATTTGCTTTGCGTTAGGCCGAATGCGTGTAATCTTATGTTGATTAGCTTGGCTTGAAAATCCAGTAGCCACGAACTACGAACCCACCTTATCGCACAAAAGTGGTTTGGAACGTTGAAGGAATGAAATAGCGGACAGAAGAAGAACAGACGAAAAAGGAAAACATCGAGACAAAAACAAGAATAACAAGTCGCGTGGACACACACAAATAAACAAAAATAAATTATGATAGCTGCTTATGTAATACGACTGTTCGGTGCGGTGACGATTGCGTACATTGTACCGCTATTTTCGCTGGCATTCGCAGAAAATGTTGGCGATTCATGTCAAGTGGCGCGCAGTGGTACGGCTGGTGTATGCAAAATCATCAACGATTGCCCGGCCGTTATCGATGAAATCGTCAGCCAGGGCCTGTTTCCGGCAAAGTGCGGGTTTCGTGGACGAGATCAAATTGTCTGTTGTCCAGTGCCACGCAGCATGACCACAACCACAACACCAGCACCGACACGAATCAGCCAGAGAAGTAAGTGAAGAGGGGGAAATTCCATTTTCGGCTTACGAGGAGCAAAATTCGATTTGGCTATCTCAAACCACAATTGTAATCAAAACAATGGTTGTCTTCCCATGAAGATTATTCATGATTAGAAGCAACTTTTGGTTGGGAAAATACGGAAAACGATGAAGATTTCAGATTTTGTTTGTTTAGCATTTTTTTTGTTATCTTTTGCATACTCTTATCCATATTGATCTTCAAAAATAATCAATCTTCATGTGCCTTTCCTCCTCTTTGTCGACAGAATGTAAGCAGTATGAGGATGCAAAATTCGATCGAGTATTTACCAATGTTGGTTTCAATGATAAGCCCATTTTAGAAACAGTTGAACGATGCACATTTTCTATCGTACCGCTTGTTGTTGGCGGTGAAGTAGCCAATTCGGGTGAATTTCCCCATATGGTAAGTCAATCTTCTACACGATTTTTTTTTCTTCAACAAAACCAATCAACGTTTCTTTCAGAATGAAAAACTCAATGTTTTCACAGGTTCATTTTGCTGACCTTTTAAACCACTCTATTTTTTAAAAAAATGTTTTTTTTTCTTCAAAGAAAATTGTGACTGAGTAGACTGATGGTGCGATTTTAATACGTTGACTGCTTCAAAAAAAAAGAAAGTTGTCCCTCATCTGAAAAGTACGGCCAGTTTCGTAAAATATACCTCAAAAAAAAAAAATAGGTTTGGCGCAAAGAACGCATATGGGCACCATAGAAATTGGTGAAGCAAGCCCCATATCAAAATTTTCATGACAGCGTTTTCGGAAGCCAATTCATATCGCAACATTTCGACCTAAATCATTTTTCCAGCCAATTCTCGGCAAAAACTGATGATGAGATTTTGTCTGGCTCGTGAATATCTACAACTTTTACCATTAGCCCTTGAAAAGGCATTCTGGGCCAGTTACAGTGTGAAATGACCAAAAAATGACAATTTTACGGCATTTTTTGGATTTTTCGCTCTACTGGTCATCTAGGCGGTGGACTTTTATTCAGTTTTTGATCTGTGTCGTATAGCCAGAACCTGTACAAATATTTTGTTACTTGTCAGATTGCAATTTGGATGGAGTTTTGGCGACAATTGATTCAGACATGAAAAACAAATTTCAGGCCAAAATGAGCAAATCACGACTACGAGTTTCGATTTGACAAATAAAAGCAAGCGATTTCTACCTGTTCTGCCTTTAAACTTCTAGTATAATTCCTTCCATATGTATTGGATATGAAGGATTCCTTCCATATGTATTGAAATGATGATACTTATCTGTGATGTTTACACTTATTTATTGTAAATTCATTTTGTTCTTTGTTAAAGCCATCCACGAGTTGGCGACTTAATATTTTCATCATTGAAATCAAATTTGAATTATTAACCCTCAACTGCATGAATTTTTCCTAGGACTGGGAGTACTGGTATTTGGTTGATTTTTGGCCATTGATAACGAAAAAAATATTCATAATCCTAGATTTCCCATGGTTTAGTCAGGAAATGCGATAGAAATAAGTCAGAGAACAATGAAATCCATTGTTTAAAAGTGTCAAAAATATGTCTAATTTGGAAACCGAATAATTTATTTTGTCAAATTTTCGTTTTCGTGCACATTTTTGTTTATAACTCACCAATCGTACGACATAGACAAATGACGCCAAAGACAAAAATAAAGAAAAAACATTGACAAATGAAAATTCCCCTTGAAGCAATGTCATCCGCCGTACGATTCACATTATACAGGTGTTTAAATGATGCCCGCCAAAAGGCGGGCTTATGCAGTTGAGGGTTAATCAAATAGCATCAAATGCTCTAGTTACGTTTCAAATCATAGTCCATGTCAACTCAATGCACTCTGCAATCAACATGGATCTGCCTTTACAGACGTAAAACTTCTCGTCAATTTATCTACCGGTATAAATTGAGCGACGATTTTTGCTGTCCTAGAGTCTCAAATTAACGCGTAATTAAACGCTTCACATAGCCTTTGTCCCTTGGAAACGTTTACCAAAGGTTATCTTGGACCGTTTGCCATAGACTAATATCAGGCATTTCCATCTTGGTTGCATGACTGTTTTCGTTTTCATGTTCCTACTATTGTGATTACTGCATAATTTACGAAAAGAGCCAGGTTTTTAACGAGGCGAGAACTGATAGTTATCGAAACCTATTGCTACTAATTGTTTATTATTTTAAATATGTAACAGTCTTGCACTCTTTTCCTACCAAACCTCAATCAAACCCCACATTATATTCAGCCAGAGCTTGGCGGTGTTTAATAAAATAAAATAAAATAAAATAATCCCTTACGAACATTTTAAGTACTAACTCGACTAAATCGAGTGATGTTTTTACATATTTCTAGCCTCATATTCGATTTCAACTCCCAAAAAATCGACTTTTGACCAAAAGATCCTTAAGTATAGGCTTTTTAGGGATGGTGTCTTGGTGCAATGTTATTTTTTCTCGAAAATATGGGGAGTCTTCCCAGATAAAAACTGTTTAAAGTAAACTGTTTGAAGCTATTTAAGGTACCTCCCGAACAAAAGTCACGTTTTTCATGCATTTTGCTATGAACATTTTATTTTTTGCTCTGAGCGAAACCCAAAAAGATGAGGGACAACTTTTTTTTTTTGAAGCAGTCTAACGTAGAGTCTACAGCTTTTAGTGATGAGTCACGTCCTTCTATGTGTTAATGAATTCAAATGTCGAAAAGCACTTTTTTGGTCGCTTGTTTTTATCTTGAATTATTTCCATTCTTCTCTTTACCCTGCCTCGATCAATTCCCCTAATGATTTTCTGCTCATATTTCATAGGCACTCATTGGATATGAACGAAATTTCGAAACCAACATCATATGGGGCTGTGGTGGATCGTTAATCAGTGAAGAATTTGTGCTAACAGCGGCACATTGTGTGGAAACCAGCCGATATGAGTGAGTTATTTTCGTTGAGTTAAGATAAATGTGCAGCTGAAAATGCAATTTTTTTCTACAAATTCGGAATTTCTGTGCTTTCGAAAATTCATGGCTTAAACTTAATCGCTTTTAATTGACTCACAGACAGCCGGGCATTTTTCTTTATATCTTTAAACCATTACTACTTTTATCGTTTTTAATTTTAAATCATTACGTTTTTTTCTCTTCATAAAATTTGACCCAAAAAGCGTGAGATAAACTCAAAACCAATTCCGCCGGAATTGAAACATGATTCGACTGACTTTTTTTTCAAAACAAGTCTCGTTTGACATTTACTTCCAGGGGACGAGCAAAGTATGTGCTGCTGGGTGAGCATGATTTGAGCAATGACAAAAATGATCGACCGTTACAGGTGGAAATAGCGGAGAAATTTCCGCATCCAGAATTTAAGCGTTCGGCCAAATACTTTGATATAGCATTGGTGAAGATGGGCGTTCGGGTGACATTTAATCCATACCGACGACCGGCCTGTCTACCCCATGCCTATGACACGGGTACGGGTAAGGCAATCGCAACCGGTTGGGGTCGTATCGATTTCCGTGGTCCAAGCAGTCAAGTACTGCAAAAAGTCATTCTGGAGCTATTCACCGAAGATGAATGCAATGCAACGTATTTGGATGCCGCACGAACCACACAATTGCGCTACGGAATTCTACCAGCACAACAATTCTGTGCTGGTTCGCACACCGAAAAGAAAGACACGTGCCAGGTAAAATGCCGACGGTTTCGAACTCATGCAATTTAATTGCGATTTAATTACAATTCGTGTGCAGCTAAAAATGGTCGGAACTTTTGAATCACTACTAAATTTTTAATTGTTTGTGTTTTTATTCGTATTGCTTTCTAGGGTGATTCGGGTGGGCCGTTGCAGACATTTCATCCATATGTGAAATGTATGTACACAATTGCCGGAATTACGTCGTTTGCCAAGCAATGCGGTGATCTAAATGCTCCCGGTGTCTATACACGTGTGTACAACTTTTTGGATTGGATCGAGAATATTGTGTGGCCAAATCAATAGACAAAGACCACGTTTTGGTTTTCTATCTCTCTTCACAAAATCAACAACAATTTCATGGGGCAAAATTGAATAAATTAATGCGTAAAAATTGAATCCGAATAAAGAAATACTCGATACTTAGAAAGAGAATGAGAAAAAAAACACTATTTTTTATTGACTTTCCGTCCGAAATAGTGCCAATTTGACACTGCCAATGATGCGATGACCATTTCATTTTATAACCAGTTAGTTGCATTGAAATTTTCTTTGACGCATAAACAAAAGTGTAAACCCATTAGAAATGACCACAAAAACACGAAAAAAACGATACTCACGATACTCGCATGATGTCGTCATGTGATGGTTTTCTGTTGAATCTGGCAATGGCCATGTTTTTATTGTAATTATCAACACCGCTTGTGCCAGCAGCACTAACTGCTACTGGTATCGATTGCCCAAAATCGCCCGCCAATCGATTCACATTCAGTTGATTCGCACTGTTGACATTATTCATCAAATTACTGCCGTCAAAGTTGCCCTAAATGGGAATAATGAAGAATATTGATATAATTGGTCAATCGAAATGAAATACGAAGGAAATTATTTTAAAAAATGAAAACGTGATTAAAATGAGCTCAAAACCATGATAAAAATGATGAGATTATTATCACATGATCAATGGATCTTCGTGCATGAAATTAACGGCAAAATGTCAAAAAATGGGAACAAATCGAAAAATGAAAATATCGTCCGAAAAAACAAAATTAACCAAAATATTTCAAGGTCACAAAATCATCTGTACCTGGCTGGTGTCATCCTGGAACAATTCAGCTGGAATTTCTGAGCTAATGAAATCATCTTTGTTTTTGTATGTTTTCCCAATGGCCGTTGTTGATACGGGCGTTTGTGCCCGACCAACTGTTATCAAAATTGGTTTATTCCCAGGCTGTGGAATCGTTTGTATGATTTGTTTTTGTCCAATCTGTTGTTGTTGCTGTTGTTGCTGTTGTTGCTGCTGTTGATTTTGTAGTAGTTGCTGTTGTTGCTGTTGTTGTTGTTGTTGTTGTTGTTGTTGTTGTTGTTGTTGTTGTTGTTGTTGTTGTTGTTGTTGTTGTTGTTGTTGTTGTTTGACCGCTTTTAATTTTTGTGCATCAATTAGACTTTTGCCACTGGCATTCAGCTGACGAATACCAGCTGCTGAGGCAGCGGTTGCTTGATTGTTTAGTATTTGATTGGACGCAATTTTAACAATCGGAAGACGTTTCATGCCCTGCATATTACCGCCTGCATTCGCAATGATCACATTGCCTGTGATTCGACAATGGAAAAAGAAAAATTTGATAAAATTCATGATTTCAATTAAATTAAAATACAAATTTCATTCGTTTTCACGGTACAAAAATGAGAATAACGTAAAACTTGATCAAAAATTGACAATCAATTACCTGGCAACTGTTTTTTGTTGGCAATCAATTTCGGATTGATGGATTGTTTAATATTTTGATGTGTTTGCACCAGAATTGGTTGTTTATTTTTGTTTTCCTGCTTAATAAATGTAGCCATTGGATCGGCGACTGTCGCAGCCGTAACATTGTCTAGCAATTCTTCAACGGCGATATTATCGACAGTCTGATTTGATGTACCGGCCATACCTGGTGTTTTAATGGTCACATCATAAATCAAATCACTATTATAATCGGCTGTATTATAGACATTTTCGCCAATATCATCGCTGGTCACATTTGCCGAGGATGCGTCCACAACAGCGCCGCCATCTTCGGTAATAATTTGATCGGCATCAACATCGTCAATATTATCACACTCCTCATAGTCATTGATGCTGGGTGTTTGAAAGTCGCTCGGTGATACGACATACGGTGAATTGACTACATCGTCATCCATACCATCGGCATAATTATCAAATAGTTCTTCGGTTAGTTCACGAATGACCGGGCCATCGGTGACAGCGCCGCTGCCAGCACTGCGTGATGTTTTTCGCACTTTGGCCGCATTGGTGGGAATGTCATTGATCATCAATTGATAACGGCGTTTAACACCGCCCATACCACCCATTGATCCAATGCCACTGCCACGTTGCGGTTGCACAATTGTCACCAAAAATTGTATCAATTTATTGACAATTTGCTGTTGTTTCAGATGCTTTTGCCGTAAAACGGCCACTTCACGCCACAGCGCTTCGTGCTCCTGTTTCATTGACATAAATCGATTGTCAAACGAATCCTGTCGGCCTTTCATTAATTTCACATCGCTCAACACCTTTGACACAATTTCCTGCTTGATGGTCGTTTTATCATCCACATTATTTGATGTTTTGGCTGTGGATATTTTTCGCTTGATAAGCTCCAACAGGTATGGATGATCATGCTGAAAATATGGATGTGAAAATTCCATTTCGTCACGATCAAACTTCAAACCACCACCATCGAGTGATGTGATTTTATGGAAACCATCTATTTGGGATTGGGGAAGCAAGCATAGGAGTAGAAAACAAAATATTGGATTAAGAATACCTCCGCACCGTGAATTAAAGATGAACTTAATAAGTATTACTTATGAAATAAACAAAAAGGCGGTGACCGTTGCGTTGTCAATCGTCTACCTGAATCTCTCACTATATCGAATACTTACACATATTCAGCTGCCGTATGAAACTCGCCATATTGTTGTGCTTATAATTCAATGGCAATATCTCACGCGCAAATTGAGCCTGATTTTGGATGATAAAACTTTTCCCATCCTAAGGTTGATTGAACGGAGAGAAGGAAAACAGAAAAATACATGAGAAAAACATAGATAGATAGAATATCAAAAATATGTGACGTCATGGCAATAAAAAAAACACAAAAAGTCGAAGTCCATATAAAAACCAACAGAAAAAACGGAAAAAAAAATCCGTGTGTTGATCGAAATCTGGTCAAACATGCACCAATCTGATCTGCCGTTCAATAAGACGCAACCAGTGTCGATATCATATCGGATGTTTGTACATATGACGTTGATTTGCTACTACTGCTGCTGCTTCTGTATCAAAAAGTCACTGCTGCTGTTTATATGTTCGAAAAAAAAGTCATCATTATTCTCCGTCATTTCAGTCACCGTCAAAATGGACCAATTATAGTGTGAAAACATGCGCTGATTGCCTAATTGCCTGCTTCAAAGCGTTCGACACAAGAAGAAAAAGAAGGAGAAGTAAACAGAAACGGTGTGGCGCTGATCGTGGCAAAATAACGAGAAAAATATTGCCGTGCACACGCCATAGACAGAGTGAAAGAAAAATGTAACCTTTTTTAGTAGATTTCAACATCGCGTAATGTAACGTTTTGGCCCATTTTCGTGGTAATTTCAGTGTTATATTAAACGTGGATTATGTGCATGGTTCCCAATAAAATGATAAGTGAGAATGAACCGCATACAGAAAGAACATTCAAGTAACATAGCCATGTGTACTGTTGCTCTCGTGTATTCTCTCTCTCTCTCTCTCTCTCTCTCTCTCTCTCTCTCTCTATACTTCTCCGCTTCGTTCGTTTCATTTGGTTTCATTCTTGTGTGTGTGTGTGCTGGAGCAAGAATATTTTCATAACAAATCGAAGTGTGACTGTGGCGATCGAATGCATTAGAACCCAATCGACAGCTCCTGCTGTTTCTGCGTGAGGAACAATCCAGTTTTTGTGTTCTGAATTTCATAACGATGCGAAATATCTACTTTGAGTCGAATTAAAACGAGATTTTGAGTGTTCAACACATTTTTCTGGATTGTGCTGTTGTATTAGTTTCGCATTTGATTCGGTTGTGATTTTTGACTAACAGGACATTTGCACAACGACAAGAGCACAATATTCGAAGTTCAGCATTGCACTGTCAGTTTGGTGTCAGAATTCGTTGAGGCAAGTTGATTGTTGTATTGATGGTTCATTGATTTTTTCTTCAAAACAAATTGTTAATTCAGTCACTGTTTGATCGAAAGTACAGTAATTCTGATCAATTTGTTCACCATTTTATTTTTCATTTTCATTAGATCAAATTTGGTGAGCATGAAAAGAAAGCGAGCCCAGAACGGGCGACCGAGATCGGTCAAACTGTCGCTGAATTCGATTCTTCGGTATCAATATCGCGCGAATTTTGTGGCACAAGTCAACAATTGGTGCCACACAGCCACCGTCATCACCGTTTTGGCGTCATTGTTGTTTCTCTTCGAGAACAACCGAGCATTCGACGAAGATAACCACGACTTTTTCAGAGGCAATGGATACGAATTGATCAAGGATTGCTTCAAGAACAATTTGAACGAGAACCGACACAAATTGCCGTTGGCCTTCCGCCAAATAATCAAAGCAGCAGTGCCAAACTTCCGATGGCCACAACGTGAAGGCATGGGAAACGCATTCAATGCGCTCATTGATCAATAAACCACCAATGTGAAGAACAACATCAAAACGTGGAGCTACACCCGCCATTCGCATGAGAAAATCAATGCAATGTACGAAAATCGTGATTTCCATTTCGTACTTGGCATGGATCCTGGTGTGCGAACCTGGAATGTACCGGTGCGAAAACATATCGCATCCGATGTGGAAGTGAGTAGAAATGATTTGTTTGTTTGTTTTGTCAGTCATTTCATTTATATGCATATAATCATGATTCTTTATTCTTATTTATTTCACACAGGAAAACATCACGATCAACGGTCCGAAATACCATTTCCGAGCGAAATATGGCAAACGAAAGCGCAAATCGGAAAATGGCTACGATTGTTCACCGAATTGGAGCAACACGATCGAAATCAATATCCATTCTATCCATCACATTGGATGAGTTACATCGAACATCGTGTGAAAATGTTGCAGCCTGGAATGGAGGTTTACACAGCACGCAAATACATTCGCCTCAGCCTTGATAAACATATCGAGGAGACCCGTGCAAGTGATACCATCGCTGCTTTTTTGACCAGAAAATTGCCATCGCTCATTTTCCTTGGTGCAGCTCAAATGGCTCCAAATTCTCCAATTGGTATTAAGAAACGATTACGGTGCCCTGGTGTACGAAAACTACTGAACAGCTTCAAGAAACTGAACAATTGTGTGGTGGTGATGGTTGACGAGTACAAAACATCGCAGACTTGTGCAAAGTGCTTTCGGCCATTTGATCGACGTACAAGAATGAACCGCTACAAAGTCTGCCGTCAATGCATTCCAAATGCAGCAAATATCACACGACTGACAAACACGTGAGCAGTGTGATCATCGGCAAGAAAAGCAACCGGTTGTATCAACGAGAGCGACTACATGTTGTTGCGGAATATGAACGAATGAATGTAGATCCAGTATATTCAAATGGTTTAGTGCCGAAACTCAATGTATGGTTCAAAAACTGGCAGCTAAACACTAATAACACTTGGAACGATTCACGTCATCCACATAAACAGAACACTGTTTGGCATCGGGATGAAGTCGCTGCCAAGTGCATATTGTACAAAGGTATGTATCATACATTGAAAAAAAAATGTGAAATATTCTGGCTAACAATTGTTGTTTGTGATTTCGGTTGTTTCAGGTCTTTGTATGATAAAGGGCTTGGATGTGCAGTGCATCCGCAACTGTCGAGACAACATCATGCAGCAGCTGCAGCCGCGCAGAACAATGCCGAAGGCGACCAAGATGACAACGATAGCGACAACGACGATGATTACGTTTACGTTCTCGACGACGTGTCCGATGAAGAATAGTTTTTCGTTGAGATGTAGGATTAAGTTTTCAAACAATAATAATTGTAACGTTTTGTTACTTTGCTGGGCTTTGAGTATTGTGGCCTTGTCCGAAGTACGGGGCTTAGTCGGATCATATAAAATACCTCGTATGAAACGCTAATTATTCAAATAGATTTGCTTACGTTGTTTTCTTCAATTTTTTGCCCTGATATGCACCGTCAACAGTCACACACACACACTTGACGTTTCCATTTCTTGTTTGCTTGCTATTCAAAAGAAAACGAATGTGTTTGAAGGGCTGAGAGGCAGATAGAAGTAGCAATTGGGTGAGAGTGAGGTAGAACAAAATCGACAGTAAGACGATAAAGCTATAGCAAGTATAAGAGCAAGAAAGAGCAAGTGTGTAAGCTAGAGAGGAATGAATCTAGTGAGAAAAAGCAAGAGAGATAGTGCAAGAGCAATAGCATGGGAATGAAAAAAATGGCACGCAACCGAACGATAGTGGCAGAAACGAATGTGGCATGCGATAACCGATGAAAAAAAAATTAATGTCGAAATCCTCTGACTGAGTACATAGATGTTGTTTTATTAAGTGATTTGGCTTTTGTTTTATTTCTCTCGCTCTGTGTGTCGTCGTCATCACCATCGTCACCGTTGTCGTGATTTCAGAGTCCGCAAACAGAAATAACATACATGAATTGTATTCATTGGATACGGATCAATCATCGATTTGAATATAAATTGTATTGAGCAAATTAGATGGTGCATAAAAGCGACCAGGGCACACAGCATGAACTGACAAAGATATCATATGCATACATGAATCCAATCGTAATATGTTAAATAAGACAAACAAGTTCGGTCAATTATTTCAAAGCAAAGCGAAACGAAGTGAGGCGAGCGAAAGGAAAAAAACAACAACAAATGTGTCGCTGAGCATAAAAATGGGAATACAGATCTGATACAGCAACAACCGAACATAAAATATTGTTTCCTAAAAACGTTACATGAATTTCCATCTAACGCGAGTGTAACATGAGTTGCATTAGAAACAGTATTAGCTCATGTTACACTCGCGTTGGATAGAAATTCATGTAATGCTTTTAGGGAACAATATTTTATGTTCGGTTGTTGCTGTAACAGATCTGTATTCCCATTTTTATGCTCAGCGACACAAATACACTCTGCGAAATAATTATAGGCGCACTTTCATTTTTTCAATTTTCTTACAAATAAACGCAAATATTGTCGCAATTTCATTATATTATTTTACTAAGGGCCATTTACGAATACATCACAAAGTGATTTACCCGAAAGGATTTCATATTTTCTATTTTTTTGTGATTTTTCTGTTTTTGGCGTGATGAAAGTGCGAAATAATTATAGACGCACTCACAGTTTTATGCAAAAAATGCGATCTATTTGTATTGATATTATTTATTATTTTGGGTGCTCTTTAGAGCATTTCTGCATTTTTACAATTATCTGTAAAGCTGTTGGACGCCCCGAAAACGGCCAATCGGCCATGGCAGAATTACTTACGATGAGCTCCGATTCATGCGTGGAAAAATGATGAAAAATTCCACCAAAGGTGATTGTAAATGGATACAAAACCATCTGATATTTAAAGGATGGAACTAAATACAACATACATGGTATTATGCAAAATATTGGCATTTTTTTGGATTTTGGTCAAAATAAGCCAAATGGCCGACATAACCTCAAAAAAAAGTCACGAAATGACCATTTTTTGGGAATTTAAAAAAAAAATTCCAAATATTTTCATGAATTTTCGATTGAACACAATAAAATCGTGAATGCTGAATAAGTAGAGGGAATTTTTAGAAGTTACCAATACATTGGAAGCCAATTCTAACGATCATAAGCCAATACCAATAATGGCCAAAATTGTAGGAGCGAGAAAATGTACACAAACCTATATTTGAAATACAAATATTGTGCAATATATATAAAAATAGGAATTTTCCATCATTTTTCCACGCATGAATCGGAGCTCATCGTAAGTAATTCTGCCATGGCCGATTGGCCGTTTTCGGGGCGTCCAACAGCTTTACAGATAATTGTAAAAATGCAGAAATGCTCTAAAGAGCACCCAAAATAATAAATAATATCAATACAAATAGATCGCATTTTTTGCATAAAACTGTGAGTGCGTCTATAATTATTTCGCACTTTCATCACGCCAAAAACAGAAAAATCACCAAAAAATAGAAAATATGAAATCCTTTTGGGTAAATCTCTTTGTGATGTATTCGTAAATGGCCCTTAGTAAAATAATATAATGAAATTGCGACAATATTTGCGTTTATTTGTAAGAAAATTGAAAAAATGAAAGTGCGCCTATAATTATTTCGCGGAGTGTATCTAAAGCAGAAACTCGCTTATATTGACCACTCTCTGATATGCATGTATATTAAATGACAAATCATCGAATGGAAATGTAGAAATAATCTCTTCGGGCCAAGCGCTGAAGTTTGGCTTATTTTGTATTGTTGTTGTTGCTGCTGTGTTTTGTTTCTAAATTTAACTTTGCATATATGTATATATTCATATATATATATATATATATATATATGTGTATGAGTAGATCTGTTTTTTGGTTAAGTTGTTGTGAAATCGCCGAAAATCAAGTATCAAGTAAGAAATAGAGGAAAAACAACGAACAGCAGGTAAAATGACGTCACAGCTGTGTGCTTAGTTGACGGAACGCCGTGTACCATTAAATCATTTGTGTGTGGTTTGAATGTGTATGCGAGAGCGCTGCTTTGTCTCTCTATCTATCTACATCGCGTGCGCTCTCTTTCTCTCTCTCTTTCCTTTTCTCTTTCTCCATTACAGACATTAAATGAGTGAGCAGAGTCATCGACGATGAACAACAACAGCAGCGACGACGACGACGACAACGACAAACGTTTTGCCATAAATACATTTGAATGAATGTACATTGTACTCATTTAATATTCATATTGCTATCTGAAAGGTCCAATCAAAATAAAAATAAAACAAAAATTTTCAACGTAATAGAAATGATGAAGATGATGAAGTAGAAAAAGTGTGCTGTTCCAATGAAACATTGGCGCAAACACACACACACAGAGAGAGAGAGAAAGAGAGAGAGAGAGAGAGAGAGAGAGAGAGAGAGAGGGAGAGAACACAGAGATCTCTGTCACTCGTAATTCAAATTCGTTGGCTTCTGGACAAAAAAATTCATCATGTCTTTTAAGAGTCAGCCGACTCGATCGGTGGTGGTGATGGTGATGGTGGTGATAGTGACAGAGCCAATGCAGGCGCAATACACGCAAATAATATGACAACAATAATATAATACGTTGTTTTGTGTGTACTGATTGTGAGTCAATAGAGAACATTGCAATGGTCGCGTCAAACCAATCGGCGGACCCAAAATGAAATGATATTTGCGCGTTTCACGATAAATAAAACAACGCAAGGCAAGGTAAGGCAAGGCAAGCAACCCAGCACACGCTCATAGTCCAAATCCAAAACAATACCCTGACTATTTATTTATTATTGATCAAACAGTAAATTTTTAATGATTTCTCAAAATCGATGATGCAGACACACGCAGATCCATATACAAAGCCGTATCGAACAGCATTTAAGCACCTCTTGAACGTATTTTTTTTTAATGATATTGCGAAAATTAGGAGAAATATGTATAAAAACGACCCGGCAAAAAAAATCCAATCCATTGAGTGGATTGAAATCCTCAGTATTTTGGGAAATTTTCTGTTGTTTTCCAATGGGCCTTGTAACGAAAGTGAACGAGAGAGAGAGAGAGAGATAGAGAGAGAGAAAGTAAGGTTGGAGGCGCATGAAGGTAAGACGGTCGGGCGGCCGTTTGATATAGCACGAGCGGGGCCAAGAGAATGGGAAAAGTCATTTTGTCCTTGACAATAATTTTAACAACATACATACACATATCATCAATCTATACATGCGGATATTATATTGCAATCGCGCGATGCTGTGTCGTCTCTATAGGTTGATGCTGTTGTCATTTTTGTTGTTTCGGGAAGAAGAATTACAAAATTTCACAAATTTTTTTCATACGCACATCAGCACACGCATACATGTCAAAACACACAAGTGATGAAATCGAAATTTGGAGGAAAAGTAACAATAATAACCACACACCAGGTGAGGGCCAGCCTACTCCAATTGTGAACATGAAATAATTGGAGAATGCGGCAAACAATACAACGGTCGATGATGATGAGAAATAGTAAACACAAAAGACGGCTTTTCTATACGGCTAAACACTTTCTCGAATCATCAATCAGCGATTGGTCCACGCGGAAAACGAAAAATAAAATGAAAACGAAAAAGTTGCGTTCATCAAGCAGCACAAAAAGTTTGATTAGGTTTTTTTTCATTTATCCAAGAAGATCTCCCCAGAGAACAAACAACTTCATCGATTCGGAAAAATTCAAGAATTTCGCTTAAAGTGAAATACTTTAAGATTTAATTTGTGTGCTTTCACCCCTGCCACTCACTCTTTCTATGTGTTTCTATGCCAACTTGATTTTAATTGAAGAGGCGTTGGACGCTGTTGCACACTTGTGATTTCTTCCAAATTAGCCCTATTCACTTGTGGATATTCATGCATTTCAAGATTGGATTTATTTCGGCGAGAACGAATATTGTTGCTTGGAAACACTTATTGCTCTACCTCCACCACCGGCAACAATAAAAGCTGCTGCAGTACTCTTTAATTCCATTTAATTGCGTTGATTCATTTGAATTTGGATTTTATTTTTTAATTCTTTTCTGCGTATGTTGTTTGTGTTTTTCTTATCTGATTTTATGTTTTGAATGAATTATTTACTTACTGCACTCCAATAAATGAGATTATTCGTCTCTTCATCTTCCACTAAACGCCAGAGTTTCGCTAAAAACGCTGGCACACCTGAGCTGTTTTCGCTGAATGTATGCATTTTGTTGCAACTATGCGTTCGTCACCTTGTTTAGCTAAGGTTTTCCCTTTCGATTCTAATGTGAACACGGTTGATTTCACTTTGTCCGGTGATTTGTCTATCGATTGTATTTATTTTGCTCGTTTTTCTTTTTACTCGGATTATTTCCTCACTTTTGATCATCAATGTATTTGGTGTGTTTTTGTTACACTGTTGTGACTGTGTCTATGTGACAAAATCTTGCAAATATTCACACTGAATTTTGTTTCAGAAGAAAAAATTGTTCGGCTGAAACGAGACACAAAATATTGACTAGTTCACCACACACGTTTGTCTGTTGTCAAAACTAACTTTTCCACCTAAAATGGACTTTGATTGACAAAAGGAAAAAATTGAATTTAATTGAAAATTACTCGGCGGCGTGGAATCGTATGAACACTGTACAAGAAAAAAAAATTCCACTCACGTTTTTTTGTTTTTCGCTCGGTTCGTTCTCGGTCTTCACAGGCGAACCTTTCGACACCGTCTTTTTTTTTCTTGCTCTTAAATCAGCTCTTGACGACCACGACAAAAAACCAAAACTTTTTATCTTTTCTCAAAATTATTCCAACGATACCGAATTTCTACGGCGAACGTCGAACAAAAAAAAAAGAGATTATTTCGTGGTTTTATGTGTATGTGTGATATGGTATGGTATCGATGAAAAAAAAGTCAAACAACCGAATAAAAATTTTAATGCGAAAAATTAAAATCCAAATCGACGAAATTTCACTACACAATAAATCATAGAAAATCTGAAAATGAATTCTATGGTGTTATAAGGCGAAAATGTATGTATTGTTACTTCTGTCTAATTCACGCAACTGAGTCTATTATATTTCTGCCTGCCATTCGAAAAACGTATAAAAAACACGCAATATATCTACTTTTTTATTTCATTCCTTCTCTTATTACTGACTGCTTTGCCTATTGGCTGCTTCTTCTTCTTCTTCTTCTTGCTTTTCACTAAAGCACCCATACACACTCACATCGAAACGAAACGAAAAAATGAACGAACAATTACGACATTCGAAATGTCGTCCATTCGTAATTCGTAACCGAGAGAAGAAAAAACCTTTTTTTTCGTTCGAACCATGCGTACGTCGCGTGACAGTTCACTGTCTCTCTCGGCAACTACGAATCAAATTCGACTGATATTGTGTATGGTGTATGGAATTCAATGCAGATGACTTGTAATCTTTTTAATTAATCAAGAGTCGATTAATTCAATTATTTTCCAATTTCTGGAAAATTGAAAAATTGTCATCAATTTTTTTTTCACAAAACACACGTTGTTTTCAATTGCTTGATCTAAAAATGAAACTTTCATGTGATGTTCAATGGGCAGCGCCATCTCTTGCGAATTATATGAATGGTATTCGTCTATTTATTTGGCGAAATCTATGAATTACAATATTTCTTTCATACTGAAACCATTTTTATGCGCAAAATTTAATGCAAAATTTGATGCGAATTTTTTTGCAATTTTTTTTTGTTCTGATCCTAATGAAAAGTGTCAGCTATTGACGTTGACTGATGCGATGGTTGAATCAAAGCAGGCCGCATGTCACAATGTTTGCGAAATGTTTGACTCTGTTTTGACTGAACCTGCAACGACACAGACCGTTATGCACCGACATCAGCATCGAATGTTGCTTTTTGCTTTGCTACAAAGTGTTGAACCCGGCTATTGCGCTCAATCACAAACACACAACAATGCGTGCCGCTATGGAACCAGAGACACAGCACAGAATTGAAGTTTTATCCAAACGACGATGCAGTAAATTTCAATGGATTTTAGTTTTTTTTTCCATTTCGATGGATTTTTTTTTTTGGTTTATAAATTCTTTTGTTATTTTTTTTTTTGTTTATTTTTTTTCATTTTAAGGTACATTAAAACTGCAACAACAACAACAATACCACCACCATCAACAGTACAATAGCTGGACGAATTCAGTGGCAAATCATCGATTTCAGGTATTGCGTCGCATTCGAAAACGTCAATTCTTTCAACCAAAATGGCACACGATGAAACCAGCATTCATGGCACACGAATCGATGGCCGGCTCACGGTATAAGTACAACGGTGGCTATTCCATTCTGTGGGAATTGAATAAAATTGATCGGCAAATTAATGTACTTCAATCGCAAATTGGCGTTCTCAAACAACAATTGCGTATCATTCAAACACAATGTGTGCCGACGGAACGGCATGACACAGTGCCGAGGTAATTGTCAGTTTTGATGTTTGCTTGTTTGGGATTAAAACCGAATTTTTCATTGATTTTTTGTTTGTTCAGATTTTCGTTTATTTTCATCCAACTTTTATTCATGTTCATTGAATTGTCGTTCATTTTCATCGGAAATTTGTTGTTCATTTTCTTGGAATCGTTCATTTTCAGCGGTGTGTCGAATGAAAACATCAACAGTGCCGTTGTCGACGCCGCCGTTGCCGTCTCCACCACCGTCGCTGTCAATGTTGACCATCAACTGCCAAACGTCAATTAATCTCATGGAAAATCACCGCACAAAATAAAAGCAATGTTTCTTCTTTTCATCGAAATAAGTTATATCATCCTAATCTAATTCAAATAAAGCTAACAATTTGTTTTCTTATATTCTCATTTCTGAATGTGTGTGACGTTTCGTTTAGGCGTTCAATTGGTTCATTGTCTCTTCAATCCAATTGACGTAAGCGCTAACACGAGTGTACACGCCGGGTTTGTTCTTTTTGGCACAGCCAGATCCCCACGACACAATGCCCGTGAGATAGTACTTGTTGTTGTATTCGCATGCCAATGGACCACCTGCAAAAATGAAACATGATCGGATCAGTCATTTGTTTCGTTGTGTGTCTGGATATTTTGATTGTTTTGTCTATGGTTTGGATTACTGACCGCTGTCACCGTTGCACGCATCCACACCGCCTTGCAACAAACCTTTTTTTTTGGAATGAAATTGAAACAAATTTTTTATGATTATATTGCATGGAATTTGACATTAGCATTTACAATTTTGGACCATTTGGTGCAATCCTTTGGTATAATTTTGAAAATGAGCTACTGAGAAATTTTATTACAGTTTTTGTTGTTGAAATAATCCGATTGATCTTTTTGTTTCGAACATTTCAGAGTATTTTCTATTGGCAAAACGATTTTTAGTAGCTAAATTAATGGAATTGAACCAACCGGCACAAATCATGGTGTCCAATATGGTTTGCGATCGACCGCCATTCACATCTGACATTCGGCACGTTTCCAAATCAAGCAATGGCACCGCTGCGGCCCGAAGAACGGGCGCCAAGCTCTTATGATCTTCGGCTGTAATGAAGGAAATTGAAGTGGAATTTAGCATTTTATACAGAGACAACAAATAGGCACGTGTGCCTATTTTATGTATAGAATAGCAAATTCCGCTACACAGTAGGCATTTGGAAATCTCTGCTCATTTTAAAATTGATCAATTTTTTTTTCTCTTTCAAAGCTTATTCCCGATTCATATCTACTATTCAATTTTGAACATCAATTTTTTTTTCACCCATCAAAAATAAATGCATTGAACTTAAACTTTTTACAGAATGAAGACACGAGCAGTTCAAAGCTGGCCTCTAGAATATACGTACGTATTTGAGCACCCCAACCCGATACTGAGCACCAATTACCCGGCCGTAGATTGACATCGTTCTGCTTTGGAAGACAAATGGGTTTGACGTGTGAATTGAAACTGATGCCAGCATCATTGTTTGATGCCACCTTTATGATCGAAATATCATTGCTGTAGGGACCTTTACGCCGAAATTCGGGATGCATTACAATCGTTTCGATGCGAAAACGTCTTTCGTACATGTCAAATTTCTTCAAATCATGATTACCAATTACCAAATGCAAATACGGCTGTTGTGACAACTGCGGGAAAATTTTAATTGCGATTTTTGTTAAATTGATGATTTTGTTTTTCAGCTTTGAATAGTCAGAAATTGGATTTTTGTCCGTTTTTATCAATTTCGACAATGTTTCTCATTAGAATTAGATTTTTACCACTCAAAGTGTTTTGCAATTGGATTTTTTGGACATTGTTTTGTTTTCACTTGTTCAAGCATTTTTTCACCTTTTTGCTTAATTTTCTTTATGTCAGATTTTTCCTTGTTTATATTTCTTAATTTTGTATAATTTTTGTTTTTGTTATTTTTGTTTATTCTGGTCATTTTTTCAGATTATTGTTTCAACTCAATTCAAACTTTATTTTAATTGCAATTTCACATACGTTTCGAATTTCAACTATTCAATCAGGTCGAAGCAATCGATTTGAGTATACATACTCAAAAACTAAACTATTCATTAAACATGTTCAATTTAGCTGAAAATCCCAACATGAACTCTACTAGTCACAAATTGTTCCTATCAAAGCTAAAACCTAAAACGCTTTGTTGACTCTTTTGGTACAAAAAAGTGCTTCATCAGCCAATTGCCAAAAAGAAATGGTTAGTAATAAAAACGTAGAAAACAATTAACAGTCAATCAATTGAATTATTGTTGAATCGAGTCAATCAATTGAAATAATGGAGTCACCCAGTTCAAAATAATGTTCAAAATTGTTCAACCCACGATACAAACCTCCGTGCAATGGGCAGCTGTCATCACGATTCGTTCACCAATAACGGCTGCACCACAATGATGTTCAAAAATGCCCTTTTCATATTGGAAAATTTGTATTTCGACCTGCCATGGGAACGAACCATATGGAACATCAGAACCTACAGAAGAAGAAAAGTTGCGAAACATGAAATAAATCCCTCATGGAAGTCAGAAGTATCAAATTGGTTGAAGTAAAAATTCTCTCATTCGATTATACAATTCAATTTTCCTAAAATTAATTTCAACTTTTCAAGCCAGGAAAAAACAAAAATTAAATTTCCAAACTTTCAAAATTTCGGAATCCAAAAGAAACCTACTTCTAAATTTTAATTTCCACACTTGATACAAAAAAAAGGAGCCCAATTTCAATATTTACAATTAGAAAAAGAAGTAATGAAAGAAGGAGTAATAAAAATGTATAATTTACCACCAATAATTTTAGCGGATCGCTTTGGATTGAATTGAACGGTGCGTGTGCCGCACGTATTTGCATTCGTGTGGAAGTTATTGTACTTTTGTGACGAGTAAAATGACTGAAACAACTTATTATCACCGTTGTTGTTTGCTAGAAATGATTGTGGAAATTTGGGATAACCACCGCTGCGATTGTCATTGACCTGACTAAAGTTTCCAATTCGATACGATACAACAACACGACCGTTCCAGATAAATATGCTCAGCAGCAGGGTAAACGATAGCATCTTCACGCGATCCAATCAATTTCGAGCTGCTTCTAATTTACTTCTAAATTAAATGTTGTTTTGGAATCAGACGATCTGAATTGGCGTATAGCTGTTGATTGGACCTTTCAGTAGCTCTATCGATTCAGACCTGAGTAAGAACTGTTCACAGCAATCAACAATAGCCGCAAAATTTGTTGACAATTTTTCGATTACTCGTTGGCCAAGATGGTCTTTGATCTGAAAATTCATAGACAATCCCAATTGGAAATTTAGTTACCCAAAAATCAATGCAATTTTTTTTCGCATTGTGTCAAACTTTGAATGAGGCTTAATCTAAGAAAAATGGAATGAATATTGTGAAAAAAAAGGAGAAAAATGGACAGGAAAGGAAGAAAAAAAAATAGAAGAAACGACCGAAAAATGAACAGTTGTAGAAAACATAGCGATTCGTCCGAAAGAAGGCTTCGGCGTTTATTTCGATTAAAATGCCATCAGTGCGTTTCCTTTGTTGCATCCGCAAGAAAGTCTCTCTCAATGATGCGATTGACATGGTTTTTTTTCTCTTCGGTTTTTTATTTTCTTCCCATCAGAATGGAATGCATTTTTGGTGTTAAAATATCGTCAGTAAATTTAATGTGTGCGATAATAATTGATGACGGCTTTTGCCGCAGCCGGAATTCTTGTTTCCGTCTTTTTGGCCGACAAAACGAAGGTGTGTTGTTGTTGTTGTTGTTGCAGTTGTTAATTCGGTTAAATTGTAATTGGCGTAACGAGCATTTTCATTCATCGATTGGAATTGGAAGGTGGGAAAAAGTAGTGTGTCAAGAAAATGAGAGGGCTTGTCATGGTTGCGTGATATGGGCACCATCCGTCGTCGTCGTTTTTTTTTTTCTTTTTCGTTCATCTTGATTGTTTTCTTTTTTTTCTCGGTAAAATTTATGCACAAGTAAATTATCATCGAAATTACTGTGATGACTTAGCCTGCTGTTGCTGTTGCTGCTCTCTCGCCAAATTATGTAATGCGATAATCGACGCGCATTGGACAACAACAAAAATACACATCTTTCTGAAATTTTATTGAGCGAGTGGAATTATTTCCGTTTTTATCTGCTTTGTTGTTGCTTCATTTCCGCGTCCAATGTATTAATAAACCGTATGCGACCGAATTTATCCTCTTACCGTTATAAAACTACCTGTTGCCTATTTATTGATCACAAATCGATCGAATGTAAACAATGCAAACGCACGCGCGCAAAACACACAGAGAGAGAGAGGGAGAGAGAAACAGCGACGCATGCGAGTGTATTGCATTTCTTTTTCAACGACGCCACCACAGCAGCCTCCACCGCCGCCGTCACCATCCACGTTCATCCATGGAACAATTTAGAAAATTATGAGAGTGAGTGAAGAGAGCGCACGCGCATACCATGGGAGAGGGAACTAGATGTAGACCGATCGATACCATACGCTCAATCTCTGATAATTACTTTTATTGACAATATTCCATTTAAACTGCCATTGATGCACACATGCCGCGCGCGATCGATTCAAAAGAGAACGATCGACCATACAATGTATGACAGCGCTTCGACTACACCCAAAAAAAACGGCCAACTTAGTTTTAAAAAAAACGAACAAAAAACATAGCAAAATCATATTTATAAAATGAAACAAGTTTTTTTTGGTTGTTGTTGTTTCATCTTTTTCGATATACATATAATCGATCGATGCGAAAACAAAGGTCGCAATGAAAGTGAAATTTTCTTTTTGCGCTGAAAATGTCAAGCGCTTGAGTGTTACGCTATTTGAATAAATTTTCCTCTGATTTTGTTTTGGGTCGATATAACGGTCTTTTAGCGCGTACGACAGAAACACAACGTACTCTTATCTATCAGAACGTAATCGATTTCATCGCGATGCATTTTTTCCCTCTACTTCTCTCGGATTCTTCTGGATTTTTTTCGATTGAATTTTATTCTTCTGTTATTTTTGGGAGAGAAAGAGCGAGAAAGAGAGGAGAATCGCTTTCAAAGTGTTTGGACTTCGATAAAGAGAGTCCAAAAGTGATTTTTTTTTCGTCGAAAAATGAATGAAGAGAGGAAGAGAGTCCCAAAAAAAGGTTTAAAGAGAGGTTTAAAGAGAGGTCAGAAGAAAGCTCTAAATCGAGCTCAATGAATGTTCGAAATTGTGGCAAATGTAGTTGTTCAAAATCACCTCTGTCAATCGTATAATTGAATTGCGAGTAGTTGACAGAATCCCGATCAAGATAATACCGATAATACCGTGGATCGTAGAATAAGCGAAGAGTTCGAGCACAATAAATGTTGAAAGAGTGTCAATCAAAGATCAGTAAACAATCAACAAAAAGGTTGAATATCACTAACGGTGTATACATTTTCTTGAACACATACCTGGCCTGGTTGATTTGCGAACAATGTTCGATGTTGTTGTTGTTGGATGTCGTTCAAAATATGTTGGCCAACGATTATCGCTGCAAAATCTTAATCACAAAAACCAAAATAAGTCGCAGATTCAAAAACAAAACAACACCAATTCGAACAAACAACCCAATTTAAACAACAAAAATAATGAGAGCCAGCGACGAAAAGAAAAAAAGATATGCACACATGCCGTTCCGTCAAAATAAAATCAATCAATTTATGCGCGCACGTTGGTAAAGGTCAGTGTTGGTCTGGATTGCGTACGATCTCTGTGTGTATCGTGGTCTCTGTGATGATGGAAACCGATATTTGGCATGCGACAATCGACGCGGCAAAAAGAAAACTGGCTCAACCGATCACCATACACACCAATTTATAAACTTAAAAAATTCGTGGAGGTTCGACTCTTTTTTTTTCGCGGTGACACCAACGACCAACAGCAACAACAGCAACAACAACAAGAACTACAACAACAACAACAACAAAAATGAAAATTCTCTCGGCTCTTCACGCTCGCCAACCAAAAACCAAAGCGACGCAAAAAAGTTCAACTTCATAAAATGTGAAATGATTAGAGCGTAACAAGTAGATGCAAGACACCAAAAAAAAACAAAAATAAATAGGTGTATTTTGCATATATATTTTTAAACATTTTTTTGTTTCTTCAGTGATTCGATCGATGATGCGACACACGCGTGCATACTTTTTCACAAATTGATATCAACCGACACGATCTTACGAGATTTATTTATCAAATCAAATCACCTGATTCATGAAAAATGCGATGATCACAACATTTCTTTCATAAAATTCAACCATATGCGCGAACTTCAATCGTCTTTCTCTTGATCTCCGTTTATTTTTTTCTCCACACAATGGTCGGTTCATATGCAGAGCAGAGTGTCTGTGTGAGACAAAAACAAAAATAAGAATGTCTGCATTTTACAGTATGCATTTTTATAGAAACACAAGAACAGATTTAAATTTTTTAGGCGAAAAAAATGCTTCAAATTTCTACCTGCTCACTTTTTTCACACAGCATCGCTTTTTATGTGACGACCTTCAAAATCAGCATAATTTATGCAAAATATGCCGAATTTTTGCATAAACATATTTTTCGCACATTTATCGGCGCTCCACATTAAAAAAAAAACAGCAACAACACCCCAATGATGGAGCAAAAACATCGCATAATAAAATGTGGAACAAATAAATCACAGCTTGTCATGTTAAAATGCGTAAAAAACACAAGCCGTTTGTATTTTCGATGGATGAAATTGTGAGTAGAGTCGGTTTGTCTGGTATTTTTATTGTAAAAAGATCGCTATCTCTTGTTAGTAGAATATTAGGAACAAAAAATCACAGAAAAAACCAATCTCACTCATGAATGAGCCCATTAATTCAGGGGAAATAACATATTCGATAATCTTACTACTTATCTATTGGTGAGCTTGTTCTACAGAAAATTCTGATTGTGCTGTTCAGCAGCCTCCATTATTTGCTCGCAAACATTCATTTTTCATTTCTAATTTCTCATTAATTTTGCATTATGGTTTAAAATGGAGATATTCAAACCTGAAGATAATAAACTGCTCAACAGTTCAAAATATGAACTTTCGACATGACCCACCCAATATGAGTCACCCAAAGACTTTTAAACGAAGACCTCCTGAAACCATATTTTTTCTGAAAGAAAAATTGGAATACAATTTTGTAAAATAAATTGGATGAATACAGAAAAGACCGTTTAAAAAATTTCATTTTGATAAAACTTTGACTTTATTTTCTTTCTTAATAGCATAAAAATGATTCACGATCGATTTGGACTATTCACAAGAAAAAAAAAACAATAAATTCGTGAAAATCTATGTGTATTGGCCGTTGAACGGACTGACAATAATTTCATGCTTGCAACTTGTCTATAGTTTTCAATTCAACTGTTTATCGATTCGTAAGTAAAAACCGATGGAAAACCGTAAAATGTCCTATTTTATAAATAATCATTTCCAAAAGTGTTTCTTTATATATTAATAATATAAATATAGATATAGATATAACAATTTGGTTTAGATTCCTAAGATCCCTATTTGTTGGTTTTTAAGTGTATTTTTTCTCTCCTCTGTTCTCTCAACAATTAAGCGTATCATTTGCACACATTCGCGCGTGATTCGATGGCCGTCCTCTATCGATGTTTTACTGTCTTGATGTTTTTATGCTCGTTGGCTCTTCTATTCTTCCATCCTGTCTATCTCTTTACACTCTTTTCGGACGTCTAGAGTGAAAGAGTTGTGACCGTCTTTTTTTTTCCTTCCTTCGACCTGATTTCTTCTTTCTTTCACCTGATTTCTCCTCTGTTTTTCACTTAATCTCGCTCTATTTCGTTGGCACGATTTGGTTAATTTTTCAGGAAACAACCCACGAATGTATTACACCTGTTGAGGAAAAACCCAGACCAAAATTAACATCAATCCAAAACAAATCAAAAACACAACCAAAATTGGATAGTTACTATTTTGACCAGGAAACAAATGAATGTGAATATCTTCACCGTTCGCTGACATCACTGCTTCGGCCACATTTTCAAATAAATAGGAAGAAAAATGAAGAAATTAGTAAAATGAATGAGATTTTATTTCAAAGTGAAATCGTTTTTTCTGACTTTTCCCAAAACACGAGGAAAAAAAATGTAAAATGTTGCTATTGTTGAGTTATTCAATAATTTAAAAAAAAATTCAATTAAAATTTCGCGTACACATTGAGAGGCAAGTATTTAAAATCACAAAAACGTCCAAAACAAATCAAAATGCTACAAATGAAAGCACAAACAAAAAGCGCAACACGCATTTCTACACGGAAATGCTTTAAATTACCTGTTAACGAATTCCATTCAGAGAATCAATGTGTGGCATTTTGCAAGCGCAGTTTCAAAATCAAACAACGGTTAAATGGATTTTGGTTTGTGTTTGTTTGTGGTGCAAGCGGAGAGTTAAAGCTTTCACGGTTATTAATTGTTCAGAACAAAAAGTGAGGGAACATTATCCAGTTAAAACAAAAACAAAAACAGCGAGGGTTTGTGTGTGGGGAAAATTTGTCGTGGATGGTCAATGACACGAATACACGTTAGGCGGCCATCGATTTTGTATCGGTCGAACGATGTCTCTTTCCACAATGCAATTCCATCTTCCTCTTTTTCCTTCAACTCCATCGTCTCCTTCTTGCTCTTTTCCCTCCAATTCCATCGTCTCTTCCCTCGGCTGCAACGCGAACAAATCCGAAAACGACATATTCCAGTTAAAACGATATTTAGAGGCAAAATAAAAAAGAACAAACGATGCGGTCGCAGTTTCATCAGAATCGCGAGTGCATGGATTGTGAATCGGCCAGTGATGGCGTTGAATAGAATTGCGGGGGTATCGGTGGCATTGATGCCGGTTGATAATATAAGTAAGGCATGTTATTATTATTAATGTTATTATTATGATAAGGCAACGAATGTATTGGCATTGGCATATAGTGTGTCAGTGGATATGGTGGCGATGGCTGCACAAATGTTCCGTTATTATAACCCATTTGATTACCGGCTGATAAGAATGGCATCGTACACGCTTCGCACGATCGTTGCGTATACTTATTCTGGAATGTACACAAATCACATGTCCAACCGGCGTCCTCATTCGATTCACCAAAATGTGAATCGCTGCTGGGGCAGAGTGAGAGTGAGAGCAAGCCAGAGCACACAAGAGGAAGAGAGAGAGAGAGAGAAAAGAGGAAAACAAATTAGTTGGATAAAAAATAACGTGAGATAAAAATGAGTTGAGCATTCAATGTGAATGCAGTTGCAGTTTGCCATAACGGAACTTACAGTGGTGACTGTGTTATCGTTGACGTTGAGATGAAGCGTGGATCGGTGCCGGCGGTTGAACGATTTTTGGGACGATGCTGTTGGTATGGTGTTGGCGCTGGCCGATGTGGTCGCAATGGTTGCCGCTGTTGCATCGGCAATTGCTGTCCCGTATAAATATTTCGATAGAACGCTTCATTTGTCTCACCCAAGGCTGTAAGTAATTGGTAGAAAACGTGTTAAATTAGCCATAATTTTGTCTGTCGGATATTTTCCATACCGTATGAAGGACCCGCTTCTTCCACTAGGCTAGCCATTAGTTTGCAATCGTGTCGCAATTTGTCAATGTCCAAATTCAATCCATCGAGTCCACCGTCCGGTATTGGTGCTTGAATGGCCTGCAATTCACGTTGCATACGCTCCAAACGCTTTCGATCCTTTTCCAATTCAAGCACTAGCTTCTGTTTACACAATACTTGATGGTTTACGGTTTCAGCTGTGAATGACACGGAAAACAAAATCGATCATGCATTGAAATCGTAGTCAAAATGGGGCAAAATCAAAACTAAACCAAAAAAATTGGTTCACACATACTTTCTTTTAAAAATTCATAGCTGCCAGCGACGCTGGGTTGATTTGGTCCAGCCACGGTAACTTCTAATCGACTTTGATACCCTATTTCAGCATCATATGCGCTGCTCATAAATCTCAACTGCGGCCCATCCGTATTATCGTTTATTGTTCCGGTCGTTGTGGTGGTCAGTTCGTTTTCGGGATGTGAATAGTTTGTTGTTGTTGTGTGTCCGGTTCTGTTGCCGCTCGGCTGATGCAATGTGAAACTGTAATGTGGAAGTGGTTGTTGTGATTGTGATGAGGCTTGTGACACGGGTGAAACGATCAAATTAACGGAGAGATTCAGTGGTAGTTGCGGTTGATGGCATAGAGATTTCTGATGTTGTTGATGTGGTGAAGTGGCGGCAGCGATGGGCGGTGGTGGTGCTTGTCGTGTCGGCCGGTTCACTGGCCGATTTATTGGTCGCGTAAAATAATTTAAATTCGTCAGATATAGAGTGTTTGGTGGCTTCAATGGGACACCATTTGCGGCTGATGTATCATTTTCTTTTGTTGCATCATTTGATTTGGCCGTCGTCGCTGCTGTCGCCGCACCACTGTTCGGTTGCGCTTTCTTTTTTGTCGATTGATTGCGCAACGCTTGTGGATAAACATTCGCCGAATTTGGATAGTCTTCCAGGCCATCGATCACAGCCGAACGATTGTGACAATTTTGTCCGACAAATTCACACACCACATTGTCCGGCACAGTTGGGAATTTTTGCTTCATTTCGTAGAACAATTGCATTGTCGAGATCTTGGTACAGGAACACGGCGCCGTAGGTTGATGATTTGAGGGATCGGGCGCGGTTTGTGATTTTGATTCATTGTGCTCCGGTGTTGTTGGCGACACCACTTTATCTCCCTTATCAGCCATTATACCACGCGCCATCGGTTACATTCATAGATCTGGAACGAGGGAGGGAGGGAGGTAGGAAGTGAAAAAGAGATGGATCGTGAGTATGAATAATAATGAAGAGAAACGAGTAAAAAAAAGTGAAGAACAACAAAAACAAAATCAAAATACAAACAATTCTCGTTACAAGTCAATTACTGTTATCTAATCAGATTGTGTTATCAATGAAACCATCGTGCATTCTGTATCTGGCGTGGAATTTTGTTGGGGGGCGGATTATTCATTGATAAAAATAGACTCACTCTAAATAACGGAAACACGTCGATTCATTTCTCGGCTTAATTAATGACCAAAATTTATCGTGGAATTCACACATTAACTCTGTTATCAAAAAAGTTAGCCCGTATGTGGGTATCTTCAGAAGAGTCGCTTTCATTTGTGGTGACAAGGTGAAAAAAATGTTATACTACGCATTCTTTTACTCAAACATAACATATTTTTTGATGTTTTTTTTTTCTTCTCTCTTGAGCTTTATCTTAATTAATGTCATCAACATCATTCATTTAGCAACATATTCTTTGAACTTTTTTCTTTTTTGCGTCTCTTCTCTTTCTTCAGGTTGTTTTTCTTCGATTTGCCTTCACTTTTCTTACACTTAGTAGTCCCAAACCTTTTCAATAACTGTTTTTATCATTTTTTTTTTAAATTTATATAACTACCATCCATTAACCGTTGCCTTGGTTTGTTCAGTATTTTTTGTCGTCATTTTTTGAGATCTTCATCTCTGATTGAGACTAACTCCCAACACGAAACCATGATCGTACGAATCCTTTTGTAGTTTTTTCAAAATATTCTACCAATTTTTCTCTGGCAATATTTATCTCACTTTTTTGCCATTTATCTTTTTTCTTATTATTCTGTTCTTACGTCTATTTCGCTCACACATTACATTGAACAATGTGAATATCACCTTTTGTCTAATACCAAAGGAAAATAGTTTTCCACCAAGAAACGACGTAGTCAGTAGATCCCTATCGACCTGCTCTGAATGAATGAGAAAAAAGATTCAGAAGCAGGAAATTCATTTAAATGCTTAAATGCTTGACGAGCATCTCTCCGTAATAAGGAGCATGCATCCGAATTGCACACTGTCTGCCTGACATACATGAATGGCTATTTGTGTGTTATCAAAAAGAGCAAAACTGAAAGATGTTCACGGATCGGCGGAAGCGCGCGCGCGCATTTTTTTCGGATTGTGTATGAAATGCTGAAAAATTACGTGATGGGCCATCAAGGGCACGCATATATAAAAGTGGGTCTTGTGAAAAATTCGATGATAATTTGATACATTTTGTCATTGTTGCATCATTTTTCAATTGGCTCTCGCTTTCTCTCTCACTAGAGAAAAAATTACGACGCACTGATCGATGCACAATTGCACATACACAGAGAGGGGAGAAGGGAGAAAGAGAGTAGTCACAGTATTCGAATCGATTTTGCTATGGACTGTTTGAACGTCGACAACAACTAAAAACAAAATTCAAACGATAGCCGCGCACACACGGGGTTCAAAATGACAAGAAAAAAAAGAATGTTACACGATGATTTCGTTGCTGATTTTCGACAACAATTCCACTCACACAACACACACATACACACATTCTTTTGCTCAGACAGAGAGTAACTCCACACTAGACTTACACTCGCTAATGATACTCACAAAATCAGCAGCGTGTTTTATTTCCTTTCGGATTCTTTGTGTTGATGTTTGTTTGTTTCACGTTCCAGTTATCTTATTTACAAATCATGCGTCAAAACAAATTCACTTGGCCATAGAATTCAATGAAATGACTGTTCACATTTGCCAATCCCAAAGTTCGGTTTAAACACAAAACACAAAATTCCGTCCGAAGCAGCTGAACTCCCGAAAATGATGGCTTGTTACTTGTTCCGTTCGCACAGAAAAAAAAAAATAAATAAATTGTTTTTCTTGTGCCGAATGCCCAAAGCGATGAATAATTTTCTATAATTTTTCTAGTGACTCTCTCTCGTCGTGGTCTTGGGCCTTTGTTTACGGCTTGTGTTAAGTTAATCATTCGCTTTTAAAATAATTATGATACGTGTTTGAATAAATGTTCACGCGTTTCGTTGAGGTGGTTTTTATAGTTTTATGTCTTTTCAGCGGCAAGAGCCTCAGCCGCAATACGAAATGAAAAATAAGAAGAAGAATTGCAACACATACACAATATACGAAATTAGATCGATACAATAATGATTTTAAACGCTGGTAAACACACGTATATCATACACGAGAGACAGAGAATGTGGAACGATCGATACGAACGATCATACGTCTATACGATTCTATTCTCTCTGTCTGTATTCAGAGACAATTTATTACACGACACAAAAAGAAAAATACACCCAAAATAAAAACCCTTTTGATATCACAAAAAAATTCCGTTGAACGGAAAAAACAACAAGAAATGATAAAACTGCCAGAGAGAATTATTCGTTCATTTTTATCACACTTCGGAGTTGCATCGTTTTTGCGGTGCGGACTTATTCGTTAGCTCAGCCAATTCGCTGAACGCCTCAAACTAAATAATGCAACAGACAATTGACGACGAGTACGGCGGGGCAAAACAATCACCAAGTCAAAGTCACTGGCACTTATTATCGTAAATCTTTTTTTTTCTGTTTCTATTCTGTGTGTGTTTTTCTTCGGTTGGCTCGCGCGCGCGAAACTTCGTGTCGCACGATTTCTTCAACACGAGAGAAAGAGAGAGAAGGAGAGAGAGATTTCTTTTTGGTGTAGAAAAATCCTTTTTTGGAAGATCGTTGTGAAATCAATCAACTCAAGGTTTTTATTTTAATGAGCTTAGGTACTGTCGAGAAAGAGGCACATACACACACAATTGAACTCTCCGACTTCACCGACGACCAATTTGCAGCAACACAATCTAAATCTCAACACAAACACCTTTTTTTTCGACAACCACGACAACCAAATATTTCACATAAATAATTTTTTTTCTTTCTTCACTCTTTTCTCGTTGGAAAAACCAGAGCGTGCTTAAAATTTCGTCTTTCTTTCACTTTTTTTTCGCGGTGTTGTTATTTGAATATTTTGTCACACGATTTGTTGCGATTCAGTGGCCATTTTGAATATTATTTTATTTATTGGTCGAAATGCGCCACTCGCTCGCTTTTTTCTCCTTTAATTTACACACTAAATATTTGTTTGACTGTGAAAAATGTTTAACGCAAAAACCCAACAGCACAGCAACAAAATAAAAAATACGACAACGAATTAGGTTGTATGTAGTTACCGGAGACGGAGCCAGGGGATACGGTGCTCGCATAAGCGCACATTCGATCGCACAATACACCTGCTACGGTTAGTGCAAAAGCATTTATTGCCCTACCTAACGCGAGCGCCATCTGTTCAGTTTGAACATGAAAACAAATTGATCCATACAGAGTTATAATACAACAACATCTCTATATAGAGGAAACGCTGTGGTTCGTTTTGTTCGGCATATTTTTTATACACTGCCTTCATTTCCACCGATTCATATATCGGTTGACAGCTGGAGTCACTTTGTTTGTTTTCATGTTCGCACCGAATAGATGGCGTTTGCGTTAGGGAGAGCAATAAATGCTTTTGCACTAAAGGTATGCCTGCGCATAAGCTCTAGCGATCTTGAATCTATGTGGACTCACGATGAGAGATCACGATCAGAGATACTTGGTGGACTGCATATACTTGGCATACAACTGATTGATGTGTCGACCACAGTTGTCTTCGCTCGCTTTTAATGGCATCGAGAAAAACAAATAATTCTACGGAAATACAAAAAAAAAACGTGAAAAAATTATGGTTTTGTTATGGGCCATTAATTTTTATGATCTGAATCGGGTTTTTTTTTCTCTGGCAATAAAATTAATTTGAAAATCTAATGATGAAATTTATTGAAGTCGGGAAAAATTGATGAGATGATTTGTTGTTTACTCCAACTGCTTAAACTCTAGACTATGTTCCGTAGGTATTTTTAGACCTTTTGATCAAATTGTTTTATTAACGTAAAATAAGTAAACAGCTCAATAGACCTTTTTAAAGCCTATTTTATGGGTTTGTTTTTGGGCTAAGATTTTTTGGGACATTTGTTTTAGATTCATCTTCAGTGAAAACAATTTTAATACGTTGACGATATGTTTGGATGTCATCCAGATCAGATTGGCGCTCACAATAGATTGTCACTTCAAAGTCATTCGGACTCGTACATAGGGTGGCAACAATATCGGCACCGACTAGGTGTCTATGTCAGCTTTGCTTAACCCTTTGATGCACAATTTTTTGTTTTTGAATCATTTTGATATATGTTTTGTGCCACGATAAATAGAGAAAGACCTCATACTTAGATTTTTGAAAAATTGCGTATTAGTCGAGAAAATCGAAAAAGAGTCAAAAGTGTCAAACAGCCTGAAAAAATTAAATTTCATAAAACTAATGATGCAGAAAGTTAAATTGATGTGTTTTGGTCCTACGGGTCCTAATTTGACAATTGAAAAGAATGAACAATCCCACAAGATAACCGGAGGGAAAATGTGGAATTCTGCTATAATTTCGCATTTTTTTTACAGCAGTACATGAACAGAAAAAACTTTTCATTCAGCCAGCCGATTGTAGCCTGTAAAGTATCAAATGAAAGCTAGTTCATTTCCCTACATTTGTTTCCAAACAAGAATGTAAAAATATTCAGTGGTTTCATAGCTATAGCGTCTGGCGTATCTGGTTACTTTAGGAACCGAAATGTGATAAAGGGTTAATTCCGAAAATAAATGAAGGATTGTATTGATTTACCTTTAAAATTGAGGGTTTTCGAGTCGCTTCCGTTCTGATTTGCATCGTACACTGACAGTCAAGGTCCACGTTTTTGGTCTTAGTTGCCACCCGATGATGTTGAAAAATGATTTATTTGTTTTATGAACGTATTTGTGATCGGTGGCTATATTTACGCCCAGCGTCCACTGTTAGCAAAAGAATCTTCTACAGTGCTACAGTAAAACTGTGCCCGCAATCATTTCGCCATGAGTACGGTTCTGACCGCCACAGAGCGGCTGGTGCATTTTTTTTTTTACATTGAATCCAAATGAAAATCGAATGTTAAATACACACGTAAACATGTTCATTATATATTGATAAAATGGCAAAGAAGAGTCAAATAGATACACACGGGCTGGTATATGCGAACGAGTGAACGAGAACGTAAAAACGAACGAACGAATATGCCGAAATCGAAGTAGCTGTGTATTGTGTCGCTTTCAATCGGCGCACGAGCATGTGTATGAGCATACAAACACATAGAGTTTGCGTCATATGCTCTTGGTCGCACATTCTATCGTGCGCTATCAATATCTATGCACGACACATTCTCTCCGAAAACTATAAACATTAAAGCATGAGGTGACCGTGTGAATCCATATGAGTGCGAGAGACGGTGTGCGCTGGCTACATATGTGACAATTAGCAACGAGTCTCTTTCTCTCTCTGTATGTGTCGCACTATGCGTGTAAGAGTGTGAACACGCTGACAGATCGTTGCCGTTTTATTCACACAAAAAAACACAATTAAAATCGTGCGCTGCACACAACAATATGATGTGATTTGAAGGAATATCGCCGTTTGCTCCCACACGCAAGCGCAAATGTACAAATGTAGGTTTTTTGCTGTTGCTGTTGCTGCTGTCTGTCTGTTTGCCCGTCCATTAACTACACATAATTCCAAATTGCAAACACATCCAAATCCGAAACGCATGCAACCGTTACACCAAACTCGAATCCCTTGACATTGAAACACAAAACGTTCGATTCTCGCTAAATATTTTATTACTCAATCGAGTAGAATTGTCTGTTTTTCTTCCATTTTGGTAGAGAGAGGGAGGCCTGTTCATTGGCCCAACAAGACACAACAACAAAGAAAATATTGAACATTTCAAAATTCAAAACTTAACTTGTATTCGATTTAACACATATTTATTATGGTCTATAAAATAGTACGTTAATAAATTGAAACATATATTAGAATGGGTGGAAAAACAAAAACAAAAACAAAAATAAAATAAAATCACCGCTCACTTAGAGTTGCAATTTGTCATGACATAGCAGATTTGTTTGTTTTGTTTTTGTTCTACGGTTGAAGATTCAAGTGTTTTTTTGGACGTGTGATTGCCGCGTCTATTGTTCATAAATCAAAAAGTCCGTGCGCTGCGTCAATTTGGCCGCAAACTTTTTACCATCCTCGGTGGGTGAGCTGAACGCAATATCGTCAAATGATAAAAATGCACCGAATATGAAGTGGCTACGCATCGATGTGATCAATTTGGCGGCAATGCCGTGACGACGATACTGTGGTGCAATCCATACACGTGAGATTCCACACCTGTAACGGTACAAAAAAATTTTGTCGGTTTTTGCAATGAATAAAATGTTGGAAAAACAAAACGATAAAAACGCAATCTTATCTTTGAAATGATGCTAATGGAAAAGCCACAATGATTAAAAATAAAAACAAATCAACACTTTACATGACATGATGAACAATTTTATGGATTTTTTTTTCGGTTCGACATTCATTTGGAAAAACGAAATGAATTTAAAACAAGACCGCAGATCGTCGCTTCGCTCCTCTCTGCGTTCTTTTTGCGTTGTTTAAAATGGTTTTTTTAAACGTTAATTTGATTTTTCCATCAAATTATTCATTCAAGCACTACATGGAATTTAGTTTCAATCGAAGTATACATTTCTGTATTTTATGAAAATTATTTAAATCAAAATCAATAATGTTCGACCCGGACAAAAAGTTCATTAGACAAATCTTTCACTAAATTGCCGTACTTTGAAAAAATTAAATATGTAAGAGAAACATGGTTATAAATCATATGGATACATAAATAAATATTAATATATATTAATTAAATAAATTATGTTTTTATTAATTATATTATTTTGGTTTTGGGAATGATAATTTTACATTATTTCACATTGAGAGTTAAAATAATATGAAATTTTTTTTTTTGAGTTATCTCAAACATGAATTACATCAACATGACATTATTATATTTTTGTAATTAAGCGTAATTGCTTTATTTCAAATTAGAACTTTGGATAGAAAGAAGAATTAATTTTCGGTCCAAAAAAAATGGCCTAAAGAGTCTTAAAATTTCTCGAGAAAAAAAAAACAAATGCAATAGCCTATATTCCATGTATTTTACATTCCATGTAGTGCTAAAAAAAACATGCACACTTACTTCACTGGATATGTTTCGGTTGTGTAACAATCGATTCCATTCTCATGTTTCAAACGATGAGCTCGTTCCAACGGCTGCACCACACAAACACCCACTATTTGTTGCTTTGCAATGGCAAAATACACCTGGAAATAAATCAACCATTCAAATCAAGAAAATTGCATTTGAAATTAATTTGAAATTTGATCAAAAGATAAAAATTACAGTTAAGTAAATTTGTAAGCGTTCTGAGTCGAATCAAACACAAAAATTACAGTTGAAAATATCTGAAAATGGGAAATTGTGAAGAATCTTCTGGGAAATCCTAAATTGTTGATTTTATGCACAAGATGAAGATCAATTTGAAGAAAAAATTCGATTTTTTCGTTGTTCTTTGTTTTAAGGCTGGTGAAGATCATTGGCTATTGAGGTAATTTTAAGCTTACAAACAGCCAGTCGCTTAACTCATACTAAGCAAGACGTCAAAAGTCTCAATTCTGCCTTCGAACCGATTTTTTTTTTATTTCAAGAAACAAATCGATTTCTTCTGGTTTCGAAACAATATTGTAAAAAAATCACATTTCGCTTCGAAATGCTCATTATAGTATCTGTAAATGCGTACTATTCTGTTTCCAATTAAAATTTTTAAGATGTGCTTACCAGTGTTTTTGGTTTGAGTTCGGTTCGTGCAGCGAATCCCAGATCACGATCGACCATGTCCAACACTTCTTTGGCCCGATCCTTTTTCGCTTTGCTATCGGTTTCGCATACATAAATGATGCGACCGTTTAGGCCCCAATCGGGAATTTGGGTGACCACACGTTCATTGTTCCATCCTTTGAACGACAAAATATTCACGCAATTATGATATTTTTGATGCAACAGCTCGTCTTCTGGTTCATGAACACTGTACTGCATATCGCATTGGGCACAAGTGCGTAGGCCAAACTCTTTTTGACCGATATCCAGTTGATATTGATTGCCGATGGCTACCCATTCTTTTGGTGCCTTATTCAGTGTATTGAATGTTGGCGCTTTATAGTCTTTGGCGTTGAAATTTTTGCTGAAAATCGGGAACAACTTTTCGGATGAGGCATTCTCTTTTGCCATTGCTTCCGTTGGATGAGATTCTTTCGGTGTTTCATCGGTGATAGGGGTGTCTGTAACGAGAGGAATGGGTGATGAAACATCGGTTTTCTTTATTTTTATTCGGATTTTTTGTCATTTGAAAAGGGATTTAAAAAATGAATTTCGAAAATCAGTTTGAAAATCAGTTCTGAGAGATTTAGAAAAAGTCGGTTCAGAGGCATTTTTCTAACCAAGGTAAAGACTAAAATGGACGATGTAAATAAATTCGGTGTCTAAATTGAAAAAAATAAGTTGGCAAAACACACTCACCTGTAGCATGAGAATGTGCCGTTTCATGGCCCAAAGTCGGTGCAACACCAAGAACCACCGACGAAATGAAACCGCTTTCGATGAGATTCGAATCACTGGGACCATTTGAGTTGGTATCTATGGCAACTATGGAATCTGGCGTTAGTGCGATTGGCATCGATTCGACGGAATTCACCCAATCAATGGTTCCGTCATTCTCGTATTCGTCCGGCATCATTGTGTTCACACAGTACAAACTGTCCAAAATCTGTGAGGCTTTCTCCTTGTGCAAATCCGGTTCAGCGATAAAAATTTGGAATGTTTCGTCATTACAAATTCCATTCGAAATGAGCAGCTCCAAAATGGATTCTTGTTGACTGATCTTCTCTGAATCGGTGGTATTGTACGGAATCATTTGGCGATATTTATTCACATCGACATAGGCCATTGGTTCCATGGCGATTGGGCCTTCAGTTTGCATTTCTTCGATGAAATCTTGTTGGTTTTCGATTACCGTTGCATCTGCATTGGTTCTGGTAACTTGATTTTCCGTATTGGAATTGGTGTCGATATTGGCCTCGGCGATCGTATCGGAGTAAACATCAGTGGTCTTTTCTGAATTGGCTTCAACATTTTTGTCCAAATTGATATTAGTCACATCCGAATGACGATCGTTGCTTTTGTCCGAACTAGCGTCGTTGTTACGTTTGTTCTTACTCGGTGACGACAACCGATCGATAATGCTACTGATTTCGTTGTGCAGGAAAACGGTTTCACCATCTGGAAAAATTCGATAAATGAACAATGTTTACCAGAAAATCAATGTATTCCGTAAAAAAAATGCCTAAAAGTCGTCATACCTTTGTTGGGTCTTTTCTTCTTGCGTTTTGGCAGTGGATCGAATTTTAGGTCACCACCACGTTTCAGTGTGGCACTTAATCGTCCCATAATGCGATACTTTTTGGCCGAACTGGCGCTGGATTTAAAGAATTTACGATTGGTCTCCACCTCGACCTCAACCTCTTCATATGTGCTGCAATTTGTTGGCAATGCACTTTCATTGTCGCTATCCGCATCATCTTCGCCGTCACTGTTCAAGAACGCCGACGGTGGAACCAACGGCGATTGATCATTTTGGCCTTTATTGCCACCATTCCAATTGATGTCGCGCGATACTTCGAATGCGTTTGTTTGATCTTTCAGAATTTTCTGCAGCCGTAAATTCTGTTCGATACGTGACGTGAACTCGGCACCGATTGGCGCCACATTTTCCGTATCGATCACACTTCCCCCGTTCGTTGCAAACACTTTTTCTTTTTTCTTTTTAGCTTCTTTGTGTGGTCGGGGCTGCTTTTGACGATTGAATTTCATTTTGCCGCTGAAACGCCATAGGCTCGGCGCCTTCATTCGTTTGGCCAACGATTTTGGTTTGGTCGTTGTCTTTGGTTTCGATCGATTCTTTCGCTTTGCAATTACTGCTGCAAATTCATGGCTACTTAGTTTGGCGATAATGTCCATTTCCGCTTTGGATTCGGCCGGTTTTTCAATGGGCTTCCCGTAGAATGATCGCACCGAAATCACCGGTTCGCCGAATGTTAGCGATGTTTTCGCTTTTGGACGCTCACTTGGCTCATTATCGGCCAATTTGTTGCTCGATGGCGCATTCGATTCGTCATCATGCGGTGTTAGACCAGTGTCGAATACCAATGACTTTCGGAATGATGCACCACGTGCCACCTCACCACTTGCCTTGTTCGATGCATTTGACTCACTTGGCGTTTTCATTTGTTGCTCGTAGTTTGGTTCCGTCATACTTGTCAACTTTTTCATTGATGTACACAACGGGCCAACCACATCCTCTTCACTGCTGTCTTTCGTATCCGCACTTTCACTGATACTGGTGCTTTCGATCATTTCAGCCGCTTTCTTACCGCTTTTTGAACGCGTTGGCGAATTCGTCGGCGATTTTGATAGTTCGGATATGACATTCGAAAAATTAGTTCGACGCGATTTGGCGCTTCCTGGAAATAAATGGGAGAAAAAAATTAGATGGCAGCAAATGAGTACATCAACTCAATTCGAAAAACTATATGAACAGAGCAACAGAAGAAAAAAACTTTCGAGGGAAACCAAATAATTCGAATAATTTTTTTCTTTCACTATTTTGATACAACTTTGCGTTACTCTAAAATATTACGGTAGTAGCCTATAGTCCATCAACTCCACAAATGAATTACCTTTTTGTTCACGTGCAATAATACGATGCACTTCGTTAAAACTGGATGGGCTGGAGCTAAACTCCAATGGGCTCATGGGTCCGATATCCGAGTCATCGGCCTCTTCAATGATAATTCGCTCCAAACGAACGTACGGTTGGAATGGGCCCATCATGATTGGTGACTTTGTGTTAACCGTCACATCGTCAAACAGTTTCTTTTTTCGTTCGGATAATTTTGGGGTGGGTGCACGACGATGCCGTGTGGTACTTCTTGTTCGTGGTGTTGTGTCCATCTGAACGAAATACACGAAAAAAGTGATGATTTTTACCGTTTAAAATTTTAAATTATTTTCCAACGTTTTTCTGTTCAATGTTCAAAGAAATAAAGCGATAAATTTGCTTCATCTCCAAAAAAAAATCAAATAGAAATAAAGAAATTTGCCCAAAAAATCAAATAAATATGATCTGTCCACATATTCATCTCTTTTGTTGACATAACCAACAAGAAAGTTATGTTTTGATCTCACCATTGAATGGATGTTTCATGGTATTTCCACACAAAAAACGGTTAATTCAAATCGATAAATTGATCGACAATTTTATCACTCAAATTAACAATATTTTAATAAAAAAAAATTCTATTTCAATCACACAAACTAAAAAAAATAGTCCAAAGAAAAATTGGCTATTGTCAAAACGAGCGCTGAAATATACTTTCGCGGTCCTTTGTGATGGTCAATGATGTGTTCTGTCACAACACATTGAATAATTTGGAATGACTTCCCGCGCAAACAAAACCTACATCTACACCATTCCTTTGTGATGCTATTGACATTTGGACAGCATTCGCTCGGTCCACATTTTCTCAGATTTTTTCCACGAAAAAAATCTTACCTTTTTGTTTTTGTAAAATGGTCTTGAGCCCAAAATAGTTGGAAATTTTGAGTTTATTCGAAGATTTTGTTCACATTCCGAACAACTTTCGTCGAAATTTTTGTATCAAAATCGGTTGAGTAGCAATTGCCATGAACTCGATCCAATAAACACACACACAACACACTGTATTTCAACACAATTCGATAAAAAAAAACTCAAGTCAATTTTGTGACGATGAAAATATTCTCGCAAATTCAGACGATAAAATTCAAATATTCACCAAATTTTGTATTTATATTAGGAAATTATCGAAAAAAATTCCATCATTTTGTCCATAAAAACGTTGCAGATGCGGTTCGGCGCTTTGTTTACACACGAATGTCGATTGTTACGTATTTAGCGCGAATATTTGGCGTCAGATGTCGTCGGTGATGCGCAACACATTTACGAATTCCATTTGATTCGCTTGTAACTGAACAGATGGCAGTCAAATCGGCTTCCAATTCCACAATTTCAAATTCTTTGCGACACGTATTTTTGCTCTTTGCTAATGATTTACATCATCTTTTTGGAATTTGCATCATTTTGAGGAAATTCGCTTTGATGCCAAGGAGTGAAAGAAAACGTTCCATTTGTGAATGTTCTATTCCAACGTTGTTTTATGCCAAGATTGGCTTCTCCCTTGGCACATATTTATACATTCGGCAAAAGTCAGCTCACTTAAAACATACTGATTTTTGGTATGTTTCAAAAAACATCTTCCTTCACTGTCCAAAATTACTTCTCCCGAATGAAAAAATATTCTAAAGAACTCAAAGGGAAACCAAATTCCATGCAAAATTTAAAACTTCGATTTAAATTTATTTCCAATAATATATGCAATAGTTCTTTGTTTTTTATCTTTACAAATTCATTAATATTAATAGATTTTCTGGCATTTCATTGAACAAATCTTCCATATTAAACGCAAGCGTTACAAGAAAAAAAAAATTGAACAAAATCATGAATTGAGAAAAACAGTTAATGCTATCGATAAAAAAATTGTTATTTTTTGTTATTTTGATTTCTCTTTTTTTTTCCCATTAGATGAAATTAATGTATGAGGTAAATCTTCTTGCGACTGGCTTTCATTTTTGTTTCCAACAATTCTGCACACAAAATGTGTGGGGGGAATTGTGAAATTTTTTGTTTGTATTGTGTTGTGTGTTTTTTTTTACATTTGCGACGAATTCGGCTGTGCCTGTTTGTATTGCTGTTCAACGGGTGATGGAATGAAGACTGTTTTGCTGGCTGCTTTTTCAATTTTTATCTCACATTCTGCATAAAATATATGTCACCGAATCTCGTTATTAAATCTATGGTTGGAGTTGTATGTTCTTCGTCGACGGTCACAAACCATGGACAGACGCCAGCTGGACCTCTACTATGGAATACAAAATGGTACAACTAAATCTTCTTTGTGCTCAACTTTGATGTCATTCAATGCCACATAGGATTTCTGTGTGAAATTTCGAATCTGGAAAGAAATAATAAAACGCTTGGTTAGCCTTCTTTTACCAATCCTTCTGTACCATTGCTTGTTGTATTGAAATTGGAAAAAAGTTTCTTTCTGGGAATTATTTGAATCAAGTAGTTCTCATTTTCATCTTGGAACTTATTCCATTCAAGATGTAACCAAATAAAAATTCAGATCGCTGAAGCTTCTTCCTTTCAAACACAAGACATGACAAGATTATCTCCATAAGAAACGACAACACTTGAACTTACTAAGTGGAGATCGGCATCAAGAATCGGAACAGCCAATAATAAACGCTCTGCTTCACTACTCGGAATATCTTTTAACAATCCTGTAAGTAAAATACCATCATTAGTACAAAATTCAGGAGAAAATGGAGCAATTTTCAATGGAAAGAGGAACATTTTTTTATGGAAAAGTGATTTTTAGTGGGATATAATAGACAAAAAAAAATATTCGAGGATTCTTGAATGGACAAAAGATTTTCTGAATGAAGAAAAATCATTTCCGAACGAATTTTTTAAACCCAAAGCATGATTTTTCTCTGAAAAACAGAGATTGCATATTTACTGCTGAGTAGGCCTGAGCTGAGCTGAATTTGCTAACTCAGGCGCCTGAAGCGGTATTTTAGCGTACTTACGGTGCAAAATTGTCGTAGCACGCTGGAATTTACCCAAATATAATTAGAAAAAAAAAAAAAATCAGTGGGATTTTCAGCGTGCCACGACAATTTTGCACCGTAAGTACGCTAAAATACCGCTTCAGGCGCCTGAGTTAGCAAATTCAGCTCAGCTCAGGCCTACTCAGCAGTAAATATGCAATCTCTGCTGAAAAATGACATTTTTTGAGTAAGAAAATTTTTTCTGAGTAGAAAAACAAATTTTAAATAAAAAAAAGAGCCTAACTGAAAAAAGTTCAACTTGAAAAAACAAAAAAGAGAATATTTTTAGGAAGAAAGTCACATTTTCATTGAAAAATAGATGAATTTTCAAAAGGGCCTTCATCCTTTTCTCCATAAAGCATGTACTTGTACATCAATCAAAACATTCATCGTTTCAAAACGTATCCCATCAAAAAACCCGAAATAAAAAGCAGATATCAGATCATCCGTACCATTGGCAACGCTTGTTGTATCCTCTTGCAGTGTGCCCCATTGTTGTGACAATTTATGTGAATACAAACGAATGCGATCGTTTAACTCTTGTGGCTCTAAATTATGTGAATCCATGGCTGCAACGTCAATGATATTCCTGTAATTTAACGAGAAAAAAGGGGTGGTAAAATTCATTATCAATTTCAAGTTTATTTCTGCCAATTTTGTTATCTCTAGCACCGTTTTTTCTTCTTCGCATGGTGGCTTTGAAAAGGGTTTTGAAGGTCGATCACGCATTTTTTTTCTTCAACGTGTTAATAACGCAAAGAAAGGCGCAGTGAAAACACTTACGTTGCAAAATCTTGTACTATCCGGTTGAGTGCGTTCGATTCATTTTTTTGTGGCACAGAGTTTTGATTATCTCGTAAAAAATTGCCATTGTTGGCTATCACCGCTGGACTACTATTAATTGGATGTTGTAGCAAATGTGTTCGTTCATTTGTTTCCGAGTTCTGTGACGGTGACAATGGCGGCAACAAAAAGAGGACAAAAAATGATTGAATTAGTATTGAATGAAGGAAAAGAAGAAAAAGTGTTTTGTTTGTGGCACAAAAGGTTCGGGCAGGCAAAATTAATTGCTCTATCACCCCACCGTTAATTAGTGAAAATGACAAGCGGCTGTTTATGACGATGGAGACAATTTAAACTGACACTTTGTGTGTGCATCACAAACGAATCACAACAAACACACACAGAACACACCTGATGAATGGTATCCTCTTTGCATCGAAAGCAATTGGCCAAAAAGTTGATAAATTGACGAACTAAATCCATTATGACGATGTGGAAGGGTGGCGATTACAGCGATTTTTTTTATATCGATTTGGCTTTTCACATCGAAATATACTTCTAGGATGATATGTTTTGATTCCACACACAAAGTAAAGAAGAAAAATCAAATCGGCCTCTCACGCCAAACACATAAACCTCAATCGAAGAAGGTGCAAAGAAAAAAACGAATGTAATTTGTATAACAACAAAATGAAAAAAATAACAAATCACACACAAACAATGAATTGAAAAAGACACAGTTCGACCAGAATGAATTTGCGTTTTTATTTTTTTTTTCTACTGTGGAAGCTATCGGGATTTGACTTTGTTTTTATTTTTCCGTTTTGTTCGAGCTCTGTGCGTCTCGTTGTCGTCTCTTTCTATGCGGCTAACACAAAACCACCCGATATCGTTGTGTGAAAAATTCCACTTTGCCTTTATTTTGCTCGCACTTCCGAAACTTTTTTTTCCAGTTTTGTTTTCGTTCTGGCGAACAACCGAGAATGCGAGATTTAAATCATTTTCGATTCATAACTTCTTTTTTTCTTCTGTTTCACACACAATATTTTTTTTCTTCTCTCGTTCGATTGTCACTTTGTATTCAGTCGACGACAACGACGATGTTATCGACAAATATAAATTGAAACACATATAAATACGTAATTTCGACACTGTCAATTTTGCTCGAGACTATACGTGTTGTTTTTGTTTCAATGTGCTGTATCGCTGCCCCGATTGAATGCAGCCCATTACTGAACCAAATAATATGGGCGAATGAGAATGAGTTTTGGGTTGAAACTACTGAACAAAAACCAGATGATCGAATTTAATGTGTAAACACAGCCACATTTTCTTTCTCAGTTTTTCGTTCGTCCAGCCTTGCGATGTGTCAATGCTTAGCAATTGTGACAGCTGTCATTCGGATCAACAAGTCAACACCGTCTCCATTGAATGTGTGTGAGCACAATTTGCGATGCATCCAAATGGAAACGGTTTGTTTTTTCTGATTTTTTAAATGAAATTTGAATCACAGTCAGTTTTTTTTCTTTAAATTTTATTTTATCACCAAGCTCTGGTTGTGAAAAAAAAACGATTTCAAAAAAAAGTTATTTATGGATTGATTAAAATGGTCTCTATGGAAATTCCATTTGGTTGGAAATTATCCATTGCCAGAAATTATTTGATGCTCAAGTGATTAAATTTGATCAATTGTTTTTTGCGTGAAAAAGAATCTTTGCCAGGTTGCGGAGAATCGAACGGCATGCATATCAACATAGCTATGAATTAACAAAGTGGCCTAACACTGGCCTCTATCACACACATACATACACACAGACAAAGATTACATTCAACATCGATTGGAACTTTGTATGATTGACAGCGAAACAAGTGTTTGAACCACAAATGACAATGCGATTACCGCCAATTCCGAGATCGAACGACAAATACAATCAAAGCATTTGCAAGCCGCTACAAGAGAAGAAGCGAACGAGAAACAGAGGAAGATGAAGAAGCGAAAGAGAAAGAAAGAGATAGATGGGAGGAAAGAAAGAGAGAGATTTCAACCACCGAATGCGAATGAGTGGATGGTAGATTTGTGTTGTGCGTGAATCGGAATTGTACTTGCATTTTGAATAATTGGATCGTCTTTTAAAAATTCAATATTAATTAGTTTACAATTAACTGTTTGCATACTTAAAATATCGGCGAATTAAAAGTGTATGGAAAAAAATTAAAGCCGCATCAAATATGCAACGATTTGAAGCGCTTAACTGTCGGGATCGCGACACAACGATTGCAGCATCAACAACGGAGAAAATTGTTGAGGTGACAATTTTAATGACAATGCTATAATTTGTCTCCAATTGCCTCTGTTAATGTTAGAAAACATATCTTAATATTTCAACGGATAATTTTGATAGGGATTGAATGGACTATATTCGCGAGCATTGCAAGCAAAGAATGGCGGTCAATACAACATGGCTATTGTGATATTTCAGCAAGTTCTGGACAATGATGAAATAAAACAGGTACATATGCAAGCTAGGGGAACTGTTTGAATTGAGGAGTGAAACACATAACGCCCCGGACGAACAGAATGGTTTTGTATCTCTATTACATTAGAAAATGCTGTCCGTTCGGGGTGTTATGACTGTCAATTGAATTGAATTGAATGAACCATAATAATGAAATAAATAAAATGCATCATTTATAAATGATGCATTTTGACACACTGATTTTAGGCTTGCGACGCAATTAAACATCGCCAACAATACTGGCTCAAGTATTGTTGCTACAAAAATTTGGCCGAACTCCACGAATTGACGGCATCCCATCAATATGCTCTTGAGTACTTTTTATTGGTGAGAATTGTGTCTGTTTTTAATTTCGGCCTTTTTGAGTCAATATTTGGATTTATTGATCAACACATTGACATTTCAAGGCAAGCGATATGGATGCGAACGATGTCTACTTTCTGAACAAATTCGGACACATTGCACTGGAACAACAGCAATTCGATTTGGCAAATGCAATATTTCAACGGGTAAATCAATTGTTTTTTTTTTGACAATTAAATCAATTTTTCTTCATTTTTAGCAGAGAGTTGGGCTGTTTTTTTGCTTTTAGTAAAAAAAAGTGGTTCGTTCAAAAAATGGCTGGAAACAGAATAATTCGATCGCATTTAATGCATTGAATAGTAGTATACTACTGTTTGTGTGTTAATGTTGAAGTAGAAGATTGATAAAGAAGAAGAAGAAGCCATTTTGTTCTTTTGCAAACGTTCGTTTTGGCGCTTGTTAATCGGACACAATTCTGTTTGACAGCTTATTCTCTAAATGCAGTCTTTTGTTTCGATTGTAAATGAAATCCTTTGTTCTTTCGATTAAAAATGCAGTGCCTCAAATTGAATGCCAATCATTTGCCATCGTATGACGGGATTCTCCAATTGCTTTGCCACCAAGAAGACTACTTTGAAGCGTACGGATGGTCGGTGTATTGTCACAGCAAATTTCCCAAATATCAACGATCAATTGATGTCATTCACGATGCACGCGATTTACTGAAACACTCACCGTTGTTGCATGGGTAGGACTGTTTTTCTCTGTCGTTTGATATTTTTTAGGGTTTTCTGTCGTTGTTGCAATATTTTAATGACAAACTAAAGCACTAGATTTCATTGAGGGATTGAAATAAGATGATTTTGCTCCAATATGATGCCTTGTTCTTGAAAGAGGAGACGTTTATTGAATTAAAACGTTTATTTATAGAAAAAATTCTTGAATAGTCAACACTAGACTAAAACTGACCCAATTGAAAGAATTGCAGGAAAATTTCGAAAATTTATTGAAAAAAGGAAAATTGGAGTTAAAACTAGTATTACTAGTCAAGTAAGATACCATCAGACGTAAGCAACGTGAGAGAGGGTTTTTTCTTTCATTTTACAGTGAGTCTACCTTTGGATACAAATGGGCTAATAAGAACTGAAAATGGAGCTAAACAGACTGAATACTAGTACAATGAACTTAGAAGTGTCCAAAAAAACTCTTTAACAAACAAAGGCAGTCTAAAACTAGGGAAAAATATGAAGTTCACATTGTGAACTAAAACCCATTTTTAATGATTGACACATATGTTCTTTTTAAACAAGGCCAAAGCAATAAGAAAACGAGAAAAAGCCCAAAGATATAATTTGAATTAATGTTCTTTTGTTTGATGCAAGTTTTAATTGATTCCGAAACAAATGTTTCAAATACAACGAAAGAAAAATATCAAAATTAATGTGATTTGAAATGTATTTTCAGAGCCTTTACTCCGGCTATCACGAATGGTGCAATTGGCAAGCGTTCTATGAAACCGAATCGTTTTCCATCGGCCAGCTACAACGACGACGAATTCATTGATGAACCGACTGATTTCACGCGATTCCAACACACAATGACAACGGCATCATTTCTGGCATTCGCTCAAATGATTAAATCAATTTACACGGAATCATCTCAAATCACGACGCATCTCACCACAAAAGTATTACTGAACGATATTTGTGACATAAATGGCATCAGCAACGATGAGTGTGACACAATCGAAACGAATATCACCAAACCCATGGTTGGGCTCCATCAAATTTCCATGGAATCGCGTTCGTGCAGCCGTCCAACAACGCCCATCGGACAAATTTTCCAAGAAATTATACCACAGTATTTCAGGTAAATGGCTCAATCAAAATTTCCATTTAACAGTTTTTGTTTTTGTTTTTGGCTCATCGACACGCACATAACATAAGTCCAACGAAATTTCTTCATTACAAAATGAAAACAAAACAACAACAAAAAATTGTTTGACGAAACAAAAACTGAAAAGTAGAACAAACTTGAAAATTTAATGGAAGAAGAAACAAAAACATCAGGGGAATAATGTGTAGGTTGACCCGCACTAATCATTTTAGTCATAACTTTTTATGGAATAAAGATAAATGCACACTTGATGAACCATTGGAAAGAGAGCCGAAAAAGCTACAATTTGATGGGGAACTTCATTAGCTATGGTTGTAAAAACAAAATATTTCGGTCAATTTTCTAAGAGGTCTGATTTTTGGCAACAAAATTTTTTCTTTGTAAGTTGACCCACCCTATTTTTTTTTTTTTTTTTTTTTTTTTTTTTTTTGAAAAACATGCAGTATAAACACTCAATATATGTTTCATAAATTCATTGAATTTCGTTGGATTTTCAATCGTTTTTGGTCTTTACAACTACGAAAAATAATGAAAAAAAGTAGAAAAATATAGAAATTGTAAAAAAAATACACATTCTCTATTTTTCATATTTCATCGATTTTTTTCGTGTTTTTCAAGTCCAAAAACGATTGGAAATTCATTAAAATTCAATGAATCTCGTATATTGAGTGCTTACGCTGAATAGTTGTCTCATTTTAGGATTATGAAAATACACGAAAAACTAGTGAAGAAAGCTTATACTCGCTTTGCTGATATCTTTGAAATTGTCTACTTGATGATGGTCGAAAAATTTAGTTTTTATAAAAATGATTTTTTTTGCGCAAAAAATTTTTATGAGCCGATTCGAGCCGTTTAAGAAGCGTATTTACTCTTGGGAACTACTTTTATATTGGTTTTTGACGTTTCTAAATCGATTGAGACTAGCCAAATTGACGATTTGTCTGGCAAAATACAAAATCGGCGGGGTGAATCAACTTACACATAGTCCCCCTACAAGAAACGAAAACTAGATGAAACCATTTGATATGATAATCTTTGATATCTTTGAAGTATTTTTTACGTGGAATCGCAATTTTGGTTAGAGAAAAAAAGGCGACACATTTTTGATTGAAAAAAAAACCCAAATAAATCAGCATCTTTTTAATGACAATTTTATCGTTCGGTTTTCATTTTGGTCTTGACTAAAAGATCTTTGGCAAAGATTGGCACATGAAAAAAAATATTGTAGAAAATGCTTTTTTTGGTTTCCTTCTTTTCTGTTTTTGTTTCATGATTTTTTTTTCTTCTGCAAAATTCATATTTTGACTATGTTTCAGCGCTGAGTCGGTGGACGATGAAGTGGTTCATCCGCCCTCAATGATCCGTGCCATTGGACAGCCCGGCTATTTGGATCAAATGAAGGATTTTGCCGGTGACGAACACATCTTTCACACCACCTCTTCAACACTGCTTCGACAATTTTTTGAAAAATTAAAGGTAAACATAGGTTCTGACACCAAAAAATTCAGGGGGGGTCAAGCCAAAAATTCAAGGGGGGGTCAAAAAAATCAATTCTATCTAGTGTAAATTTCTTCCCGAAAAAAATTGCTGGGGGGTGATCCGCAATTTCGAATTTGAAGAGCAAAAAAAAAAAAAAGGTCCTCGCTCTCAAAAATCGATTCTATCTAGTGTAAAACCGGTATCCAGAACAAAGTGAGGACTAAAAAAAAAAAGGTCCTCACTTTCGAAAATCGATTCTATCTAGTGTAAAACCGGTATCCAGAAAAAAGTGAGGTCTAAAACAACAAAAAAGGTCCGAAAATGGCAACGGGTCCAAAAAAAATCGTTGGGGGTCAAATTTTGCCAGGGGGGGTCAAATTTTGCCAGGGGGGGTCAGGATCAACGAGATCAGACTATGTCAGAACCTATGAAGGTAAACTTAAGCCAAAAGCGTCTGAATTTTGAACATGACCATAACGAAATGGTTTTATAACTCTGGGTTTTGCATTCGAAATGAAACAAATGACTTTGAAAATTTAAAAATGAAATTTTAATTCCACCCATTTTTCAGTCGAATGAGCCATTTGATACAGTAACTCTTGTGTTTGAGTGGTTGAAATGCATTTCAAAGTGCTCACACATTCAATTGCCCATTGAGTTGCAGTCACTTTATATTGAAATCTACAATCATTTAGCGTAAGTTCACATAAATATCAACTTCTCAGGTAAAACTGAGCTATTAAGGGAATTTGATTAAAAATAATTAAATTTAAAGAAATTTGATTGAAAATAATTAAATTTTGAGAAAGATTGAAAATAAGACGCCCCGGACGGACTACATACTCTAATGTAATAGAAACACTGAAGCATGCTGTCCGTTCGGGGCATTATGTTCTCCACTCGAAAATAATTGAACAAACGACTTTCCAGCAATCACATGGACTGGAATGGGGTACCGGCTGACGTGGCTGCTGATTTGTTCCGAATGTCTGTGCTTCACATGGAATTGAGCATTGTTGCAAATGTGCGTGACAACAGTGGTAACAGCTCCAAAATGCTACGGTAAGATTGAAATAATTGTTTTATTCATTTCAATGGAGTAAAAAGCGAGAGGTCTAAGTGAAAATTCGGCGGAACATTCGAATTCTTAGTCACTTCAATGATGAAAACATGAAATTTTGAGTTCAAAGCATGACACTCTCATTGAGTTGAACTTTATGAGCAAGATGAAAACCAAATTCGCAAAATTCGCTTCTCCCCCCAAGAGATGTGAAAGATAATCTTTCGAGAGATTGGAAAAAGCAGCAACAAAATCCATGTTAACGAGAAAAACTGACAAAAAACCCACCAATAACTCGGTGTTTTTCTGTTCATTTTCCTTTTCAGATTCTTTGACGATCGAACCATGTACCATTTCTATCGTGTAACGTTTTTAAAAAATGTGCTGCAAATTGATTGTGATGTGATGCTGGAGATGCGATTGAATGTGTTGCACTTTCAATTGGCGATCGAATTGCATGACTATGACTTGGCCATGGATTTGTTGGATCGCATTCAAGTGGTCTTTGTAAATGTATCAGCAAATATTGAAATTCTACAATTGCCAAATCAATTCTACTGTCCATTCATCGATCCATGGATTGTGACCAATGAAAAAGTCTTATTGGAATGTTTGCAACAGCAAAAAGATGTGGTGCCAATGGCAGCGTACAAATCAAGTGGGCAATTTAATGACGTATTACTCATTTTGTCAAAGTATCAAGTGCGTCGTTTTGCGAGTGTCCAGTTGCCGGCTCACATACAAATAGAGGTGCTGGTCGAAGGTTTCTGGATGACGGATCGAATGGAAGAGTGTTTGCGTTGGTGTGAAAAAGGCCTCCACGATTCGATGAGCACTTGGTGGAAATGTACGGTAAAAAATCAACAATACCCCGACCATTTGCCGCAGCACACTCGCTTTCTGACCGCTTATCTTCAGCATTTGCTACGCGATAACGGTATGGGTGAGTATTTTCTGTCTCACTCTCTTTCGCACAGATTCTGCTATTGCATCAAAGAATTTGTTCGCTACCGTTTTTTGTTCAATCAATTTTTTTTTTAAATCCCCCATCAATTGTGAGGGAGAATTTAAAAAAAAAATGAACACTTTTGTTCGTCGAGTATGTTTGAATGAGTATTTGTGTTTCTTTCATTCACTCCCCCAGTGATTAATTTATTGAATGGACGAAAAGAGCGTTTAGTACGTTCTATGACCTATTTATTCGATGCCCAGTATCAGCAACAGCAACAACAGCAACAGCAGCAGCAGCCGCCGATTGAATGTCTATTCGATAGCGCCGGTTTCATTGAAACACTCGATTTAATGCTGAAATATGACCAACACAACTACGGTGTTGAACAGCAAACGGCCGTTTTAAATATCATTGGCAAAGTGAGCGAATGGCTCATACGCAACAATATACCCAATGATGGCACATTTTTTATGAACGCTTGGAACACACTAAATTTCAATGGTTATCATATGCAGGCGACCGTATTGAAATTCAACCGAACTGAACTAATCCGATTGCTGGCCCATTCACTGTTTGGCTATCCAAACACTATCGACGAACATCAAATTGGGTGCACATGCAAACGACGACCAATCGACTGGAATGGCGTTTCACTTCTATTTACATCGTTTGATAACATTACAAATGGGTAAATCGAAACGGAGTTTTTTTTTTACTCGCTCCTCAATCTCTCACTGTCTTCTGCACCTTTTTTTTTACTTTCTTGCTTATTCAGTTTATAGTTCTCACCCTTACATTTTTTCCAATCAATTTCCCACTCTCTCTATCTTTGTCTCCTTCTTTCTCTTCCCTTACTCATTTTCCCTCTCTACCTCGCTCTTCCTTTTAAAGAGCCGAAGAAATTTCCGTTTTCTTTTCTTTTCTGTCACATTCCAACAATTTGCTTTCATTTTTCACCCTCGAAATCATCATCAATGGTTGTTTAACGTTGTGTTTTCAGGATGCCGGAACTAGAGTTGAAATCGTTGATCAATGATTTATTGACAACAATTCCCCGCGATGAGCAAATGAATCTCAGCACGGCCATAAGTCAGCTTAATGATTTCTTGAATGACACTGTCGATTTCCCACACAAATTCATTCCATTGAGATCATTTCCCACTGCCATCAAAGACATTTTCCATCGTATTGCCAGCCACAATGGCAACAACAACAACAACGATTATTACAGTCACGAACAACTCATCGCAATGGATTTAGTGATAAATCCGTATCGATTTAGCTCATGGCATACAATGTTGAACATAAAAATTGGCCAATTGAACGCACTGTTCACGGATACGTATGATTTGACCAAGTAAGTTTGAATTTTTGAATAATTTTTTTTTTATACATTCTTCGAAATTTGCTCGAGTTTTTCTCAAGCGGGAGGGGGATGTGTGTGTGTGGTAAAATTCAATGTTCATTCCACTGAACCGAATATGGGATCGAAGAGTGTTTAGCTGATTAAAGCAAGATTAAAGACTAACGCCGTTACTTTTATTCCATGCACACTCGAACAGGATTCATGTTGCCGAAGTGAAACGGCTGAAGAATGCTATCGACGCTTGCTTTGACAAGTGTGAAATGCTCAATCAAGCCGAAAACACCATTACGAATGTTGACTATTTGTGGTGCTATGGCCTTCATTTGTATCAATTTTCAAACAATTGCACGATGATGACGAAGGCAGTAGCGGCAGCGGCAACGCCGGTGGCATCAGAAACAGCAGCAGTTGAGCCATTTCACGATTTTGGTCAAAGGTAAAATTAAATGGACTAGAATTAATTTTCAATTAATAATTGAATCGTTGTTGTTGTTATTGCTAAACAATCAAAAATTCATTGTCTAGCCCATCGGCAAGCTGGAACATGGCCAATCGTGTATTATGTTCGTACTTAAAGATGCAAGCAACACATGCCATCGCACCGATTCAACCAAATCACAAGTCGTTGTGCTATTTTCTGTTGGGTAAAATTGCTGAAAAGCAAAAATTGACAAAACAATCGCTTACATTTTACCAATTGGCCGAACGGCAACTGTTTGATCATCAAAACGATGATGCTTTCCTCTTGATTAAGCTCGAAATCAATTTCCGCATCACTGCATCAATTTACAAATATGTGGCGCATACACAGCATGCCGACGCACAAGTGGTGATCGACAAAGAAATGTTATCATTTCTGTTGCATGTATTGAAGCGTGACCGTCGACGAATATTCAACGATACGGAATTTGCTATGCGAACGCCAGCAGCAGCAGCAGCAGCAGCAGCTAGCAATCAAGAAGGAGTAGCAGTAACAGCAGCAGCAGGGTATACCACAAGAGTGGATACCGTCGCAACCATCGATGAGAATGCCAACCAAATCAATGAATTCACGGACAAGGATCTGGTGAGGAATTTATACAACATTTTCAAAGTTTAATCGCGATTCAAGCACTCTTTTGGAAATTGATTTTTTATTTCGAGCTGAAAATTTTGGAATGTAATTTGTCTCGATTCATTTTTTTTTACTTGCCTAAGACAAGCCTGCCTTTTTAAGTCGTTTTATTGATATTTTTTGTGGTTATGGCGATTTTTCCAAATCAAAAAAAAAACTAAACTCTTTATTTTTCTAAATCAAATTTGTCCATTAATTATTCATAAGCTTTTTTATAAACAAATTTCTCTTTCTTCCGAAAATTTGCATGAACCGTCGCCTGTTTCTATGCCAAACCCTTATTCCATGCTGAACAGATCACCGAAATACAGCGATTGTGTGCAGCTGACTTTGAATGGTATTTGGAATTGTGTCCGAATTACTATAAGGCTGCCTATTATTTGATCAAAATCAATTTGAACAGCGACGATTTCCAGAGTCGTAGCCTTCTGTTGCAATTGCCGCGTAAAAATCAGCAGAAAAAATTGAGCCTGTTTGACATTCATCGTTCTCGTCACCTATTCAAGGTATACGAACTCTTCTTATTCTCATCTTTTTTCGACAATATTTTGTCGAATTTTCGAATTTTATCAGTCGGTCTCAAAATTAGTTCCAATAAAATGCTAAAACATTTGGATTAAACTAGTTTTCCCTGAAAAATGGAACGGTTTTATTGGAACTAATTTTCCAGGAATCGGGCTCATAACATAAATTCCATATATGAAACAATTTGTGTAGCCTCAAAAAAGCTCTTCAGTGCATTTGTCTAAATGGCTGTATTCTATTTTACCCTGCTAATAATATCTATTTGTTGTTTCACAACAGGTAAAAGAGCCGGTGCATTTGGCATCGATCCATAATGTGGCATCGTACAGCAAGTACATGGAAAAATGTGTGCGCATTCTCATCGAATATTTGGCAACGAAACCGAATTGGTATTTAGAATTTGTGTTGGCGATGCAATGGAGTAAATTGGTACGAGCGGATACATCGGCACATTTGAAATGCCACCAAAAGCAGCAACTATTCACCGTTATTTTAACGCAGTTCATTCGGTCGGCATCGAATCATGCGGCGCAATCGAATCGGGTGACAGCAAAAGCAAAACACTTTCTCGATTTCTACATAAATATCTATGAATTGTACATCGATTGTGAGACAACCATCAAATCGGAGCATTTTGCAACTTATTCCAAATTGATGATTGATTGTTATCGCTTGTGCCGGGCCGAACAAGACGATTGCACATTGGAAGCAGCAGCATCGACAGCGACAGTATCGACAGCAGCTGCTTCAACGGGCGAATTTCAACAGGCTTTGAACTTTTGCGCCACCGAATCGAGCAATCGTTTAAAGGCAAAGAAACCATCAACGACCAAAGTGAATAAGCCTGACAGCAATCCATCATCAGCAAACAACAACCCAAAGAAACGGCGACTCAGTGAAGCGAAATAGCTTGAAGCATATACATATTGATATTGATTTCGATGGAATGAAGCACAAAAAAGGGACTGAGAGGAATGAGAAACACACACACACACACACACACACACACACACACACAGCGAACAAGGAACATGATGTTGCAGCAGCAGCAGCACTCCAACCGAACCACATTTCAATATTTATGGATTTTCGGTGGAAAAATCTATATATACGTATAATTTCGGATATTGTTTACTGCTTATATGTAAATTGTGGAAAATGTAAATGGTTTTTCCTTGGGAAAATGGCTTGCGAAAAATGTTTTGTGTTCGCCTTTTCTCTTCGTTCACTCAATCTTTCTCACTCCCAAATTGATTGTGTTGTTTTCGATAATATGCTAAATAAAATGAGCAAAACTGAATAAAGAAAGCAACCATGCGCCCCCCCCCCCCTGCTGAGGAATATTACTAATCTTCTAGTGAAATTCATATGTTTACTTGAAAATTTATTTACGATGTTTTTCGAGCATAAACTTAAATGTGCCCACAAATATATATCTTTCCACGATGACAGCAAGCTTTTCTCTCTCTTCATATCTCTCTCTCTCCCTCTCCCTCTCTCTCTTTCTGAGTGTGTATGTGTGCCGTAGAAGGAAGAACGAGATGGTTTGGTTTGGTTTGGTTTGGCGGAGGCAAACGTGGAGAAGCACAAATAATTGAAAGAAAGTGAATTCGAAGAAAGTTTTGCGAGGTACGCGGAAATGAGCCCTTAATGGAAGCAAATTGAAAATTGTGCATGAATATTCATTGAGTCGTCAGTTTTTAGTGGCTCAAAAATAAACGATTCATTGGTTTTGATATTCTTCGTGAATGCTCTCTCTCTGTCTTGTTCTCTTTCCCTCTTGCTCTCTTTCTTCCTCGGTTCGTGTGTATTTTTTTCTGTTTTTCGTCAGTTCAAACAACGAAGTTTTTCGCTTCTAATTGGAATTGCTTTTCATTTGTTTGGGAATGTTCTCGTGTTGTATATATTTTTTCTTTCTTTCTCCTTTTTTTTATTGGCATTTGCGTGAAATTGAAAATTTTCATGATATTTTTCCGCGTTGGAAGCGATGCTGTCGAGCGTGAACGAGAGAGAGAAAGAGAGAGAGAAAGAGAGAGAGAGAGAGAGAGAGTACAACAACAGCAGCAACAGCGCGGTAGCGGCACACAATTTGCTTGAGGCAAAGCAAATAAATATTGAGAAACAATAATACTAATTGAGCCGGAAAGCGTTCAATTACACTTTGCTCCGATCCCGGCCCCGATTGTTCGTGTATCGATTTGCTTCGAGAACATTGATGGGGCTGTACGGTTTTGTAAATGCCTTGGCTTCTTGTCAAATACATACCAACTCAAACACTATTCGCTGAACTTCGAATTTGATGGTATGTGCACACAATAATCCACATATTTGAGAGCAAGAAGACACCGCGCGCGCGACACATGGAACGAAAGAGATGGTGTGTGCACTTTGAACTGGATTATTGGTGCGGCCCGGATGAGCTCAATGCCGAAATAAGATGGAATTTGAAGCGTACGCGAGAGAGAAGACAAAAACAAGACCGCAGAGCTTTGCTTTGCTCCGCTCTGCGTTCTTGAGTTGTTAGTTACTTAATCTATTTTGTTATTTCACAACAAACTATTTTTTGGCGCCCCTCCCGGGGGGGGCACGGGGGGGGGGGGGTATTCCGGTTTTACCCCCCATCTAGGATTCAAAATGTGAGACCCCCTTCGAGCGATTTGGAAAATTTTACACTAGATATAATCGATTTTCAAAAGTGAGGCCCTTTTTTTTAGGTCTTCATTTTTTTTGACACCCATTAATAAATTTTCACCCCCCCCCCCC